ACACCGATGCGGCCCGGCCTCTGGGCCCGTGTATTAACAAGGTAATTGCGCTCATAATTGAGTCAAACGGAACACTCGTAAGTGTATGGCAAGGTCGAGTGTGTTATGGGACTTGACTCGATTGAGAGGGTGCTGGATCGGTGAGGGCCTTGGAGTGGGATGGATACCCGTTCGGGGCCCGTCTGTGAACGGCCCGGCCCGACCCGGCTCTGGGATGGATAGAGCCGAATAAGTGAAATCCATTGTCTTTTTTTAAAACAATGATTATTTCTCTTGTAATTTAATAAATGTGATGAACGCCCACTTTCATCCCTAATACCACAGTCCTTGCTCCACTTTGTATCCCTGAGATATCAGAGCAATAAAATGAAGAAACTGTTTTCTCAATTGTCATTATGTTCTATGCCCCCTCCTCCTCTGATAGGCCTATACAACACGCCCCTTGGAGTTTCAGCATCAGTGTCATTTAAATTCATAAGTACGACCTTTAGTAATTAAACATTGGTCTTTGAAGTCATTTTTCGAGTAATAAAAAGGGCAAATGACTTGTTAGGCCTACTCTAAATGAAAAAGTAATATATTAACTTCCGACAAAATTTGACAGAATTGTGATTTTATCATGAATTCCCATATTCTGTATTTTACTCGTCTCTCTTTACAAATTTCCATGTTTATCATAAAATTTCATGTCAGAAAACGTACCTTTACCACATGCTTCATGTGAGTACACTGTGACTATAGTAATGAAGTGAATAGAAAAACCGTATAGTTTGTTTGAGGTTTCAACAAAAGTCCGCATGTTCATCGATGGAACCCAGTACGTGCATGCAATCCGTGGGGTCATGGATCGGTATTTTCACACCTGACCACGGCGAGCAAACCGGGAGGGCAAAGGACCCACCCAGCTGTTCCCCTAGTGCCTCCCTCTCTGATGTAGAAAACCTGGAATAAAAAAGCGAAAAAACTGACAAAAATCATTGATGAGTCTTTTTTTGAATCGGTAGATAAAAGACCGAGATTGCGATGGTTAAGGGACCAGGCACGGGGCGGCAGGTGCAGGGGATAGTGGGCCGATCGTTACGGTCAGATCTCCACACGTGTGCGCGCACTATACCACGGCCGGTGCTTTATATCGTACAGCACTCAGATTCAATCATGCGTCTATATAATTAAGGCCTGTTGTATTAGAATTCTAAAGGAGACAAAAAAGAGAGAGAGAAAAACCAGAGCAAACAATGCCTGTGGTTATGATGACACAATCTGTCAAGGTATTTGATGATATGAGTTTGTTCTCATCTTTCGTTGTATTTGATCCGATTCGTGTTACTCTATAGCTCAGAATGTATCTGTTTCAAGAAGAGTAAAGGTACAGACGAACCCCAAACCAGCAATGAAACCGAAGCTCTCAGAGCTAAGCCATTGTATGAATTGAGGACCTTTTTTTTTATATCCTCTCTACAAAAGAGAGCTCTGAGGCCCTCGGCTTCAGTGCCAATCTCAAATTCCTCTAAAGACTATGTTAAAGTTTCAAAGCCATGAATGTCTCAAAATAACCTTAAAAACAGGTGGATACGAAATTACAAAATTCAAATTGTTTTTTTTAGTAAAGAAAATAAAAAGTTTAAAGTCAATACATGGTTTCTTGAGTTTTTAAGAAATAACTGGACATTTAGCCGATCGTTCTGACTGCCGAATTGATCTTCATTCATCGTAGAGTTTCAGTCAGTAATGCCCAACTGTGAATGCAGTTATTCGACTGACTTTTAGTTGCACCCATTTGAATTTAATAGACCATGCTACCTGTAACGTCATACCGACAGACAACGCAAACATTAGGGCATCTTTTGAATATTATTTTCCCCACTAATATTATTTCAACACTTTTGGAACCACTCAATTAAGAGATACACCCGCAGTGCAGAAGAAAACGGTTTATTGGAGGTTTGCATCACGTGATCAAAACATCCAATTTTGTTTGTCAACAATGAGACATGGCTTATTGGGTCGAATGGGAGTCACATTTTGACTGAATATTTCAAGAGCATTAAGAGTGTGCATGTGTTTCTGGAGGTTCTGATGTGCCGCGTCTATTCTGTTTTGTTTGCGCGTGTTGCTGCCTCAAATTGCGTGCCTTCTTTTCTTTCATGTCGACTCCATCTCGAAGTATCAAAGCATCTCACGATAAGCCAAACTCCAATTATAAGCCAATATCAGTGGCAATATTTCCTCTCTAATAGGCTATTAATTTTCTCAATTTATTTATGTGTTAAGTCCACTTAATATTTCGTCGGCTTGACGCCTCGCCGTTTTCCCCGTCCGGGTCGACCAGAAGGCGCACGGCGGCCGGAACCGAAAGTTTTCTCGGTTTAAAAACACCCAATCACCGGCCTGACACCAAGCAACTAAAATGAGCTTCACTTCTTTATTTTACTCTCCCCTATCGTCATCGGGAAGTCTTTGATTTCCACACAGCGGTATTTTCATTCCGCCACAGTTGGTGCGATGCCATATGCGAGGAGAAGGCCGCACCGGGCTGAGGTGCATCTGAGTCGTGGACGCCAGCTGATGCTCCCAGGGCTCGGTGTGAGATTCAACCCCCTCCCTTCTTCTCTCAATCACGGCCCTCGGACTCTTCATCGTGAAAACCACTGACCCTGATTCCGTGTATTATTACGAGGGGGGCCATCCGGCACCCTCGCCCGCCCGTTTCGCCACTCAAGGTGGTCATGCGATCTACGCCACGCATCTCGCGCCGTGATTGCGGCTAGCACCCTCCCTGCCAAAACTCACAAAGCAAAAGAAAAAGAGAAAAAAATCAGTCACCGAAATCGATGGAGTGAAGGAAATTGGCCCTTCGCACCCCCATGCCAGGGCCGGGGAGCTCCGTAGAGCGAGTCGACCACAGGACAGGCTGCTTGAAAACACACCTGATTTCCAGTCTCACTTTGCCTCCCAAAAGCAATCCTCCAAGGAGTGTGCGTGTCCCGATAAATCCCTGACTAATCAGCATGGGATATGATTGCGTCGGGGGACAATTTTACACGTCCCCGTCCAACTTAAAATAACCAATTCATTTGGAGGGAAAAGGAACCCAATGCCAGCTCTGTATATGGGTACAGCTGGGGTGGTTAAGGCCAGACTTTACCAGCGTACATCAGCGGCATGACGCAGTTGTAAGGTCGGTAACACGTCCCAAAGATGCGTCCACGCGCCACGCTAACCCCAAGAGAACCACGCCATCTCACGGCAAACCTGTTCTCCCCCAAAACCCCACGTTTTCATTACATTGTTGCATCACCAGAATGCACTTCTTTGACACATCACGCCCCATAAAAAAACCGATTAACGGGATATCCTCTCAAAAATCACGGTCACAATTAGATTCCACTCCGGAAACTGGTCCTACAAACTCCGAGTAATTAAACCGCAATCAGCCAATAATAGCTACCGGTTATCTGTACTTTTCAACTCCCCCTAGATTAATGAATCATTTACATTTATAATGCATGCTCAAAATTCATACAGTGAGACTCAAGGTCATGCCCTCAGTAGGCCTACATGGCTGAAAAAAGAAAGAAAAAAAAAGCCATTTACTTCTAGTACTAGGAAAAAAAGATAAGACCGAATTCCCATTAAAACGCAATAGAAAATACTTGAACAAATTTTATTCAACTAGAGATTGCTTCGCAAAGTACACAATAAAAGGTGCGAAGTTTGACATCATTTTGTGCATACTTGAAGTATAAAATCCAAACTTCTGCTCTACATACGACACAAGGAGAGCTTTTCGACCTGGGAAGGGATCTTAAACTCTGCTTAAGAATTACTTTAACTTTCAAGTGCATATCACATCGTGACTCGATCTGTTGAGATCTTGTTCAAGCTTGGCAGATGAAAGAAGAGGCCGCGCGATGTCATTTTACGCACCTCTGCCTCCATTCGAATGCAGCATGTTAACCTTCTCCACATACCGTCGAGGGTCCCTCCCCGGCCCCCTACAGAAGAAAACTGCCCAAGTGCAATTATGTACGTGGCTTGTTGTGTAAAACACTACCCATGACATGAACTAAAGAGATTGTAAAACAAAGTGTGATTCGGTGTAGAGTTTGGCTTGCCATCTGTTGCCGTGGTAGGGCCATATGCCCAGCAATATTACCTTCAAAATCACATATCCTCACACACTGTGAACTAAGCAACAATCCCCCTAGACCTTACAACTGCTACACCGACGCACGCAAAATATTACGCCGAGCGGGACGGCTCTGATACCGAGTGTTCGTGGAATGGGGACCGGTTGAGCGAGCACAGAGCACGGGCTGGTTAACTCGACAGAGAACCGGCAGGACCGATGTACTCCCCTTCCGCTGGACCCAAAACTTGGGTCCCGGAGGCTTGTCGACAAAATACCGGAAAGTGGGGGATGTAGGAGACCTGGCCACTCGCGTGAACTCGAAATGCCGAAAACGTCCACTATTTTTTGTGAACCAACAAAGTTGCTATCCATGCCACCATGAATTATGCAAACGATTATCAGCATGCATTTCAAGTCATTTCTGTGTCAGAAAACTATTTAGAAAAGGACGGAAACTCATGGGAATGCGTGGAGTCTCTTTGTGGAAGGGAAAGGGGTCTTTGTCGTCTTTTCCCACTATCAATACCGCAACCCCGCGGTGTTTAATATTTAATGCGATATGCATATCCGACACAACGAAGCTAAGGGAGCGAATACACCGAAAAAAAATATAAAAAATAATGAAATTGCGTCAAAATTAAAGTCCAAAAGATTTAGAATAACGTCGGGCACGAAATTGAGCATCAACTGCCCAAGTCCTTCGGGATAAAAATTTGCAAGATCACACTTATAACCTTAAAATTTTACAAGTAAGGCCCCTCTTCTTTTCTCCTTTCAAAAACTAAGAGCGATTAAACTTAAAGTGCCTATATAATTAATTAGGTCAAAATCTAAACTGTATTTTTGTTTCTCGATCTGTGTCTCGCAGGCGCATGTTCCCCACTTTCCGCACGACCATGACGGGCCTGGACTCCAACGCCAAGTACATCCTGCTCATGGACATCGTGCCTGTGGACGACACCCGCTACAAGTACCACAACTCGGAGTGGGTCGTGTCCGGCAAGGCTGAGCCTCACATGCCCAGTCGGCTCTACATCCACCCGGATTCACCTGCCACGGGAGCCGTCTGGATGAAACAAGTGGTCACCTTCAACAAACTTAAGCTGACCAACAACAACTTGGACCAGCACGGCCACGTAAGTTATGTCTGTCCGTCCGTCCGTCTGTCTGTCGAGCTGTTTGTCTCCCACATTTTGTAGGCCTCTCATCAAACGCTTACCGCATCTCACATTGTGTATGGAAAAAGGCTTCTACAATTTGGATCAGCTGGGTAAAACATGAAGTCCTGGTATCCTTTCGTAGCGTATCCCGATTTTGGGTGGGGCGGAAATGGGTATTTTTTCCTGAAAAATTAGTTCCTGAACAACGAGGTGCGAGCGACACTACGTGAGGAAAGTTAGGGGTAGAGTATTTGTTGTACGTGAACCTCCCACATTTCTTGAGCCCATGGGCCTCCAAAAACCTTAATCAGGTCCTGATACATACACATCACAAACAGACAGCATTCGAGTACATGTACTTAGCCATCTCATCTTCTCCAGTTTTCTCCCTTTTTGGATTTTTGAGATCCAAACAGTACCATTGACCAGCACTGATAATTTTTAAAAACCAACCACTTAAAAAGCGAAGCAATACCAGGAGGAAAAACATCCAATTCTGCTCTTTTGATGGTGTGATTCAGCTAAAAGAAATTGCTGGCAGCTATGCCACATCGCAATCCTATAACGGAGACCGGTATCTCGCGTTCGCCCCGGGGATAGCGCAGGAGTCGACTATTCAACAGGCCCGACCGCATGATACCCTGCTTTACTCGTAAACAGGATTCAGACGAATCAAACTGTATATAACCACGATTGAGTCGTGCTATCCCCAAGCCTTGCTTGGATTTAAACAGATTACAAGCAAGATCCCAATTTTGCCTCCTTCATTAGTCCCCGTGTTTCGGGAGGATTTTACTGTACTACCGAAGAGCTCTGGGAGAAAATTTACCGCGGCCACGGAGATATGAAGCTCATTCGAGCGTGAAAGTTCTTAAACCTAAGATGATTATAGAACGTCTGCTTTCTTCCGCAAAAGCAATAAAACAAAAGACGTGTCGGTTTGGTTTAATATTCTTGAGAGGCAATTTCGTTTAAGCGTTGGATTGTGTTGCTACTGGCGCTAGGGCTTCTAAAAAAGACAAATTTGTATATAGTTTTACAAAGAATATTAGTTCTTTGGAGGGGCTTCCGTTTACAGCTTTGTGCCCAGATTGAAATTTTCCATTTGAAAGGCCAAAAGATACCCAATTCTGTTTTAAAGCTTACAAGTTGTTGGTACATCTCAGGAAACAACACAAACAAACCCTGAAGTCAAAGCTTGACCATAATATTCTTAGGCAGTATTGTGACCCTTGGTTTAGTTCGAGTCGTTAAAAATGGGAAGAGGACTCGGCGACTCAGTTCTGATATGATGTTTTTCTTAGAGATGGAAATATGGGAAAGGAAAACTGAAGACAAGGTGTTTCCTCGGCTCCGGTTAGCATTGGAATGGCGCTTACGCGAGCCCCGTATTCGAAATCTCTATTGTGGCAACGGCGAAAGCGATTGGTCAATAGGAATGAATAATAATGAGCAGTTGGTTTAAATAAGAAATAGAGGCTTACAGGGTGAGTCTAAAAAAGAATAAGGGGTACTTTTAGACACGTGACATTAATACAGCAAAAGTGACAACCATTATACAATAAATTATCTTTTTTCTTCGTTCATCTCCTTCATTCTGTCATTTCTTTCCCCCTATAAAATGTGGTAAGTCCACATCTCGAGTGTTTATAAGAAGAATAAGACGAACGGGTAAGACCGCGTATTATACACCGTGCGAAATGGAACAAAATTCACATGCATCGAGGAGACTGACGGTTGTTGAAGCACCTGTCCGGACGGCGTAGCGGTGAGCGTAAGAATGGCGCGGAGTGTGCCGGGCCTCCGGGCCCACCTTGACGGTACAAGGTGGTGCGACGGCCCGGCGGTCCGCTCGTGTATGGGAACGCTAATAGGCGTAAACACCGCACAGTGTAGCAGCGGGCAGGGGCGGAATAACCCACGGTGAGGGGTGCCGTCATGTTCGCCAGTTTCAGTCGTGTCTCAGGAACTTGGATTTGTACAGGAACTCTGCTGCAGAGTCCTGTACTTTTTTATTCAACAAAAATGGTGGGGATTAAAAAGCACTCTTTTCAATTTTCAGACACATAGATAAATTCGTCTTTTTCACACGTTTTCATTCAAGTTTTCATTCATTAGCAATACGCGCGGCTGCCTCCGGAAACGTCTTTAAAAATGGATAGATGTAGGACCACAACAGAGAACGCGGGATGTTTTTTCTCGTTTATTACTTTTCAGAAAATATTATTTGTAAAGTAAACAAAAGTACGGCATTTTTTTATTCAGAGAAGAAGTCGGGAAACTGCATCATCTTAAGGAAAATACACATGCCAGTCTACCATAGAAAAGACTTGTCATGAAGGCATCGAGTGCTGTTGAGCCTCCTCTGTAATTGTATTGTTTGACACGCCCCTTAAATCCACCCTCCCGTTGCATAATGTGCTTTGCACGGCCTGGCGCGAGTAACGGAGACTTAGTGAGAGCCACTGACCGGTGTGATGCGACACTTGCAGGCAAGAAACTTTGCGGACCGTTAGTAAGCAGGTGAACGAACGACCAGTAAGCATCACTAAAAAACTCGTCTCGCAAACATCCCTATGTCTGTAGAATAGCTACATATCCGTTTGATTACGCAAATAATCATGAAATGGCCATCATGTGAATAGCGGCCAATGAACTTTAGTATTTTCTTCAGCCCCCTCATTCATATTAAATATATATCTCTTGATCTTCTATCTAATAAAATCCAGCTCCTCGTCTTTTTATTTTGCGTTAGCCGGTCGTTTGCCAATCGCCAACACCTCCTTCTTTCATATCCTCCAATTCCAGCTGGCAGGTGCCATTGATTTGGCGAGTTTTTCCCCCTCCGTCTCGCGAGGTTCTTTTTAGGAGCCCGGCCGATCGGGGGTGTCAAACCTCCCAAGTTGGTGGAAGCCCCTTCCTGGGGCACACGGGCGGGCCGGAGTCAGGATCGAACCGAGGGGGTCCGAGGGTGTCGCAGACGGGCAGCTGGTTTCTCCAGCCGCGCCGTCTTGATGAAAGTTTCCGAGCTAGTCCGCCCGCCAACTTAATAAGCTTTCACGCCGACACGTCGAGATTTTGACACCGTGGGATGAACCAAGGTCGGGAGCGATGGATTCCGTGAGGCCGGCCCAGAGAGTTCTATATTATAGCTCCTGGCCCTACAAGCCGGTACTACAACGCACATAGTCACGGGGAACATCCCTATAGGCAATTTTACTCGGACACAAGTTAATTGATATTTAGATGCGGTGTGGGGAGTCAGGCGGATTTGCAATGATCAGTGGAAGATATGAATATATCGATTCGACGTCTGACGGAAGTTTGACGATGCGAGTGCGTCTATTATCGGAGCTTTAATATGACGACGACTTTATCAGACGCAACTGGTTACTGCGCGAATAGTAATCCTTGATGGCTCGCTGCACAAACTTTCCCTGCCCAGATGCTGAAAAGAGAAAATTAACATGGATGAGTTAGAAATTGCCGAAAGTAACAGTCGAGAACATGGACAGGCGATGCGTGACGGAGATTTATACATGGTTGACGGCCACCCAATGGTTAACACCACCGAATGAACTGGCCGCCATTTTGAATTTGATTTTTGATTGTAACTACGTTTGCCTAATGTTGAGTCCTACTTTGCACGGGTTGAAATCACGCGTCTAGGGCTTGTGAGTGCTTTGTATCTTTAGGCGACCTCACACGTTGAAAATGTACATCGCTGAAACCCATTCGCAATTTGGCTTTTATATCATTTTTTCCCTTAAAATCCCATAGACGTGCAGTGCTTTCTCGTCTTTTAGTTAAACTCCTTTCGGCATTTAACCTTTTGCAGACTCCTGTCCCATGACTTTAAAATTATCGTGCCCTTGCCACTTCCGAGCGGGATGACATCCGCCATCCATTTGCCTCTTTGCTCCTTGATATTTAAGAAATATTCCTTATCTTACGACACCCGAGGCTATTTTGTCATCATTCTATTTTAGCATGCACACTGGCACCGTCTCCCCGCGCTCTCTCTCTTTCCCCCGTGCGCCACGGCAGTGATGGATCGGCGACTCGCTGCATATTCCTCGGAGATCACTCATATCGGAGAAGTTCGAGAATTATTTGGTCAGTTTTTCACCAAATTCATCATCCCTAATATACATTCACTTTAATGCATTCTATTCCCCATTGAAGCTTGAATATTTACGACCTTAGTTCGGATGGCTTCTAAATGGCAATTTTTCCCTTGGTGAAGTTTTGCGGTGATACTGTCCAATTTTGCAAATAATATTTCTAAGAATGTTAGAAATTGTAAACAGAACTATAGAACTGTAAACTACGTATACCGATGCGCTTTCGTTCTTTGTCGGTCACCAGGTTCAACCATTGTTTAGCCCAATAAACTCGGCCGGGAATAACTGAAAAACAAACCTGTCATGCTGTTTTGCCCTTGCACGGAAGTCGTTGCACACGAAGTGTCCCAAAGATGTCGCCGTGGGTGCGACCTAACTGGAGGAGAGAGCGTCGAGCAAACGAATGTTACACTTGAGCATTGCTTACGCGTATTCTGTGGACCATTTCTGAAAACCCTGGCTTGCTTGTGGCTTCGGTCTCATGATTTTAACCACGAGGTATGGTAGGCTCAGGCTTGATCTGGACTTGTCATATGCTTATCGAGCCTGACAATTCAAATCAAACGAATGAGGAGAACCCGATGCCGAGGTTTCGAGAATGACAATTGCTCGCCGTATTTTAGCTAAATTTAGTGAACAAAACTGTTCAAAAAGAAACTGTGAATCTTTCCATGCTACATCGACTGCTGACACTGTTTCTATTTGGCGAACATTCATCCGCCCGTTCAGGAATTCCATTAATAGCTTAAAACCACATATTTTCATTGACGTTTTGACTTCCAAACCGAAAAACCAGAATCGACGGGAAAAGGACCTTCTGATGGCGCCAGCGACCACAAAAACCGCATCCATCTCCTCGAAATAATAAAAAAACATCTCTCGACAGAATCGCCTCTCGATTCCGCCAAGAACAAAAGCCCCCGGCATTGACCGTGAATTGACTGACGTCCGTAGCCCCTCGGTCGCCTCTCGATCACCATTACAACCCGCCCAGACCATCCCTCCTTTCGAATCACGGCAAAAAAGACAGTAATTGTATTTACCCATACGCTAATGATCGACATGGTTATCACATCAATGCGATTTCAGTGCAATAACAAGAGGCAGATGCGTTCGTATTTTGTTTTCCATTGTGCGCGGTTTTCCCCACCCGTTCCGTTCGAATTTCCGTCGTTTTTGCTCTTTTCCCCCCGTCAATTTTCTTATCCTTGAGCCGCATCTGTCTTTATTTATACAAAATTCGAGCCAACAATGGCCGAGTTCGGCTTGTTCGTGGGAGGAGAATAAGTAAAAGAAGGGGGACTACCGGTCGTTGTAAACCGTGATTAGCCGATACGGGAACCGTCATTTCCGGAGAGTTTGACTCCGCAAGTCGATTTATTTCAACCGGAGGTCGTCCTCCTTCGAGTATCGGTAATGATTGCATCAACCCAGGTACAAGAAATCCCATTTCTTGTCCAATGATGAGACAAATCACGAGGACACGAACACGACATGGTATAATCTTAACATTATGTAACTTTATATCATAATATAGGGCGGGACTCGAACCCATGTCTCCCTGGTTTCTTGTGCAGATATCTTAAAGATGCATAGCCCCTGCTCAAAAAAATCTACTAAAGACTTTTCAGTCTATATATTATGAAACAACAGATTCAAAGCAGTGCGAAAATCACGCATACATTTTGATAACATTTGCAACATTAGCGGTGATTATCGAAGAAAAAAACCACAGTTTTCTCTTTTTCTTTCTAAGGTTCTTGAGTGGAACTTCGCAAGCTTGCTCGGGCGGGACTTGAACCCATGTCTCCAAAGTTTCGTGGGCAGATATCTTAACGATGCATAGCCCCTGCTCAGAACAAATCTACTAAAGACTTGTCAATTTTCATTTTTTGTTTCAACGAAACTAGGAATTGTATTTTGCTCACAAAATATGAACCGCCCTGCGAGAGCCGAATTATTGTCTGGCAGCTAATATTTCGATTTTTGTAAAGGAACAATTCAAGAAATAAACGTAGGTGGATTCTTTTCGTTCGAAGTCTCATTCAAAAGTGAATGTTTTTTTTTCTAAGAAAATAGCATTTTGTTTTCGAGGTGAAACTCAAAATAGCACGTGAAACTCACATTTTAACCCCTCATACCTCTGGTCTGCGCAAAGTTTGGCTTCCATTCATTCTTGCCTGACACCGCCCTTAGAAAGCCCCCATATTTTCGATAATTGAAAATCCAACTTTTCAATAATATCATCGTCGCAAACACAAGTACAATTGAATATCTTCGCTGGTACCTATTTCCAGAAGCCTTTTGTGTCATCCATTCCACACGAGTGCACATTTGAATGGTCCCACATCACGACGTCAGCTAAACGCGCGCCTAGTCTAGACAACACTCGACCCATCCCTGCAACAGAAATATACAATAGCAATTAGACAACATACTCAAGTTCTGAATCAAAGACAATGACGACCAAACCAAGAGGAAAAGAAAACAAACTGGACCTTGTCTGATGGACGAACATTAAAAGCAGAAGAGACGGGCTATCTCTTGCCAACAATGGCCGCACGCGCCGGCACACATGTTGCGAAACCAACAACTCGTGGGACCCGCGGAGCCCCAAACTCCCGATTCGGCACGAAATATGAGTGCGCAGAGAAACCACCGTGATAATTACATTGACGTAAATTGAGGGGAATGCTTGAGAATTGTATTTGAATAGCATGGGAAATGAAACCATGTATAGTCGGACTTGGCTGACTGTGTCGTCCTGCTTACAGAGCCTGCTTATGGGAAGCAACATCGAACAGATTGTTTGGTTACATTTTCAAGTGAACACTTTTCACCCTAACTTAATTCTGACGACACGAAAATTCTAAAATGGGAATCAGTCTTGGCATGCAGTTCGTCTTTGTATCGGTTCATTCCTTGTGGGACAATTTCAAGAAATGTATTTCTTAAATGTGAAATTCCAATGAACGTAAAGCGTTCATTAATTTTTATGTGCATCAGCAAATATAATAATTATAGTAAAGAATATTATAATTACCCTGGATTGGACATTTGGGAGACATCCCCATAGACTTGTGCACACAATTTTTCAAACTAATGTGCCCTAACCCATGTATTCCCTTTTCCGTTTTCCACGAATTGCGGTATGTTTACTAATTAGACCACGAGCAACAAATAAAACCTAATTGCAACGGTAAAATTGTGCCTCTAATGAACATGGAAATGTCTCCCTAATGACCGATGTCTCCCACCGTTCGAAGAAATTACGATACCGTGTCTCCTTATGGTATGTTATTCCGTCAACACATCTCTGGGCACAGTTTATACAACACATTTAAGCGAATCGTCAATGCTTTGGTCCGATCGCTTTTTAACGTCACTTCTGTAAGGCAAATTATTTGTTTAATTTACTGTTTTTATATATCGAAATTAATTTAAATAACATTGCATTTATATATATACGAAAGTAATGTATTCATGTCAGTTTCTGCAGATTTTTTTTTATTTTCTGAGTGTAAATGGATAATGGAACTACATGTATAAGATTACTCAGACGTCTTCTTATTTATTCATTGTCATATAAAATTGACAAGACATTCCAAATTCAAACAAGTGAAGATTACAAAACGCCAGGTATAAAAGGATGAAAAGTCGGCCACACTGTCGACTTAGTTTCCAGAAGTACTATGTCAGGGCCCGCTTCGCGGGTAGCGAGAGAATTTCGCCAGCTACTGGTCGCTAGCCAAACGCTACGGTATCACGGATGGCGCGAAAAAGAGCCCCCGACCCCGCCAAAACCGCCACGTCGTTCATCAACTGTCGCGCTATCAGATGCAACGCCAATATGGACGTGCGTGCGTGCTACATGCCCAGTGCGCTGCTGACACGATATAGGTTGTGGTGGCTGTGTGTACAGTTTATTGCCCGACTGTGATTATCGAACTGAGATTCCTAATCCGTATGGATTTTGATCTTTGCTTTATTGTTTTTGGACATCTGCTTACTATTTCCTTATCGATCCCTGGAAAAATTTCTTTGTGTGGCATTGGCATTGTTAGAGAAAAATCATTGTTTTGGTATCAGTACGTTGATAATTTGTGTTGCACTGTATATTCATGAACCTGGCTTGGTATTAAAAACATTGATTGCCTTTTTATATTATTTTGTTCATGTGTCATTTATAAGTACTTTACAATATTTTTAAAGTTTTGCAAAATTCAACATCATGTAGCTTATTTGATGTGTTCTGCTTATTTGACGTAATCTTTTCTTGTTAACCAACTTCCATGATTTTTTTTTGTTGCACACTAATGCTAATCATTGTGAAATAGAAGCATGATTTCTAAGCCAGCATTAGTCGTTCATGCGAAAACAAAATGAACATCTTTGTTATGTAAACATACAATCTTTCCATTTATGTAAAGTGACAAAACACAAAACAAACCAGAGCACAAAAGAACCGTGAAGCTTAAATATTTTGAAGAACATGTATCTGGAAGTGTCGACGTTTCAAGCAATTAAGCACTGACCATCTCCCCGGGGAATAGAATCATGTTAATATACATCCTAACGGCCCTCCCGTTCTACTGTGTTTTACCCAGCAGATTATTCTGAACTCCATGCATAAGTACCAGCCTCGGTTCCACATCGTGCAGGCCAATGACGTCTTCAGCCTCCGCTGGAACTCCTTCGTCACCTTCGCTTTCCCGGAAACGACGTTCATCGCCGTCACCGCTTACCAAAATGAAAAGGTAAGATTTCATTTGGTAACACTTATTTCTTCTTCGTGGTAAATCGCAAAAGATATAAAAGAATACAGATAAGAAAATCAAGTCAAGAAGAGGAGGCAAAACCTAAAAAGCAAAAGTTTGTGAAAGGCATGCCATGCATAACAAAACACATAATAAACTACAAAAACGAAAACAAGTAAACATTTAGAAACATAAGTTATACAGTGTATGTACAAATTATAAATTATAAATACAGTAATGGAATATATAATGTGAAATTAAGGCAATAAGGATGAAAATGGACAGAAGATGAGTTAAACAGGATTAGACAATATACAAATTAGAAGGCAAAATATTTACAGAAGATTCATTCCCTAAACCAATATGGGAATTCATTGGTCACATTACCAATAAGTATTGGAGTATTAAAATCTCAGCTTAGTTTGTTATAATACATAAACAACTGTGGACGGTGCACATGAAACTTCCGTGTCACCAGGATTTGTACATGGTTTAATAGTAATCTTTCATGTCGTTTTGTCTGATCCGTTCAATCTTCTCTTGAACGGATCAGTGGTGGCTGTGTTTATACCTCTGGTTCTTTTTTAGAACCACTATCTTAGTTGAGAAATTGTTCGCACATGGTGTTTCCGCAAACCTTTCATTATTTAGTATCTCCACCATGCAAAGCCTCAAATCTTACCAATCTTCTCTTGTTTTTTTCTCGAAATTGCTAACTGGTCTCTCGTTGATACCCCTTAATTCGTATGTGATAACAACTGTTAATTTAGGTGACTCGATTTTGTGTCTCTAGGTATCTGCTCTATCTAGTCTTTACCCAATGGTTGCTTGCTTATTTCGTTCTGCATATTCGATTTTCTCATGTTGTGATATTAAGTTTTAGGACTTTCCCAACTATCGCTCGGCCAGACACACATTCTTTAAAAACGAATGAGTCCATCTGAACTGGTTCCAAAGGGCATTTTTATTAGTTCAGACCAGGAAAACCTTCACACCCTGTTAGATCCCTTCAAAGGGGAAATGCGGAGTTTGTCTTCCACCGTCGGAGTAATTTCATTCCCCCATTCTTCCCCTAAATCTGTGTCAGTGCGCGATCTACGTGGGATACCATTGTGTTTCGACTCCAGCTGGATATGGTGTTGTGCGGGGACTATTATCACGGCAGCGGATTTCTTTCTTGTTTTTACGCGGGGAGTCCCGTCCGTGTGGGCTGGTTGCAGTGATTTCTGTTTTTGATACGAGGCACAGCAGTCCTTGAGCCTTCATTACTCCGGGCTTTGTTCTGTCCGGTAGTCCCCCAACCTTTTCTGTCTTTCACTCTCACTCACACTTTACACGCGATGTTGTAACAACTGATCGGGACAATCGGGGGAGGGCCAGGCCTTATTTGTGCAGCTTTGCAGCTCCTGTTCCCCTCTCAATTTCCTCCTCTCTCTGTTATATTTTTATATTTTTATACCCGGAGTCATCGAATTTGAGCCCCATTCGATGACTATCAGGGTCTCGTGATTGCTTGTCTCGGTCCAGGAGTCACGGGAGTGCAGCCATGCGAGGCAAATGCTTCTGTTGCGTTTTCTGAATCATGTGGGGGGCCCTCCCCTCAGTGACTTCGGCGGTCCCCTCCCGCCAGTGGACCGCGTTCACAAGCTGTCATCGAGCCGGGCGCCGTGGACGGTTCGGCCCGGACGACAGTTAGCAACGGCTGCGGTAGCCTATACGGTCAAAATGTTGACAGCATCATCGTCGTATTATCTTCCCAATCAGATAGGGCATAGTTTTGTACTTATCCACCTGTTTTGACGGTGATAGCTTAAAAGCGGGGTCCACAATTCTTTTTGCATTTTGGGAAAATCAAAAGAACCAGAAAAATCCATTCTGACATGTAGCAAGTTCATGAATTATCCCACCCCAAAATAGGTTGTCCAGTATAATTTGAAAGTTAAAAGCAGAAGTCGCAAGATGTCTTCATTTGTCTCTATTTATCATTCTATCTTTGGTCAGTTGTATTTCATACATCATAAACACAAAGAAGGGTTTTATGTTTGCTTAGAGAGTATTGAAATGAGTCTTTGTTTTTAATTGAATGTCCTTACGGGTTATCATTTCAAATCATTTCGTTATGTTTTTCGTTTGTCCTAAACTTACATATACATATAATCCTAAAAATGTCACCTTAATTTGCATCGGGTAAATACTCCCAGAAAGACGGGAATTTGACTCGGGTCCCAAGTGAGTTGGATCCGGACCATAGTACGACTCATCATGTTTTCTACCCGCAAGCCACATCCCCATTACCTCATAGATTACACATAAGACACGTGGGGCAGGCAGCGTGACGAGCGCCGTTTAAACAGCCAAGGGAATCAGGCCGTCCACTGCCTAACTAACCCAATCCTTCAATGATACCCAAACCATTCCCGGCCAAATTGGATTCCCTCAAGTTGTTGTATATATACTGGCAGTTTCCCCCAGATCTTTGTTTTGTAATGCACCCTCCCCCCTTTTGGGTTATCCCCCTGGGTACGGCTGGCTACTTTACAGGCCCCGGTCCGTGTCGGGGGAAATGGCATTGGTTACTAGCCCGGAGGGGGGCTGGGCCGTGCACGGTGGTCGCGACATGTCTCAAGTTCACGGCACGTTGGCTCTTTGGTTCGCGGTCAGCGCTCGTGGAAATGAACAAACTTCGGCGGCCGTGCGCTGATGGGACTACACCCGACCAGAGCCTTGTACCGTCGCTCGGCGATCTCGCGCCGGTCACGCTATGTAACCTTCACGGACAAGTTACCGTCGAGAAATCTGATGCTCACTTTGCCGTGAATCTCTGAAATTGATATGGGAGAGATAATAATTCCGGAAATTCATTTCGCGATTGTTTAATGAAGCCAACGGGTTCGTTTTCTCCGAGAGTGAGATCATTAGGTTGAAGTCTGCATCTTCGTTTTGATCACTGTTCGCCAGTATGATTATTTTTATTTTGCTTTAAAACAACTATTCGCCTCAGCCGGATGACCTCGTGGCATAAATAAAAGCATCGATGAAGATGCCAAAAAGACGAAAACCCTCCAAAATTAAATAAAAGCTTTCTCGTGGAAACGTATAAGGCATTTCGATTGCTTGAAATATTCTTGCTTCTCATTCGTCTACTTTTTAATTCATCATGTCTTCGTTCTTCCATCTGAACTTTCGTTCGCGCTTTCTTGTTGACCTTTTTTATGGATGAAAAAAGGACGAAACTCAAATTCTTCTTAATTTTTATTTTGCTGCAACAACGTATCTGATTCCAACCTCGCAAACCCTTGTTATGTTCTCCATCTCGCCTTTTCCTTCATGAACCCTTGACCCGACATCCTTTTTGCCTCTCACCCCTCTACTTCATCTTAGCATCCCTCGACCTCCATCCGTCTCTATTTCTCCTACATTATTCCCTCCCACATATAGCTTCTCCTCCGCGACTCCGTCATCCATCCCCCACTCTCTCTTTCTCTCTCCGTTGCCTCCTGTCTCGTCATGCCCGACCGCTCGCGTCTTGGCCAAGTTATGAATATTGATAAACGTTAATTGAGATCTGATAATCCCTCCAGAGCAGTCCCCGGCTCGACTGCCCGTCCGCCAGAGGTCCCGAACGGCCGGCTCGGAATAATTTGCCCCGCTGCTCTGAGAGTATCGTTGTTCGGGAATAATATTTGCTCGCTATCTTTTTCCCCTTCCTTTTCTATCCCTCTCTGTAACTGTGGGTTTGTTCAAACAATTAAGTTAGTGTATAATACTTTTTTCAGGGGGTGCGCAATCAGTACGAGCGGGATTCGTTTCGATGCGTTCCGCATGCGTGGATCTTGGGCAAGTCGAAACACAGTTGCTATTATGGATCCGCTCGGCATAGAATTCCTGCGGCTAATAGTCAAGCGATTAAATATTAAATCAGTCTTGATATTTTAATTGAGCGGAATTATGAGTCAAGCCCTAAATCCAGCCTATTTTATTTTCAATTTCTAACAATTGATTGTGGGATTTTCATTTGGCTGATTTTTTTTATGTGCTTGGGATATAGATTTGTAATAATGACATGAACATGTGATCTGGTCTACCGCAGTGAGGTCAGCTTCCAATTTTGAAATTTGAAAATACTATTTCAATTTTGTGTAAACACAGAAAAACAACCCAGCGATGACAGAATTTAAATGTAATATGCAACATTTGCAAACATCCAAAAACAAAACTACCAAATTATTATGAAATACCTTACTTGACTGTAAGTGCCTCATGCATCCTATGAAATCATGGCACCTGGTGTACTAAGGACATTTTTGTATCAATTTCCAACGATGGTCGGCCGACCATCGTTGGATAAAACTGACCTTTTCAAATACTGCCCCCACCTTTTGATTTTAAATTTAGTTAGTCGCCATTTTGTTTGCAGTCGGTTACACATCCTTGAACGGGTGCAAGCCAGCTAGTCTGGTTCCCTGACCTGACAATTCCCCGACGTCTATAAATTCATAACAATATTTGCAATAAATACTAACCCCCAAATCCATCCATTTCTGAAAATTACAGCAAAAGCAAATGTTGCATAACACAGGCCTAAAAGTCTTATAGAGATTGAACTTGATGCAGTCATAGAAGCTGATGATGGCGAATTTCAAAATAGATACAAACTCTGAGACTCTCATTTGCTAATAAAATTCGTCTATTGACCTTTATTTCACACGGTACATCATTCCATGGGGACATGCAAATTTATAAGGTCCCGGATGGAGATTCATCCCCTTCATCGTATATTATTATGACACGCCCTCTTGTGTCGAAAATACACTGGCGACAAAACAAGAACATTGTGGAGAATCCGATTTAGTTGTTGCGACGTCATGGTCTAAAATAAAAATCTAAAATGATTTGCGACAAAACTTCTTATTTTGGGACAGTAGTCGAACTATTTGAAGAGCAGTTTTTTTTTTTAGTGAAATACTGTGTACTTTTGCAGGATCAGTTGAAAGAAAGACTTCGGTATCTCACTTTATCGGTTCGTGCGTAATACATTTTTCTTTAAGATAAAATGGGCAAACGAGTCTTTGTTTTTCAAGTGCCAAAAAGAGGAGAACATTCCATGAAACGGGGCAAAGTATGATGTTACTCCGGAGTACGGGGGCAGCCAGGATGCTTTGTCCAAAATGTCAGAAGGGAGTTGAGCAAACATGTCCCCCCGCCTGCAGTTATTTCTGGATCACTGCGCACCGTAATGGGCTCTCCTATAATCCCCCTCTCCTCTCTATTTTTCTCTTCTGCTAATTTACAGATCACTCAGCTGAAGATTGATCACAACCCATTCGCCAAGGGTTTTCGAGACAACGGCATGGCACGCAAGTAAGTGTGTAGATGCTCATCATTTTATGCACGGCTGGCTGTTAATGAGTTTGTGGCCACTACTTGGCAACTTCGTTTGCATTTTACCGTGACCAGGGTTCAAGTCCACTGTTATTGGTGTATCCTGCTGGTGTATTATTTAAATGTGTGATAGGAACACAGAACCAAAACACTACATGCAATTGTCTGGCCATGAACAATCCATATACCCATATCACCTGATACATCAAGTACATTTTGATGGAACGCTCAGCAATTGTTATTCTGTCCGTATATTTTTCAAAGTCTGGGAAATCCCAGACAGGGCTAACTCAAATACCGAATGATAGATCTTTTTCACGAGTCGGCCATATTTGAAATTGAAAGCGAGGTAAACTGTTCATTTTTGGAACTTGCGAGCAGAAATCCAATAAAACTTCATTAAAATTAATACCGTACCAGTCTGCCCTGATGAATAATTTAAAATTTGAGATTAAACATAACCTTATGTTTTAAGCCCAATTTAAAAGAAAAATGAAAGTGGGGCTTGGCACGCACTCCAATCAAAATATGGTCTGGCACCATCCCATTCAACAGTTTACAATTTATAAAATAGATTCAGGGAACACGATTGAAAATGGCATTTAAAAAATGACATTTCGCCCAGCAGATCATAAGTCACGAGTGGAATAGCTCAGTGTTGCGTTGTTTTCATGGTAGAAATAAAGATAAATCGCCCAATTAATGTACGTACAACAACCAAAATGTGCAGGGATTGCGTTTTTAAAGGCAAACCATGGATGTTTATAATTCCGAACGATAATCCTGTAGCTCTGTTTGTACCTCAAGTCTTTTCTTTGATTCCCGTTATCACAGGGGCTCGAGGTTAGCGCTTAAGCGAACCACATCCACGAAAATAGAAGACCTGGACGACAAAAGAGGTAGGAATTAAAAACTTTTTTATTCATCAAAATTACCCACTTAAAAAAAAAACATTGAAAAAACTCTCAATGGTTGTGAATTGTTTCCAGACTATAGGCCTACCCATTAATAAAGAGATGATCACTGAGAATACGCAATTTTAAATGGAATGGGTTTGTTGAATTTCTGGTGCATTTCTTGATCAATACCCAAACCAAAACGACGTTTACCTTGTTTTAACTTAAAAGTAACATACAACATTTTGCAAACATAAACAACTACCAAATTATTATGAAATACCTTACTTGATTACAAGTGAATAATTGTCTCAAGCATCCTGGGAAAGCATGGCACCTGGTGGGCTGCGGTCATTTTCAAGAAAAGAGGTTTTTTTTTTGTATCAATAATTGACGTTCGGCCGACCATCGTTGGACAAAAAACTGATTTTTTTCCCCCCTCAAATACTGCCCCAATTTACCAAATTTAGTTAGTCCACATTTTGTTTGCAATCGGTTACACATCTGTGAACAGGCGCAAGCCAGCTAGTCTGGTTCCCTGACCTGACAATGCCCCAACGTCTATAAGTTGCTCCATTTCGTCTGAAGAAGGGTCAGGGAACCATACTATAAGAACAGCATTTTTTCTTGGTTTTTCCAGCATCTATGAACACAAAACTTTAAACAGATCAGAGTAACAATATTTGCTATAAAATACAATATATAAACCACAAATCCATCCATTTCTGAACATTACAGCAAAAGTAAATGTTGTATAGGCCTTGACGATAACTCGCTATTCGAAAGTGATGACAACATTGGCTTTATTTCGGCTTCCTTATGAGTTTTCCTGTCTTTTCCTTCAGTTCTTGCCAACAGTATATTCAAAACTATCTGCGTCTTTTCACATTGCTAAAATAAACCTAAACATTATACATGCATGCATGTTTATGCATCATGAATTTATGAACATAAATCAAGTTGCGGAGATCATCAGGAGTGTATTCTATGTGTAATGGATCACAAATGTTGGCCGGATGGGGAATTCGAAAGGGGAAAAAAAGAGAACCGCCCGTTACCCGATAGGTTCTGCCTTAATGAGGGCATCAGATATTCAGCATCTTCTTCGACGATGAAAGATGGAATTAATGTCGCGTGCTTATAGGAATCCACTGTTATACTCTTAAAAACAGAAGAGTTTTTTTGGAGCCGCAAGCGCAGCCGAGCCGTGCATGAAAGTCACCCAGGCGGCAAAAATGTAATCTACGAGCATGTTGAGAGTTTGCAGGCTGAGCGATATTTCACGTGTTTGTGGCCCGGAACGGAGTTTTTCCCCTTGTCTTGTCTTGCCTCTTCAGCTTTTGCCGATTCGCCTCGCTCGGTGCTCGCCCGCATCTAAATTTCATAGAATATTAAATGAGATATCAAAATTTTATCAGCGTCAGGTGTGCCCATTCGTCGCCGTCGTAATTTCATCAGTTAACCACTTTCTTCTTTCTTTCTTTTTTTTTCTTGCCGGGACGGCGGCGAGAAATACGGAGCGCTTGGGTGCAAAGAACAAGCGAAGCCCCTCTATTAACCGGCGGGCGAAGAAAAACATGTTTCGCCAAACGACAGGCTCCAATTCTGACGCGGGCCGAGTTGCCATTTCGCATGTTGTGTTGCGCTACGGGTGCGCGAGCGCCGGGCAACAACGCGGCGTTGGGCCGATCAGCGTTGAAGCGTATGGACGGGGGAGGCTACGGGGGGTTACGCAACGCAAGCCCCCCTAGCACTGACGGGTGCCAGATCTGACACCCAGGCCCTGGTCTGGAGGAGTCATTTTCACAGTTTTCTGTCTTTGCTCATCAGCCACGATAATTGCTAACGAGGAAACGATTGGACGAGTCTCATCTCTCTAGTCTGCAATAGGCTTAAGGGTCTTGACTTTCAATCCACCGTAACATGGCCAAGTAAAGCCTGCATCGTTGATTAGGCTTTACGTCTATCTACAGCCTTCATCCACCAATGAGGCAATTGTGACCGAAAACGGCTTATTCGTTCATTTCCGCTTTAGCTCATTTAAGCCGGCTTGTTTCAAGACTGAACGAAAAAAATCCAATCTGAAGTTTATTATTCGGCACGAAGCCAAATGACAGGAAGAAATCATTACGAAGAACATGTATCTCCGGGAATTTAAGAGACGTATAGCCTTGCTTTCAATTCTCGTTGCAAAATTTGTAATTTTGTCTCGGTATAAATCTGCCCAACTCTCATTACATAACATTCAACACCTAGCATGCTCAGAGCTTATGAAGCCTTCCAACGAAGGCTATCAGTTTGAAGTTGTTGTACGAGCGTTTGTCTTAAAATCAAGAGGTAAACTAATAGACCTTTATCATGCTGCCACCATTTCAGTCACGTTCCCTGTATCCTATAAACAGTACTGAATGAGAATGCTTTTTGTGCAAAAAAGAACCAGACTATTTTTCCTTCCAGCCTCGCTTTGTTTACGTTGATTTGAACGGGGGAAAATAACGATTGCCGCAACATGATAATGGTCTATAGCCCATCCACTGATTGTTTAAAGCCCGTTCATCTTAGAGACACGATTGGTAATTATCAAAGAAAATATTCAGTGTGAAGTTTCCAAAATTTAATTTCTTCGATGTTGAGTTTGTTGTATGTTTCTTCGATTTTTTACTATAAATGTCGAAAACTTGCTTTTACGTTTCAATTAGATTGAGCCACGAACCGAGCTTTGAAAAGTGATACCAATATAGCGCCCTCACAGGAACATTTTAAGGCGGACAGCTCGAGCAATACTGTCATGCCGATTCGACAAACCGAACTTGTTTGATTACAAAATTGCATTCTTCTTTATTGCTCAAACTTTTGTATTCTTGACAGACTCCGACAACTCGAAGTCCTCTGATCACGCTGTTCCGAAGAAGGAAAAGCACGAAAGCAACTCTTCTCCCATTGGCTGTGACCTGGACACCGGAGGCACCTCGTCCAATCACCAGTCGCGTGACACGACAGGTCGGGGCGGCATGGACGACGGGCTGTTCGGCTGCGACCCGCTCAGTTCCACTGACGGCGATTTGACGCGCGTGGACGAACCGGGAACCTCGCACTGCCACAAGGGAGGACTGGGCAAATCGGGCGCCCCCATGGGCCACACCTTGCACAAGTCCAGAACGGGAATGGGAGGCGGTGGTGGGGGGACGGGCGCCCTCAACGTGGACGCCGACGCAGGCTGCAACGAGGCTCGTCTGTCGGACTATACGGGCACGGCAGCTAGCGGCGTGGTGGATCAACTCTCGCCGTGTTACTCCCAGGATCACGGCGTGATGACCGACGATCAGGGCATGACCTCAGCCCAGCCTGCCACGGCCCTAGCCGTAGCCCAGCTCGCTAAAGACAGCATGCATGGTCAGGACTATCGGTCGCTGTCCATGTTCTCCGTGTCGAACCAAAACCAGTGCATGGGACAGAGTGTGCATCCTCTGCAGAGCACGTCTAACATGTACATGCAGAGCTGTGAACCGCACATGTATAACTCGAGTGGGTATCATCACCCAACCACCATGTCGTCGAGCATGGCGCATCTCCACGCCCATCAGGCCCAGGCTCACGCGGTCAGGCACCTTGCTGCCCAACAGAACATCTCTGCTTGTAATGGGATGACGTCACTCCATGGGCCCTCACAGTTCCTGCATGGGGGTCACACTAGCACCTCAACAGACGCAATGGGGCTAAACTCGTACAACCACTTCTCCAACCACTCGGTCAAGTTCCCTATGTGACATTGCTGATACTAAACACCTTTATGTTCAGTACACCAGATTACAGTGGTGTCCCAAAGCCAGTCAACGCTTATACCACAGTGTTCGCCCTGGTACCCGGCCGGCACCATAACGAAGTAGTTTGCACTTCTCACAATAACATCACAATGTGGAACTTTAAAGACTGTAAATTTACCACTTTTTGTTCTCATCAGTATAAAAACCATTGAAGTGTTGGTTTCACGCGGATTATCCTCATCTTATTTATCACAATTTATTCTGATTTAGCACAGCACATTTTCGCGCTTTTTAAATCTTCCGTAAAGCCTACAACATGAAATTCATTTTTAAACACTTCACTTTCCTATATAGAAACAACGTTGCGCATTAGGAGGTTTGGGATGCTTGCTTCGTTGATTTAAAAAAAATCATTTTTTTTCAAAAATTCGTAGAAAGAACAAGTTTTGCTGGAACAAAACTGTCCATCACACGGAACAATGAATCCCTTCATTCGATGACAAAGCCAATGTAACAACGAATCGAATCCCCGCTAAAATAGTTATGTATAAAAGCCCACCTTAACTTTGCCGATATTTTTCTTGAAATGCCGCGAAATTAGGATTTAATTAAAACTATAGGATTTTAGTCAAACAAGGCCAGTCTTGTGTTAAACCCTCCAGAAGATTGAGGCATTAACGTCGTTCAACGAGGTAGACTGGTGCTTTGATGTCTCACTGGATTTTTTGTCCAGCGTTGGTTCAGGGTACCAAACCAAAATGGCGGCGAGTAAAGATAACGTTTTTCGAAATCTTGTCATTCATTACCTTGAATTCTACGACTTCAAACACTAATTGCGATAGCTGACATTTTTACCCAAAACCACGTCTTGGCGGATTAATTCCTATTGATTATGATAACATCCTCGACCCATTTTACCCAACAACATTAATTGGTGCAGTTATAGAAATGACTTCTTTTTTTTAATTGTAAGAAATTAAAGGTATAGCGGACATTTTTCTCTAATTTTAAAAGTTCTTTCTTGTTGATATTGTTCCTGGCTTAGTACATATTTGTGCATTTGATATTTGTATATTTTGGCTGAATATTCTGTGATTATTTGAGAGAAGTTTACTGTAACCTCAATAGAGTTTTTAAAAAAGAAGAGATAATTATGATTATTGTGACAGTCTTACTGTGATTTTGACCAATGGAACGCCCGACTGCTGCATGTAAATTGTAATTGTGTAGTTACCATTGTTCTTTTTTAGTTTATATCTTACTATTACAAACCTTGGACGTGGAAGTGTTAGGCGATGATCCATAGTGTATAATTTATATGCCATATATACCTGTGACCTATAGGGCAAATGGCCTAACAATTGTTTCTTCCAAACCAACTTTTAAAGCTTTGGGAGTAATTTCGGAAGTAATCACTCGTATTATGTAAGCCCCTTTGCAAATTGTGGTTTAATGACAGTTGATCACGTGACCACATAAACTCAAAATTCCTAACTGCCTAATCTGACTTGTCGATTATATTCATTTAAATAACACACAATCCATCCTGTATGTACTAGAACTTATGACAAACAAGTTTAAAGTTTTCAACTTGCATAAAACTCTTTTCAACAGACCAAACGGGGTGTAGGCTAAAGCAACACAACTTGGAATAGGTATTCAGATATGACTGTTTTTGTGTATTATAGTCTCAGAGTAAAACACCAAAAGACTATAAAAAAGATTCTATAAAATGTTTTAATAGTCTATACAATATAAACAACTCATTAAAAGAAATTGTTTTTTGGAGGTATATTTTGTTGAAAACAGTGTGGTAGTCGAGTACATTTTCATGAGTATACGAGTACGGGTACGAGTACTTTGTCATGATGGGTACGAGTACTTTGTCATGAGTGCGAGTATGGGTACGAGTACTTTGTCATGAGTACAAGTATGAGTATGAGTACTTTGACAGAGTACGAGTACGGGTAAGATTACTTTGTCATGAGCCTAGAGTATGGGTGCGAGTACTTTGTCATGAGTACGAGTATGAGTACGAGTACTTTGTCATGAGTACGAGTACGATTACAAGGCAATTTGTTTCAATGAGTACGAGTACCAAAAATGTGCTCGATTACGATCGCGAGTACGAGTACACGTACGAGGTTTCCACAAGTAGGAGCAAATTTCAATATGTCACGTTTTCAAGGGCTTTGTACCCTAATGCGGGGCATAAAACCTGTATTGAAGCCCCCAAACAGTAGTAAACTGTTTTCCCTACATATATAGCCCATAATTTGTTTTAAATTATCACACTTTTTGCAGTAGAACATTTTGCAAGAGTACGACGAGTACAAGTACTTTGTCGTGAATTACGAGTACGAAACAGGTATTTTTTTCTTACGAGTACGAGTACATTTTCATGAGTACAACTTACGAGTACATTTTTACGAGAACGATACGACACTGGTTGAAACGTTCATTGTTGAGATGTTCATTTTAGGTATCACATTGAATGTAAGTGCGCGGCTAAGTTGGATTTAATAACGTGAGATTCATAGTAAAAGCTATAATACTCGATGTACAAAAAGGCTAGCTATAGCTTACGTTGTGACTCGCCCCTCACAAGTTCAGTGGTGCGAAGGGCGTGGTTTTATTTGACTTTCTTAAAGAGGATGAAACAAACCTTGTGCAATTTTTATTAAGATATTTCCATCTCTCTTTAACTTGTTTGCTTATTCAATGGTTTTCATTGTTTTTGGACACTAATAATAGAATGTCAGTTTTTTTGTTTAAAATATATAACTATTCTGTCGTAAATTATTTGATGGTAATTATGATTGTAATGACAAAGAAGATTTCTTTATCACCTACTGCATGTACATACGCTTTATCTAGTGATGACGAATCTATTAAAAACGTGAAGATTGTAGATATAAACCCGACATTGAATCGTTGTTTGTAGTATCTGAAAAAAGTGTCCAAATTGTTTTACTTTTTGCATAATTTGTGTGGTAACGATTGGTAAAAGGACTGTTCCTGGCGCATTTCCCCATCATCAGGCGGGGGAAGAAACGGGGCGAACGGGTTTCAACAACCAACAACCCGAAAAAGCCACTGTGAATACTTTGTCACCTTTTGCACAAAGTAGTAAACCCAAGTGCAGTGCTGGGAACGGATGGTTAAGTGAAAACTTCCATTTGTTCATGTTCAATTATTATTGTTTTTAGAACATTAAAAAAAAACTAACAAGTGTCCAGCCTTAAATGAAAACCCTGACAGGGCACTGCATATCATGTGTGAGATGTGCAGCCGCGGCGCTGAGGTTGGATGTCGCCTCATTCGTGATTTTCCAGCAATTTTTAATTTGTTGTATTTTTGTGTTTTTTTTTTTTGGGGGGGGGGGGTTGGTTGGTAAATAAGGCCAGATATAATACATGAAAAAGGGCATGGCATGCAGTCTCCACTTAACAGAATTTAAAAATGTGCCGAATGTGGAAATCCTTACTTGTAGGATTTGAAGTGTCAAAACTTTAAAACTAACATAAACAAACAAGGTGAACATCAACGCTATCGTTGAGTTGGATCGATATTGGACTTTGTGTATAGCGCCCTCTACAGTTCTATTAATGGTGGGACAATTATTTTACAGGCTCTTTATATAATATTAAGATGGCATGTCAGAAAAAAAGTCTTAATTGTTTTGCATTACTACGCATACCGGTATTTTACTTAATTTTATTTTATTGTAATCTTTAACGAGGGTAGTCCATTTCGGTTTTAAAAAACAACTGATTTTCAAAGGAGCCGTCACGTTAAAATTACATGAAAATAAAATTAACAAAGAAATTACAAAATACTTGAACAACAACCGCAATGTTCAAATTGAGCACACCTGTGGAAAATGATCTAGCGCCCTCTACATTGGACTTCTGTGCGTTTTAACCCCGATCGACTGGTGCAACTCTACTTCACGTGCAAGATGGCGGCGCCCATGACAATTAGAACACTTCGTATTTTTCGGCAGGTTTCACGGGTATCTTTTGCTGCACATCTTAGGCGATCAAATGGTAAGAGACGTACTTTAACTCTGGACTATTTTCTTCAGCATGATACTGATTTTCTGTTCTTTTAGGCCTACTTTAAATTTAATTTTACTGAAATTAATGAAATGAATGTGAAATGTGGCGTGGTGTGCATGTGTGGCCATGGTGGCGCACTGGAGTCGTACTCCCTGTCATGCCTGTGCCTGTGCCCCCCCCCCCCCCATTCTCCTCGGGGCTGAGACACAATATTAAACTAGGTTGGGGACGCTGTTTAATGATTCAGATGTACATCTTAATGATAATGTTGGACTTGGCACTTTTTAATTACATGCTTTAGGAAAGATTTCAGTACTGACTGGGCTACGCCACCACTTTTTTCAAGAGCCAAAATGTTGCATCCTTTATCATGTTTAGGCCTAATATGTTTATGATATTTTTTCCATTTTCCCTTCTCTACACTCTCACCTCAACCCTCTCCTTTCCTTTATTCCTTTTTCTTAATCAGTCACTTACTTCATCGAGATTCGAACCTCTGACTCTTGTTTGAAACACGACACTTTTACCGCTAGACTGCGCACGATCGCTTGTTCCAATGATCAATCTTTGGACGTATATAAAGTATCCATCGAAATAATACCCGTTTGGGGTTCAAAATTTATTGAAAAAAAAAGGCGGCAGTATACGACATTCTTTCCCAGACCTACATGTATTTGTTTACAAGCTTCAAGCCACTTCAGTTTAATGTTAGTACTAAAACCTTATCACAACATTGCCTCGAAACCTGGTAAACAATAAAATGAGAAACCTCAGCTTCTAATGTTCATGACATTGGGAATTCGCCAATTAGATCTACGCATGTTGAATTGAAAATCTGAAGACCTCAGCGTCTTAAACATCAATGACTGCCTGCCTGAGTTGATATTCCTTGAGCTTATTATACTCAGCTCGGTTAGTGAACAACCCTCCAAATAAATGAGTGAGTTTCAGTATTTTTGAGATTTATATTTAGAATATTTGACAGATTTTGTTGTCATTTGTCAGTGTATAAGCCACAGGTCAGACTGATTTCATCAAGGGTTACCACCCAATCAACACTGAGTGCACCTCTAGATGGTATCGTTGAGCAAGAGGACAACCCAACAACAAAAGCAACATCAGAAACATCAGAAACATCAGCAACATCACCACAAGAAGCAACGGACGCGGAGGCACCCAAGACCATACCTATCAGCCATGAGAGAGGTTGGTTTACAATTTGCAGGACTGAATAATATTTAGGACCTCAATAAATTTAAAAAAAAATACTTAATTGTGTTTTAAGTTGCAATGACAATGTGTGTTTACTGAATTGAATGACATTTAAATATTCATAAGATGAATTTGCGTCGGGGTGATGTAAATCAATATTAGGTTTTGCCTTTCACCGACGTATAAACACTGTATACTCAGTGTGTTACCTCCCGAGTGAAAGGTGGAAACCGATCTCGCAAGTTCGGTGGTCCAGTGGTAAGACGTCTGCACTAGAAAGCAGTAGGTCATGGGTTCGAGTCCCACCCGAGTGATTTTTTTCCAACTTTCACTCGGGAGGTAACACACTGAGTATACAGTGTTTATACATCGGTGAAGGACAAAACCTAATATTGATTTACATTTTAATAGTAAGGAAAGTTTAGCGATTGATAAGATAGCAACGAAGTGATCAATAATTAAGGGAATAATAATTACGGGAAATGGGTCATTTGGGAGACATTCCCATAGACTTGTGCACAAAAATGTTCAAACTTCAATGTGCCCTAACCCAATATTCCCTTGTCCTTTTTCCACGATTTTCGGTATGTTTACTAATTAGACCACGAGCAACAAATATAATGTAATTGCAACAGCAAAATTTTTCCTCTAAAGGGGGGCTGTGACATTAGGGAGACATGAAAATGTGTCCCTAACGATGTCTCCCATCGTGCGAAATTACGATAACGTGTCTTCTTAATGGTACCTTTACACGTATAAATTGGCGCTTGGCTGGTTTTAAAACAGTATGTTTAAAACCAGCTTTGGGCTTGGATGCTGATAATGGCCTAAGTCGAGACGAAGGACATTATTGGCGACCAGGCCCCGAGCCTAATACCTGTCAAAAAAAGTTTATCTGATAGGATTGGCTGTTTCAAGATGAACATTTTTATTTATTGAATCTGACAGCTCACCAAACGACGCTGTTACTTCAGCAGCCTGACCAGCCGCCTGATGCTCGCATCCTGAAGGTCGCCATCATAGGATCCCCCAACGCAGGCAAATCAACGCTCATCAACAGGCTCATGGGTCAAAGGGTAAGGGTCAGAGCGCAGGCCTATACATTTACTGGTATTTTGAAAACTGTGTTACCAGAATCTCACAGATGATTTTTAAAAAAAACGGGGGTGGGATTGGGAAGAAGGAAGGGACTAATAAACATGCTGAATGTGCTCACTGTACATGCTTGTTTGCGTGGCACACTGTATGCAGATGTGGTTGACGGTTACACCTCTATGTTCCGACACCCCTATGTTCCGACTGCACATATTCCTATTCCTAACCCTAACCCTAACCCTAACCCTAACCGGAAGTAACACAATCTAGGTTGTCGGAACATAGGGGTGTCGGAACATAGAGCAGTCACCTGGTTGACAGTCCGGCATATTGAAATTTCGAGGGGGGAATTTTGGTACCCCCCCCCCCCCCGAAAAACTTCTCGCTACACTACTGGTTATTGATTCTTTGATATGTGTCGGAAGGAGCTCACTTACAGTATTTTTTTAATCACTGTTCAATTTTCAGTTCAAGAAAACATTTATTTCCACAGTATTAGTCACATTGAATAGTACATTAAGCCTGGTGTGGACAAACATCATACTAAAAAGCCAAAGCTTGATGTGGATGTGCCCGACAAAACAAGACAAAACAACACTGATTTAGTAGCAACCACAGTAATTAAATATATATCGGGTAAACATAAAGTAGACTCGACAATGAACAGCACGTGTCGCAGATTAATAAAAGCTAAGCATAGTTTAACAAGTAATAATGAATTATGCACTCTGGGAGTACGTTAGGAAGGATTTGAGTTTACATTTGAATGTATGAATCAAGAAGCACTAACCACTGAGAAGCACTTACGCAAACCAGAAGTTTGTTATTAATGTACTCAAAGATAGTTGACTGTTAATAGCCGAGCAGTTCATTACTTCTGCTAAATAAGTTTCTGTTGCTGTTTTATTTCTTCCTCGTAGGTCTGTTCTGTTTCAAGCAAGGTCCACACCACGCAGACTAATGCTCTGGCGGTGCTTACTATGGACAGCACGCAGATTGTGAGTACACATTGAAAATCTCCTGTAAACTGTAATAGTTAAGGTCAGACAAATGCTGGTCCCCTTTTTTACATATTGAACCAAAAGTCACTCTTGACCTTTGGGTAGCCCTGGGAGTAATAAGCCAATTGCGAATAACCTATACCCTAAAATTTGAATAACATCTGGTACACTGACTTGCTCAGAATGCTTGGCACATTTTAACTTTGAATTCTCCAGACCGAAGACACCGTTGCTATATCACATGATTCGGGGCAAGCTCTTGCATAGTTACGTAAGGGACGCTCAGCACCAATACATTGTTCACAATTGGTGAGAATGGCACAAAGACACCAGACCATGCCAGAGCTGGGGGTTGCTAGCATAAGGCTTGCCCCGAATCATGTGATATAGCAACAGTCTCTTTGGTCTGGAGAATGCAAATGTGCCAAGCATTCAAGCAAGTCAGGGTCCCAGATGTTACTTGAATTTAATTTGCAAATGGCTTATTGCATAATACCCCGCCACTCGAAAATCACCCCCTAAAAATCAATAGTTACACAGTCAAAGGCGCTAGAAAAAAGTCTTAAATTTAATGTAGTTCCCGCGGAGTGGCTACACAGATACGTTGATACGGAGTGGGGGTGAGACGGGGAGGGCCCAACGAGAGCGCCATTTTCCCTTTTAAAAAATATCAACACACGACTGTGATGTAATTTTAATCGTGAAATTGCTGCGCTTTTTTTGTCAGGTGCCACTTTATTTTGTCTACTGTAACTTTTTTGTCAACGACAGTTTGTTGTTGCCGTCCTTTTAGCAGGTTAAAGCCCTTGACATTTATAACATACTTAGGCCTACAGCAGAACACTCCAGCGGCCCATAATATCGACGCAGCACACACATTTTTTAACTGACGCGCTTTGTGTACAACTTTTGACCAGCGCGGCACGTTGCTGCAGCTGGCAAATGTAAAACTTGATCAGCGAGTTTGGAATTTTCCAATAATCGAATACTAATTTAATTGGAAAAATGGACAGCCCTGGTAAGAATTGTAAGACTTTTTTTCGCTGGTAACCTAGCAACCTTGTGTGTTTAGAAGCTCTTTGGAACTGGCCCAATTGGTTCGGTTTGAGTCCAAGGCATTAGGGGTACAATATGTTTTTCAGGCCATATGCATTAATACAGTGGCTCATCAGGTTTTTGAGCTTCATAATTATGTCTTGTTGTCTTGGTGTTGCTATGTGCAGGTCTTGTTGGACACACCGGGCATGGTCAACCACAAACAAGGAAGAAAGTAAGTTGACTTTTTTGACCGAAAAGGGCATTTTTTGACCTTATGGGCAATCTCAGCCTTTGGTAAAGTACGTGAAAGCACTTTTAAGAGCTAGGTGAATAAACCTGAAAATGTATTTTTCAAATCTTATACATTCATCATCTAGTGATGGTCAAGGAGAGTTTTATAGGAGTTTGGGATCATTTCTCTGAATCAGTAATTAGGTATTATGGTTAGTTGGCTCTGTCATGGACAATACACTTCTTTGCATCACGCTGGGATTGATGTCTTGCGATGACTTGCAGTGACTTGTGATTACTTGATTATAACTCTGGTTTAATTTTAATGCAGAACAAAAACTTTAAGTACTAGTGGTCAATAGGTCTCTCTCAAAGACGGCCATCTCTGTAGGAGAACTGCAACTGCGCATTTTACGCAATCAAGCACGCATTGCGCAGTGTTGAAAATGTTCCACACACGAGCACTTGTTGCTCGAAATGTGTTCGAATACGACGCAGCCGATGTGCGTTATGCAAGTTGACGCTCAAAATGCTGGTGCACGTGGCTGGTCTGAAGGAAATGACGTCATTTGAGAGAGACCTATAGAACTTGGATGTCTCTCAAAGAGTGTTGCTCTTAGCAGTGGTCCCTGTTCATTTATTCTGTCAGTAATGTTCAAGGTATGGTACACCTCTGTTTTTAGCATTCTTAGACAGAAGTGAATTGAATAAACTCAATAGATGTTTCCATTATCGGCCTGCGTCATTTAATGTTGTTTTTCACTGTTATTTTGGCAGGCATCAATTAGCCCGGTCCTTGTTGGTCGATCCACAGAACAGCCTACATGAAGCAGATGTTGGTAAGTTGAATGATTGTATAAACTGTTCATCTAAATCATGATATCGGGCTTTTCCTTAGCCCATTTCAGACATTATTTTACTGACCCACCTTCACCCCCACAGATCCTATACGACTCGTATATGTGACCAGCTCAGCAGAAATGAGTCTGATGTCGCAAAATTTGAATTCAAGCTATCGCCATTTTGAAATGGTAACAGTGAAAATTTGATCAAAATTTGGATTTTTTTGTTTTTGTTATATTTTGATTGTTTGATGTTTTTAGTAGTTGAAATGTCTTACAAAGACATTGAAATATTGTACGAAAAAGACTCACAAAATTAGGATTTTTGGTGCTTTCCTTGGTTGTTTACAGTATATTTGTCAGTTTTCAACCCTTTTTTCTCCATTGAAAAGTTTCTAGCTTTGTAATAAATGGACAGAATGAAACAAGCACAACGATGCAACCAAATGTCCTAGAGAGGTCCATGATACACCAAATGAAAGCTTATTTCATTCCAATTTCATTGATGTAGTTAACTCAAAACGTGAGTTTTGCCACAACAGACTACATGTAATTTTGCAGAGCAGATCACATATTTTAATCTTGCCTAAAACAGTTTACCCATTGCTATTTCTTCGTCAAGTGGGTGGTTTCAATGCTTTATTCCTGCACCGCTGTGTTCTGCACCACATTGGACAGTATGCGCCGCGCGTGCGCCAATCTCCATAAAAAGAGATTTTTCGCACTACATGTGCGAGGCACATATCATAGACATGGCAAGAAGGGTGTTTCTTTCACAAAACATGAGGTAAAATTGATTAACAAAATCAGTGGAATATTGTTAATTTTTTTAGGTTTTTTTTTTTTTCCCATCAAAAAGGTCTGTAATCAAACAATTTGCATACAACACTCATTGGGAAGTTGATAATAGTAAAGCCAGAACACACAAACTGCCAAGAGATCATGCTGGATGGAATGATCTACAAGATAACATCAGGATATGACATTTTTATTAGTTTTTTCAAGTGATTTAAATCGTGATTTTAAATCAATGATTTGAATCAAATGATTTAAATCAAACAACCCTGTCTGTAATACACTGCTGAAATCAGCCCCCCCCCCCCCAAAAAAACCAACCACCCCTCTATGCTGACTAAATATTTAAAAGCTGTTTGAGTGATTGTAACCTAATTTATAAAATGTCATATTCCCAATTTTTTCTTCATCAACTTCAGTGACAAAGTCCTCTGATAAAAATGTCACTGCATGTGTTAACTTCATCACAAATATACATTACATTCTGTACACGTGTAAAATATTATCAATCAATATGTTGAGGAGATTGACCATGTGCTTAAAATGCCTGCAGCATTTGATGCAGTCTTGCTACGCTCATCCATCCCGACATGTCAAGAAACATGACCTGATGACATGGTGCAAAAGTACACTGTATCCTGTTGCTTGGGTATTTGTACTTTTTTCACTTGTACATTTTAAAAAGATATCTTCTTTTCTTTATAATTCTGAGAGGTGACCTTTTTCCTCCTGTAATTTGAACAAAGATGTTAATTGCAATTTCAAACTGACTTTATTCTGTGGATTTATTTTGTTTTTCTAGCAATTTTTTTTTACTTCAGTAAGTAATCATTTTGGATTGGATAGAAAAGTACATAAACCCTTAACTAGTTAAAATTTGACCTAATTAAGGCTAGAATGCAAAATTAAACAAGTTGTTACGCCAGATTGAACCTAAAGTTACCCCATAAAACTCTGCAAAACTTTGTAAAACCTTGCGGTTCTGCCCGTTTACATTCTCTCCTAAATCATACAAGGAATTTATTTTGTTAAACATGTAATTATTAGTACTAAAAAAATGAAAACATTTTTACCAGTAGCTGTGTTAAGATCTTCTAAATTTATACAAAATATTTCCTTTTCCAGACACAGGTAAATAAAAAAGTAAATTAAAAGTTCGGGTCACACAAAATGCAAAGATAAGATCTTAGGGTAAGAATTTTGAGGACAATTGTGCCACTTTTGCAGAGGTCACAGATGTGTAGATCTTAATTTTCATGAAAAACAAACACCAACATATTGTTCTCTTTTGTTTACAGCATTAGTATTAGTGGATGCTTCCAATACGTGGACTCGCGAGAAGATCTCCAACGAGATTCTGATGAGTCTGAAGCTTCATCCGAGACTCTCCTCCATTCTTGTGCTGAATAAGGTAGGAGCAGTAAATGTAGGGTGTGGATTACTCATGAGAGCCAGTGCATGAAACTGGAAATATGCTTATTCGCTCACATAAGGCCTTTTCACACTACAGCCTCTCAACCCGGGTTGAACTCAACCCGGGTTGAACTCAACCCTGGGTGAACCCAGTGCTGCCCTGGGTTGAGTTTTTGATTGTTTTCAACCCTGCCTTCAACCCCGCATCGTTTCACACTTGTTTCGTGCAAACCAAACTCATTTTGCTGGGTAAGTACCGCTTTGAACCCTGGCGAGAGTTTCGACCCGGGTTGAAAATACATAGCATGTAAATGTTTTCAGTCTTGCAAACCTCCTGTATGTTTAGGCCTTTGTTCCATTGGTGCATTTGCTAGGTTGTAAACAATGTTAATGTAGGATATAGAATTATCTCGAGAAGACATAGTATCAGTGAGCTTTTGGCCCTGAAAAAAAAACCTCAACACATTCTTACCTGATAGTAAATGTTGACTCAGACATCAGTATCCCATCATCAATTGATGAACTCTCTAAATTAATTAATTTTATTTTGTCTCCGAAAATTGTCTTTAATTTATACGAGGTCTTGAAAGGTTTCCAAAGATCTCGACCTCAACGCTGGTTCTTGATAACTTTTAAAATTCCCAGGTTGATCTGATCAATGCCAAGAGTGAGCTGTTTGAGCTGACGGCCAAGTTGACGGAAGGCTGTGTAGAAGGGCAGCGATTCACCCTGGATGACCGGACGGCTCGGTACCTGGGAAAAGTGGACACTCGCCCCATGCTGTCCCACAAATACAAACCCAGGATTAAACCGAGTGATAATGAAACTGATGATGCCTCGTTAGACGAAACAGACAGGACAGTGGACAGTGGTATAGTAGACCCAGTTGAGAAATTTGATGATGATAGAACTTCCATAAATGACCACAGGGAAGGCAACAACTTGTCATCTGAAGAGATCTCTGAAACTGGAGCATTGGATTCTAGACTCACAAACGTTAGTGAAAAAAAGTCAGAATCAACCCTTGAAACGCCTAACAGTTCTAGTGTCGGCGGTCAGCCAGAACTGCCTCCAACACTGAAGGAATACATCGATACATTAGAGGGTTTTTCATCCAAGAGTTTGGACTTTGATGACGTGCCACATCCTCAGCTTGAGCCTGCAGAGACTGATGATGCCAAGAACATCGAGAGAGCAAAATACAGGAAGCTCTTGCAAGAAGTTGGTAAAAGGAGCGGCTGGGACGGATTTGGAGCCGTGTTTATGGTTTCTGCTCTAGACGGGGAAGGACTAGAGGATGTAAAGGTCAGTCCATTACTCAATAGTGTTTGTAGGTGTGTAGTGATCGTACTTTATTGAATATATTCATATCCATGCATTATTACTGTCTGGAATAAATCAGTCGAGCATGTCCATCGTTGGTGCGGTTACCAAGCTGCCGCTCGTGATGCGTCAGTCTTGCGTGTGATCTACAACCGAATGGGTTTAGTGTCATTCCTGTCCATGCAAGGCTTACCCCCCCAGGCTCTGCCCCGCGGTGCTGGCCTGAGGTGAGCGCCAATTCAACAGGTGGATAAAAATAGTTCTCCAGTAAACTGGTGTTATAGTAGAGCCCATTATGAGTATATTCCAATCACAATTGCAAGCATCAATCACAAGTATTCATAAGTCCAGTCACAAGTGTGTGTGTGACTATGGATGCACATTTAACCCTAACTCCCTAGTTCCTCAGGACTACCCTGCTAAATCCAACAGAGTCCAACCAGCGTTTCCTGCTTAATCCACTGTGCCTTATTTTCAGTTGTCTGCTGAATCCAACGGAGTCCAACTTGGCGTTATGATGCGGTTCCGTTGCCTGCTGAATCCAACACTTTGCATCAGGAATGGGCACAAGGGGTTAACTGCTCAATCCAACAGGCTCCATCGGGTATATGACATAGTTGGATCCTGTTGGATTCAGCAGGGTTAGTGTCAACAACGGAATACCTTTGTCACAGGTCAGTTGAATAGCTAGTGACTTGACTTGAGACTGGTGAAAAGTGGCTTTATTCGAGAAAAATTTGGTCAAAGCTGAGTGGGCGGGTGCCCCCTCCGCACCCCCCTTGATCCGCCAATGACAACTATGGCATGGAGACTTATTCAAACATTGTATTATCTTCTGTAACCTTTCAGGAACACTTAGTAAGCAAGGCGGTACCAGGCGACTGGGAGTACCACAGGAGCGTCGTTACAAACCTGTCTCCTGATGAGGTTGTCAGGGAAGCCATCAGGGAGAAACTCCTGGAGTATCTCCCGCAAGAAGTGCCTTATAACATCTCACAGGTTTGTAAAAAAATAAATAGAAAGTTCCTTATTGCTAAATTTTCACTTAATTGATTTTGAGATTTCCTATTGTCCTGTATTGATGCCTCTATTCATTTGTGAAGACTCTCCTACCTTTCATATTCCTTTAAAAAAATACATGAGTTGAAAAAAAGAAAAGAAATTGGCTAGAGCAGGCTTTGAGCCTGTTATCTCCCCTTTTCCAGTTTTGGAGTATTGCTAATGTTGGTAGCATTGTGACTTTTATCATGATCCCTGGCTACATGGCATATACTGGTTTATGGCTTCCGATAAGTGTCCTTTGAACAAAGACATTGATTAAATGGGGAGCCACCAATATACATGTAGGGCCGGATAGCTCAGTTGGTAAGGCACAGGAATGATGATCTGGAGGTTGCAGATTCAAACCCAGCTCCAGTCAATTTCTTATTACATGTATAATGCACCTACATGTAGTCAGTTTGCCTTTGTGGTTTATTTGTAAATTCGATTTACAATTAAATTATTTGTTTATAAAGAATAAGTGGAACATCGGGCCCCATGGAAACCAATGTTAGTTTAAGCCCATGAGCACAGAGGCAATCAAATTATGGAAAACTAGGTGTTGGAGTTTGGTGAACTTGGGCCCGATGCAGTGAGCAGTTTTGTTAAAAAAAAAAAATTGTTGCAAACTGCAATGCGTTATTTATTTTGTATAGCAAACACATTTGTGCGTAGTAATCTGAGAGATTTGTAAAGCAAAAAGTTAAAAATTGCCTCACATTTGGAAATTGGAATTTAGGGAAATTGCTGACTGGGATAGTTAGGTTTGAAAAAGGCACATGTGTTGGTTGTTGACGAGACAGATGGCAATTTACTGCAGTCTTTCCCTTGTGTTTTTCTGGATAGAAAAATGAGCTGTGGGCCACTGAGACCAGTGGAAGATTGAGGATTGTTCAGCTGATAATCTGCCAAAAGAGGTCACATGTTGTGAGTACACGTCAATATATCATTCAGCAAAAACCGAGGTTTAAACATGTTGATGACGTGAAACCAGGGGCCGATTTCACAAGACTTGTCTTATCTTGCGACTCATCTTAGGAATTGAGACGAGTCTCCGCGCTAAGATCAATCCTAGCTAAGGTGCATCTCAGTTTAGACTGATTTCACTAAACACATCATATGCAAGATGCATCAAAATAACCAATTTGATGACTGTATCATGTTTGTTTTTACCGCTTGACGAAAAGGTCGCTGAAAAGAAATGCACAAAACCAATTTGCCCGCGCACTTGCGTATAATGAAATTTAACCTATAAAATTTCTCTGATTAAATTTCAAACGTACAATACACAAGATACCTTTTTAATAATACCCTAATGACTAGAACGACTTTCTCCCTGGCTCACCACTCTATTTCGAACAGGAAAATTTTTATTTTAAAAAGTCGACTGGGTAGGAGTCGTAAGCCTATAATTATATTTTGTAAGTAAGTTCATCAAACTGTGTTCTTCAATTTCCTCCTACAGAAACTGCTCAAGAAGAACATCGGTAAGATAGCTCGGGAAGCAGAGCAGGAGTTGATGAGTGCCTTCCAATGCGACGTCTACCTGTCCCTACGCATCATGCGCAGATAGTCAATACTGGGACTAAACATTTCATGGCTTTGCTTTACTTTGCTTACTGTTAAAGCGAAGACTTTTGTGCAAAAACTGCAGGAGAAAATCATCCACCAACAGTTCAGTTTTAACAAGGAAGAATGGCTTGAACAAGTACATTATCCTATGGTTTGACACATGCACAGGCCAATATGCTTGGAAGTGCAGGAATGCTTTTGTGAGTATGGATGTTTCGTCCATTCTTCAATTTCAAAAGGCAAAGCCATCAACTAGTCCAAGTTGGCAGGTGTTGGATAGCTGCAAAAAGCCTGCAGGCAAATAGATCAATCTGTTTGGCACTGCTGTAGCCTGCTGATGGCATCTGAAGTATATACATTGTACATTGTACATGTATATACTTGCTCCTGGTAAATTAAAGACACTTGACATGCTTGAGTGCAGGATTTGCACTGGGTTTTAGTAATCACAGATTTGACCCTATCAAACTAAACTTTTTTTTAAAACTTGGGACATGTTTTCGTGGGTGCTACTCTCGACCACCAGAACCGTTTATGAATTTACGGGGCCGAGACGAACCTTTTTTTCACGTCGTGGAAGTTAGCTTCATGCAGCTTGCCAGAAGAGTGGGGATTGAACTACATGTACATGTATTTACCTTGTCGAAAGAATCTTCTTAGGAATGCAGGGATTCTTTGCAGACAATGCCCCAAAAATATTGGCTTTGAAAGCTTCCCGTTGGAGAAGAGCTCATATATCAGCTCAATGTCATTTCTGTAGTTTTAATTCTGTAAAATTACAGCAATTAATTTTAGTCAAGAGATTGTCCATGATGTTTCTGACGAACACTTTAAGATTTGTAGCTAGAAAATGCTAGCATCAGTCGTGCATCCCAAGGGCAAAGGGATTTTAAAAAAAATCCTGAAATTAGAAAAAATCCTGATAAAAACATCTTGACAAGTCTCACTCCTCGAGAGGGAAAGAGTAAGCCTAAAATTATTTTCTTAGCAAATTATATGGCATATTTTTTTTTTCTTTGCATTTTCCATTATTAGGCTGTATGCATAATAAACATCTCCTGGTAGTTTAAACAATTTTCAGCTTTGTGATACTACTGTCTGGAAAAGCTTTTGTTTTGTGTGTTAATGTCTTCAAATTTTAAAATGTTCAAATTTCAGAATGTGAGTTTTGTAGATCTATACCAGTTGTACTTGAGCATGAAATAATACAAACACAAGAAAATTATCAAAACATTTCGGTTCTACAAGCACAAGACGTTTTATTAATACAGTGAGACGTTTACATCTAAAACTTTAAAAACAGTTTTGCGTTCCACTAGTGTACAGTAAACATGAATGGTAAAGCTCAAGTTGGAAGTGGGAAACATGCCTTGAATCTCCAACAAAATACACAGCCGACAAATTTCTGAGATTTCATAATATAGCAGAACTAATTATATGGCATCTTGCCTGAAATGACTTCCACATGAAAAGAATATACAAAACCTCCAATCCTCATGCAAAATGTTGATTTTCCCAGGAAATTATAGTGACTTGCTACAAATTTTTGAATCCAAATGCAAAATGACATGCGTGATGTAAGAATATATTGGTGGTTTGATGCAAAGAACAAAGTTTTTTATTAAAAAAAATAAACAAAATCAAAAAGGCAAATGAAATCTTGTAGTTCAAATTAAAGCAAATGCGTTCGACTTTTCCTAAAAATTTGTAAGCCTTAAAATCTGTGTGGAAAATGTGGACACAAAAAGACAAATGATACTAAACAAATATTAAACCCTTCAAAATGACATGCGCAATTTAGAAATCAGGTGACCGACATTTTTTGAATAAAATGAAAAAAAACAAAAACCTGATACCTTGGAAAAATGGAAGCTGAAACTCAGTTCCTATGTGAGTAACATTTAAAATCAGCTCCTGAATTTAATCTCATTTGTACTGTGATCAGGCCTTTTGCAGGTAAAATATTAATCCCCATAATTTCATAAAATAACTTTTAAAGACAGGAACCAACAAAAGGTCTAGGGTGTAACCACTCAAACCCGAAAAAATGACATAGGAATTGGCTTACGGTCCAACCTCAATTTGTAGTTTATAGGTGACGACAAACTCAAAGAACTTGGCAAGACAAAATGATGAGTCCAACATTTTGAATACAATTTGATCATTTAGGTTCTATTAAAAGCTCATTTTGTTTAACTAAGGAATTAATTTTTGTTAATAGGTACCAACAGATCATCCCATTTTACTGGTGAACACAAAAGTAGTGGAGTACATGTGTCTAGCACATTTGACAACCCCAGTTCAATATTTACATATCCTCACTTAACGAGGAAGGTATTTCAACATTCAGTTTTGTCTTTCACCTGCATAATTATATGGGCAGTGCTTACTTTTGTGCTCGGGTAGAATTCGAACCCATGACCTCCCAAGCTCTTTGACGGCACAGAGTTAAGCAGTGCTGATATAAATTACACTGGGGAAGGGCAAACCAAATATCAAGTTAACACCTCTCGATGTAACTTTGATTGAAGTCAAATGAGGCATTTCTCACAACTATCCATGACGACAATCTGCCTGCTTTTTTTTAAATGCTTAATTACAATAATGAGAAACAAGACCGGTGCTTAACAAGAAATTTCACAAAGTTGTCCTGGTCAAGTTTAGTACGGACGGAATCTGTCCCCTCCTCTGCGATTGTCCATGGGACCGCCCCTACCGCGGGGTGGGAAGCCCCCTCCACGCCCTCCTCTGTCTCCGCCCCTCCCGCGGGGTGAGAACCCTCCTCCGCGACCACCACGGTCACCGAAAGAGCCCCCGCGGCCACCGCCGCGATCCATGCCGCCTCGGCCACGGAAACCACCACCACCACCGCCGCCGCGACCACCACGGTCACCAAAGCCTGGGCCACCGCTTGGGGCTGGCATGCCACCTGTCCAATGAAGAAACAAATGTGTTAGCGAGAACTGAAAGCGGCTTTCTTATAAACTTCTCGTTTTGCTTATTGTCCAAAGTCCGTCAATTGTGACACTGTTAACACAAGTTCTGTGGACTGTTCCAGTTGTTCAATCCATTGGTTAATCTTGCAGAGCTTTAACTATGAAATGAACTTGAGTATATGACAGGTTTTTGGCAATCATGTGTGAACGCTCAAGAGATGCACATTTTGTGGCATCAACTATCAACTTGTCATGCTGTATTGTGACGCAAGCCTGGAGTGTGGGGAACGACTATTTCAGTGTGCGAGTCGCAAAGGGTCAAAGGTTGTTGTTTTTGCATCCTTATGAAAAAACTTTGAACATAGTATTTACTCAAGGATGAAATACATCTATTAAAGCAACTGTACTGAAGTCTGAAATGTTTTGCTACGACTATACACACTGAAGACTGAATAAAATTGACTCAACAGTTCCCATGTGAATTAGGACACATGGAAATTCAATAAAATTGTGGGTAAAAATGGCAAGTTCCAAAAGCTGCACCAAGACATTTTTGCAAGACCATTAACAGGATCTCAAAAAATTGACGTAAGCTACAAACTGTCCCTTGAATTTGGGTGATTCACAATGCAGTGCGCCACCAAGAGTTTGCAATGGAGAGTCCATTTTCAAGTTTACAGTCGACAAAACATGACCAATTTGAATGAGTGTCAGTAGACAATTTGAGCTAATTTGTTATAAATTGGGGCATAGCATATTATCAAAAAAAAAGAAAGAGCAAACAGATCCTCGAATCATACGCTTACAAAACTACTGACTGGAAAAACGAACAATTTCAAATGTCCCTCGCTGCGAATTTGTCCACCATCTCCCACAATGCACTGGTAAAAATGAACTCTCCGTGGCAAACGCTTGGTGGAGCACTGCATTGTGAATCGCCGAATTGAAATGTCTAGACTGCACTGCTGTATGCTTACCATCAGCTGGTCGGGGAGCTCCACACATGTTGCACTTGTCACGACGGGCAAAATTGTGATTGCTGCAACCACTGAAAATGAAGAAAAGTAGAATACAGAATTATTTATTAACTCACAACCTTTGGAAAAGAATGACTTCTTACATCACCCAAACTGACATACACTGCATATGCTTCAGGCCTAGGTTTTGCGATAAAAATTATCTGAACGTTTCAAGTAGTTTATGCAAAGTTTTGATTTGATAGTAATCCATCTGGCAATGATTTACTGAGTCATAAATCCCTTGTAGCCGTTTGCAATATTCAACAAATTCCTTACAATTGGTGCTGTAAATCCATTGTGTGCTTGAGCACTGTTTGAACAAACGGTGTTTGACATTAAAAAAAAATTCATAATGCTGCTAAATGCCAAAATGGTGCCATGTCTAGCAACCATGATGGACATTTAGCTGTCTTTTTAGGCTTAGATCTTTGCATAATATGCTGTGCTTATAAAGCGCATTTCATTTTCACCCAAAATTCCAATGCTCTGAAATGGTTATTGACATTTAACTCCACATTCACTGGGCCATAATTTAATTCCATGTAATTGAAAAACAAATTTGTAGTCAAAAGAGAAAAGTTGAAAATGGAAAACCAGCTTATCACTATTAAATTTGGTACAGAGGACTTGATGTATTCATTGATTCTGCTTAGATTTTTCTGGAGCATCAGAGCCTCTGCAGTGTCTCCTGGTGTAAGAATACGAGTACTAATAGAAAACGGCGGACTTACTTCTCTGTACATATCCAATCGCCCTGCCGTGCTCCACCGCCCATACCACCGCCGCCACCGCCCCTGTCACTCCTGTCACCACCGCGACCTCCCCGGAAACCACCCCCGCTGTCACCATCACGACCGCCGCCACGACCACGGAATCCACCACCACCACCACCACCACCACCACCTTCATGGAATCAAATCATAGGAAATGGTAAACAAGTCTTCGTTTTAAGTTATATAACCGACATGCAAATCCTTGTCATTTGATTGGTGGAACTCACATCACGTGACATTCGTTATTGCTCCTATTCACGCCGCGGCTCAAAAAGTACTATCTGCCCATGGGGAATTGGAAATACTATTGAACAGTTAGGATCATTCTTGTTCCATGACGCGGTATTTATGTGCAAATGCATGCTGGTGTGCGCGTTCAGCATTGCACGTAGCGCGTATTGTTCCAAAGAGCCAGCGCTACAACGATGGGTTCAAACATTTTCGTGAAGGGGTGGTTTGGAAGAGAGAAAAACATTTTCCTCCAGTTTTTATTGAAATAAAAGTTCAAATATATCACATGACAAGGATCTATATGTCAGTTATATAAAACAAATATTGAGTGGCTTTAAATTGTGAAATGGGAGGAATATTATTATCGCTCGGTAAAATCTGGACTTTTCCAGTTCACTCGGCTAAAAATTTAACCTTGCGATAATATTCCTCCCATTTCACTCTGAGCCACTCAATATTTGTATACTATTCACAGGTGATTACTCCAGTGAAACTGATATGTTTGTACTTCTGTGAGGTCTGGAACTAATGCCGTGAAGCTGCTATTAAACAAAAAAAATACTTGCTTAACATTTTAAGTATCAACTCAGCAAAAATCAGAAGGTAATGTAATGTATATGGCTTGTTTCAAATTTTGCAGTAGCACGTACAGGCATGGAACTTGCAAGTAACATAAAAAAAGTAAACTCCAATCTTTACAAGACTTTGTACAGTGTTTTTCAATTTTTAATGGCATAAGTGTGAAGTGAAAAACGAGGAAATCAGCTGATCCGAGAAAAAGTTGCATGCCTGCATATAGCCACTGTTATTAAATTGGGCCCTTCAGTTTTGAATCCTACCAAGAATTGCCAATCCAGGGTTTTCTAGGTTGTACTTGTTTTGTTGTTTTCCTACGACCTTCAAAACAGCAACAGCAACATAAATTGTTTTACCTCTTTCTTGAATACTGTATTTTCATTGGTCTAGAACGATCACGTGGGGGGATATCACATACGTGATATCCCACAGGGAGTGTGCTATGAATTTGTATGTACGATCAGCTGTTTTGAGCACCCGACATGCACGTCAATTGACGTTTGATTGTCATGATTGTTGTGTTTACTGCTGTTTGTTTTCGTGATTTTTAGATCAAAATACAAAGAATCCAAGACAGAGGTACATGTATAACAAAACAATTGTCGACTGCTGTGATATGGGATATCACGTTTTGAACACCCAAGGGTGCTATGCGCCCAACAACAAATGTTAAATGTGAAATTGTAAAATTGAAATTGTCACATCGAAAGATCTGCTTCACAAGGCATTGAAGTGTACACTTTTATGTCTTCATCTACTCTCAACCATTCATGATGCCTGAAACTCACAGCGTCAGGCATTTCGAACAACAAAAAGTAACAACTAATCTTGGTTGTACAGTTTTACTGTGCAGGCAATCAATGGAATGCTAACTACAATGTCTCGTGACAAGGTAACATGTCTCTTACCAAAGCCTCCACCGCCACGACCTCTGAAGTTGCTCCCGAAGTTGGCACGAGAGGTGGCAAACTCCACCTTGATTACGTTACCATAGAAGTCCTTGCCTAGAGAAAGAACATGAGAATTCTCGACTCAATACCAAAGTCTCTTTATTAGGCCCAGGACGAACCTCAACATGTTGGTTACATCACCTGCTACCAACAGCAAATCTGTTGAAGCATAGAAATATGAGCCAGGATTGCCTGCTTTTTTTAGGAGGTGAAAAGGTCGACTACACCTGGCTTGAACTATGACCACGGTTCTCACATGACTTTTCAGGGACAAAATTTGTGCTTTTCGAAAACCAATTCCTATGCCTTTTAGGCTTCTTAGCAACCTATGCCGGAAGGTGCGAAGAGAGCAACTTCAGAAATGCTGCTCTACTTTGCTAAGATTTTGAAGCTTCTGAATTTTTTTTTCACACTACAGTAAGGTTGTGCTTATCGCCACTGTAAATACAGATACATGTATAGAGATATGTCAATTAATTATCTTTTTTTATAATTTTACTTTTTCCAGGCAATTTTCGAAGTAAACTTAGCGTGCTCCAAGCAGCTCTGAATGTTAAATGCATTGTTTTTACTGTAGGAAACAATACAAGCAGCAAACTTGGACAACCTTTTTAAGGTTATCCTCACAATGATCTCTTCCTGTATTTCTAGAAAAACAGCGCCTCTTGACAGATTAGATAACAACATTTGGCAAGGGGACCCGGTATCTTTGTCAAACTCGGTCACAAGCACTGTGAGGCATGTACCCAAACCAAAAACATGGACAAGACTAATGGCAGAATTCAGACCGGCCCACAGCACAGGTCATTCTCAACGAGTGACCGTGACTCACCGTTGAACCAGTCAATGGCTGCCTTGGCTGAGGGAGGGTCATCGTAGGTCACAGTGGCCTCTCCGGTCTGCTGGTACGTCTGCTTGTTCTTGTAGATCCACACCTTGGGCTTGCCAAGCTTCTTGTCGATCTAGTAAAAAAAAAAAAAAAAAAAAAAAAGTTTTTAAGAAATGCTGGGACTCTATGAGCCATTGGAGCTATCGGTTTCCACCGGACTATCTTTTTTTTTAATATCACTTGCCAACCTCCTCGTTGGAATCCCTCAGTCTCCTGACGACGGGCAGAGCATACTGTCCGAAATGTTGAGTCCCTCCGGTTCTTTTCAGAACCACACAATCTCACAAAAGAGATTTACCACATGGTGCTACCGCAACTATTTATCTTATTATTACCCTTTCACCATGCAAACCTTCAAACCTCCTCTTTGCAACCCCTAGTAGCCCTGCTTTTTGTCACCATCTTCACAACCGTTCAACAATTTTTCAAAGCGATCAACTGCAGCTTCTCCACGATCAATTGTAAAATAATGACGACAACTTTGCAATGCGTGAGAAGACTTTTTATGGTTCTTCGCATGAGATTTGACGATACATGCACTCCTTGTACTAATTCATTTGTCTCAAGCTGGGCAATAGATCTGTGAATTCAAATACCTTGATGAGACCAATCTTGCCGAAGTAGTCCGCTAACTGTTCCTCCGAGGTTTCCCCGAGTCCACTGATGAAGACGGTATCTGCAGATAGGTCCTTCCTAGGCTCATCTGGGTCATTTACAACATAATCAACTTCATATCAACTTGTTTATAGCATGCACTTGAGATTTTAACAACTTCCTCTGACACTGCAAGTGACAGACTGTCCATAATCACCATTTACTTTCGAATTGCATCACGTCAGCCAATTCACCAATCAACAGCTTCGGACGAACTTCTGTTTGGCTGGGGCATAGGCTCGCATAAAATTTGCATGCATAAATAGATATCACACGTTGTTGCGGAGCTTGCGGACTGTTAAACAATGGATGATACTCGGACTATAATAATAATAATAATAATAATAATAATAGTTGCGCTTATATAGCCCTTTCCATCGTATCAACAATCTCAAAGCGCTTTACAATTATTACCCCGTTCATCAGGCCATGAGACCACGCGGCAGCCGATATCAGCGCTCAATCGGTCCTTGACCCTCACAGGTACCCTTTTTATACTCCTGGGTGGAGAGAGGCAATTGTAGTTAAGTGTCTTGCCCAAGGGCATAAACACCATGTTCCTGGTACGGTTCGAACCCACGCACCTTCGTACATAAGTCAAACACCGTAACCACTGGACCATGGTATTCTAAGATAACCACTTGCCCAAATTTTCCAGGGGAATTGTCGTCCCTAAAATTGCGTGCAACCTTGCTGAATGACTCGACTTGAACTTACCCCCACCATAGGAACTGCCCCCACCCATGCCTCCACCTCCGACACTGCCACCACCGCCACCGCCACGGCCAGAATCTGTCAAAATAGAAACAATGGATACACCTGTCAATACAAGTTATTACAAGACGTGGAGCGACAACAGTACAACACGAAATGAAGTTATACTTGCAATTCTAGTTCAAATGCACAGACACCCTTAATATTTCAGCTTAGTCTAAAAACTTTTCTCACAGACCTTAGATTACAACCCGAATTGAAGGCAAGACATGTTTACTCTCTTATGGAAATTGTACAAGCCTTAAAGATTGCTGCGTGAAAACTGAAGACCATTTCCCACTGAAGTGTAAATAAATGTACAGATCCACTGGAAAGTTAAGCTCCACAACAAGATCCGATGCAAATCACTACCGATGCACAGGCTGAACTATTTCGTAAAAAATTACAGAAAACACGTGATACTTTGTAAGTGTCCAGCCTGTACTCTTCAAGATCTGAGCGCACAATGGACACATCCAGCTTTGGAGTTGCAGCTACAGGAACAATGCCGTAGCAAAAAGTAATACCACCAGGATTCAAGACAAGTGCTATAGGCTTACGTGTTGGACTGACAATTATTGACCCGACTTTTTAGATAAAACTTGATTTCCTAGGATATTCAGTATTCACCTTACACCACACCTTGTCAGTATGCACCCTACGGGGGCTGACACACATGGTTTTACTTTCAGAACACAAGACCAGAGAGGATTATCAACCATTTGATGTTCAATAACTTTTTCTATGCAACAACTTTTTTCCAAAGTAAACCACACAAAACCGAAGCATTTTTTTTTTACATGTAAAAGATGAGCATTTGAATGTTTACATGTATACATAATAATTTAGGGACAACTTTGTTGTGCCACAAGCAACTGAAACTTTGGCACTAAGGGGTAAAAAAAAAAAAAAAGTTGGCTGAATGGTAAAGTTAATCAATGACCAGGCCCATCTGACTGATGACAATATATCCATGAAAGTCAACCTATTGAAAAAAAAACCCATTATGTTAATTTAATACTTTCCTTGTACGCGTTTTATCTAGAATTTTTTAACGATCAATGAACCCTTTCAAAGGCAATAACTGTTTTTTTCTCTCCGTAACCAAGGTATCAAGTGCAAAATGCACACTTAAGTGTCAGTAATAACCAAACATTAAAAAAAAAATAATAATAATAAGAACCGCCTGGTTTATATTTATCTAAAATTTCCCTTCTGCAGTAATTTTTTAAAAATCAATGCACCTTTTCAAAAGTAATAAAAAAATGTGTATATTTTATCTGTACCCTGGATGTCAAAGTGCACCTCCACACAATTTCCAAAACTTATCAAATAGTAATAAAATAATAACAATAAAAAGACAAATAAAAAAAAACACCCTGCTTTCAACATCATTTAACCCCAATTTTCTGTAATTCTACCCATCTGTGGGATGTTATACCACTCATTTTCCCCCTCAGTACCACAGTGAAACGCCAAAACAAACAATCCTACTTGATATTTTTAATCACAAGATGTGAAAATCTAATACTTTGAAAGAAAAAAAAAGGCTACATGTACTTGGAAAATCAGCACATTACCATCAAACCTGACTGACCACTGCAGATTCAGGTTTGCTAAAAACTTGGAATTTTATTTCAACCCTTTTACATTGTGAAGCCAGCGTATTTTGGTCAACTTAGATGTATGTAGTTGTGCTACTTTCTTACATCTACATAATATCAGTCCTATTGTCTCAGGATAAGATTAGTTCAATCTAAGTCATTAAATGTATTCAAACGATCAACAAACAAAATAATAATATTTTTAAAGTTATGATTTGCTCTGTGACTGACCGGCATCGCTTCAAATTAATACTCCTTGTGTTATTTATGCACAGAGTTGTACCGAATTTTAATTGCTAGCATCCATGAAGGACGTGTCCAACATGTGAATAAGCTTTCATTTTTAACCCGTTCATGTAATAATAATAATAATAATTTGGGAGGCTAATCATCCTTACTCGCAGCTGGGATGCTGAATTGCGAAGGACGCAGCTACAACGTGGTCGGGCCGCTGGCACGTAAAGGCGCCTCTGGCTGCCGGCCACATCGACCCATTTAAGACCACGGAGCACAGCCTGAGATCGAAAGTGTTTGATTTTTCCGGAGGGAGGAAAACCGGAGGGCCCGGAGAAAAAACCCTCGTGGCACAGGAGAGAACCAACGCACAACTCTACTCACATGCGATCCGCGGCCAGGATTTGAACCGTGGTCACCTTGGTGAGAGGCGAGCGCTTTACGCACAAGCCACCCGTGCCACCCATGTCTGTAGAGCTGACTAGAGCAATGATTCCCAGGAAGGACCAAAAATGTAGCTGTGAGCAATTACATTGTTACGGACATTACATTCAGAGTCCCCTAAAAACCAATTTGTGAAAACTAAGTAAAATACTGGCAGTGAAAGAATTGTTTGTACAGTCGACTCCCGTTATAACGAGCTCGGTCATAACGATATCTCGGATGTAACGAGCACATTCTCCCAGTCCCGATCAATTTGTGTACATTACTATGGGGAAATATTTGGTTATTACGTGCACGGACATAACGAGACTTCGGCTATTACGACGATTTTGGCCGACCCAATGCGATGAAAAGCATTGTTCTCAACCCATTTACGACGACGTCTTTTCAAAACTACGGGCATTGCAGCTTGTCAACGACAGACCTTTTGTCCCGAAACGGGTATCATGCTCCCGTCTTCCAATTCAAGCAACACACTTAAGCTTCACCCATCAATGTACCTTTGTAATGACTTCCACTGAACGTTATTTCATCTCGCTGATCTTTATAAATAAATTCAATGGGACTGTGATAATCGGCGCAGTGGACCGCTGGTCTAGTCTGCATTTGGTATAAAACAATAAGCGTTGTAAAACGACTGTTAGGGATGTTTTGCTTAAGACACAGATCTTCAGTTCGCATTGATAAAAGTCTGTTAAGTTTCTCGCAAGAATTTAAAAAAATAACCAGTTTGTGGTAGATATAAGTTCACTCTATAACAACACGATGGCATTTTACAAAAAGGAAATCTAGTTATTGAAACACCATGCTTTTGTTGTTACGGACGTTGCATTATACAGGGGTGTGAGTGACCACTGATAAAAAAAAGCTGAAAACAGCTGAAAAAGGTGTAAAAAAGCTGAACTTTGGAAATCTCCTATACTTTTGTACACAGCAAGAGAGGGAAAAAAGCTGAAATCCAAAACAAAAAAAGCTGAAATCAGCTTTAAAGCTGAGATTTCACACCCCTGATTATAACATTTCGGAGGCAACGTGTCTGAAATCAACTCCTAACACAGAATACCATACTGAATCATGGTATTTTATGTTCGGTGTTATTTTTATAATTTTAAACCCTTCTCTCAGCCTCAAAAACAAAAACACTTGCATTTTGCATGTGAAAACAAGATGCCGAAACGACTACCTAAAACTTATAATTTTAGCCCCAGAAATCCCATTTTGGGGGGGGGGGGACAAAGAATACATGTAACCTCATTTTATCTCACTGGCATACCACTCAATAAAACGCCTTTGTTGTCCCCTTTCATTTGATACCATATTTGAGGTTGTGATGCTAATAGTTCTAAAGATTTCATAAATTTTGCACTTTTCAGCCATGTCTAGTTTCCCGCGAAATTCTCCTTATGCTAATTTTTACATCCATGCATAGCTTACTGTTAAATGTAGAAGTACTCCAAGTTAAAAATGCCGGAACAGCAATATATACATGTAGCACTCGATAAGCAAATCAAAAGTACAATTGACATAGTTACAGATTACATTGGGCATTTACATTATCATTTTCCTATGCATTCTTAATTACCGTGTACTAGTAGCGCACTGTGATTGCTGTACCATTTAAAAAAAATAGTAATGAGCAGTTCAGTGAAGTTAAATGTATGTTAACCAGTTCACGTCCGATGAAGTGTATACACGCAAAGGTTTTTGAGGTATTCGGAACGGATGACGGAAAAACACGCAACGAGCAAGGCCGGAAATATCTGTCTGCGACCCGCTCGCAGCGAGCAAGGCCGGAAACATCAGGGTGTGCTACCTGCAGATGACAGCCTGAACCAGCAGATGACGGCCTGAACCCATCTGGCATCGAGGTTGGTGAAAAACAATCCCGTGCCTGGGTCCAGTCAATGTCAAAATATTCCCGGCGCGAAGTGGTTAAGACCAACATCGAGCCTCTTTCAGACGCAGATCTTAGTGTTTGAAAGAATAGTTTGTAACTTCTACTTCAAATTCACCTCAACCATTCTGACAATGTTTTATCTACCATGTCTACTTGTACGTGTAAAAAGATTTTTAAAGTATTTCTTTCATGAACATGTAGCTAATGTATAGATTTCATGATTTGCAAATAGCACCCTTCTCTTAGCAAACAAATTTTTTTTTTAGATGTAAATGGTACATAGTCTCACTCTGTTATCAAAACTCACCAAGAATAGGGGGAAAAACACTATGATTTTTTTTACTACCAGCACGACAACAAAAATTGGGTCAACAATTTTGCACTCCCATGCCACTATCTACGATCACCATTACCAATACATGTACATGTCTTACTTCTGTAGTCTGTAGGAGAAAAAGGTTCTACAAATAACTGCTTTGTGTGGGAAAATCTAAGCTCAACAGGTGTATCGCAACCTGCAGATATAGGATGGGTCCTGTGTCTTGCACTGTCAAGTTACAATTGGCTAAAATTAAGTCCTTCCACTAAATTTCTAATGGAGAGAAAAAAAATCAGTGTCCATTGTGGTCTTTTTTTCCCAAATGTAACTTGTCTGGGGGTATCTGATCGAGTTCCTGGAGTGAAACGAGGGACAAAACAGGGTTGAGACATCACGTGAACATAAATCTTCTGTCTCAGGATAAAATATTTTTTTCAATCCACTTTACTCTTACTTATTGAAATTCATTATTCACACTACCCACACAAAATTTTAAACCACAATCCTCCATTGCAATGTACAATTGAGGATTAAACTGAAAAATGCAAGACTCTTTCAAACTGTTACAGTCCCTGTAGTTTATGCTTCAGCAAACAATTTTGTGAAAAACCTTTTGCATACCACGCCAACCTGAATTACGAGAACCACACTGGTTGTAACCAATGAACACTGAAACAGACACTTCCCATGACGCGCCACCTATGTTGAGTATCAGTTCCTTATTGACATGCTTGATTTCCTGTGAAATGGACACTCTTGTCATACATCTTCAGAACTACCAGTTAATTTACTGTTCTGATGCCAAACCTTCAAATGTACCTTTCTAGGCATAACAATGTGACCTCCTCCAATCCAACACAACCAAAGACGTGCATAAAATAAAAAAACTGCCGACTGGTAATCCTAGTAAAAATAATAGCATGGGGATAACGTGCGTTACAAGACTCCTCTCAACCTACACTATGTAAGGGAATTACTTTTGTAATTCTTGCTATTTTTCCATGTACACATACATGGTGCACAAGGAATTAGTTTTATACTTCTTGATTTCCTTCCATAATGAAGACAAAACATGATTTTTTCCCGCCCGAGTTTAAAGAGACTATCCGCAGTGACCCAGTTATTTTGGTCAAGACCACACCAACCAACCAGTTCATCTGTGCGGTCAATTTTCAAGAACCGTCTCAATTGTCAGGGCAAAAAAAAAAAGGAAGAAAAAAGAATACACACCCAAAACCCACACATTTGATTATCTCAATGTTTAAACACAATGTGCTCAATATTTGAATAGCTAAGTACAATAGTCTACTTTTATAACGACTTTGACTTAATGTGTAATACCCCAAACATACTTTTGTACGAACTCAATGATGCATACTTTATGGGATTAAATGCCACTAAATATTTTGTTGCTCATACTCGGTCAAACTGTCTTCTAAAAAGTACAGTATGAATCCAAGACCAAACACACTGACAGCCCGCTCAACTTGGAATTCGTTCATGCTCTCACTTGAGCATAATTCTCCCCATTTAAGGAAGCGCCTCTTTCAAAATAAAAAGGACAAATGGAACTACGCTTTTTCAGTAATTGTCCTCCACTGACATATAACATTTCAAATTATCTAGTGTTTACTGGAAGAGTAACATTAAACAAAAAGGTCAAATAGCACCAAAAAATGTTCATGTGAATCACATGTTAATTGCCAGGTTCTAAATTTTCAACTCCCAGATTTCAAGTGAATCATCCTTGTTCCGTCGGTCGATGGTAAAAGCTCTTAATCTGCACTCCCACTTAATAAACCCAAAGTGATTTAGACACATGGATGAGGACATATTTGAATTCCTATTCTCTTAATTGCTTAGGTACATGTAGGCTATGAAATTCCATGCAGTTTTAACCCCCCCCCCCCCAAAAAAGAAAACCCACAATTGTCTTTCGGGAGGAAAAATACATGTATTCAAAGTATGTGTATGCAGTACCAAGTACAAAGTAGATTTAACCATTCTAAAAAAAAAAATGTCTAATGCCTTCCTTTGAAGGAAATGAAGGAAAAAATAGCCTTGTTGTCTAACTACTACACTATCCATACCTTTTTAATCTGCATTCAAAAAAATCCCCACGCTTCATACGTGCAGTATTTTTTTTGGTTTTTTTGAGTGCCTCATTATTCTTGCATTACCCACCAATCGATGAAACACCAACAAAAAAAATACAAAGAGGCACAAAATCAACACCCAACTTACCACCGAACTTATTGTATCCCCCTCTGCTGCTGCCACCGCCGCTTCGGTCACCACTAGGAGGAATTAGCAGGAGATACATTGTAGGGTTTGTAATGCTTAGGAGTCAGGGGACCAGACGGGGGTCGTACCACGACACTCGCGTCTGACTGCCCCCTGGATCACTGTAAGCACCCACCGGTGAGCTGATCAAGGAAGATTGGCATTTTTTTTCCAAAACAAAAATATTTGCATTTGCATGACGAAAATACTCCACTTACGATACAATTCTACGAAAAATTTAAATTTACCCATTCCCAATGTAAGACTACTGATGACCAATCACATGAGATCTCTGTGTCACATGATTGTAACCATTATATTGAGCAAGATTACCAACTTAAAAGTACACATTCAAATAGACTGATCCCCGACTAAGACACGTGACCGATCACATGACCTTCCCGAGTCATGTGACTACATATCGTGAAATGCAAAACCTTAATAATATTTCTCAAAAGGGACTACATGTACATATAAGTAAGAAAAAAGAAAAAGAAAAAAAAGACAACCAGAAAACGCTTTTCAAATCCTGAACCATAATTTTAAAACAGCGTTTTGCCCAAGATCAGTCTATCTTTCATGCAAAATACAAAAACCTACAAACTTTTAAAATAGAAAAACATACTGGTATATTATTGTATACGTAGCAACATACTTAAACAAAGAATCCATACAATAATTCACTGGTTTACCATTTGAATACGTAACTATCATTACCATGATACTGTTCATACTTGGCAATATGTTACCAGTAATACCAAAAAAATCAATATCAGTAACACATTTAATGTTCACCTTTAAAATCAAGGGGGAAATTGATAAATGGTAAGACACGAAACACACACAAGTCTGAACTAATAACTGCTGTAATATTCCAGTTATTTTTAACCTATATGCTTCTGCAGAAAATTGGTACGTACAAATACAAGAAGTGATATCTGTGAACTGATAACCTCATCAGCAAAGCTCATAAATTTTTAATGCTAGAAAAAACAAAACAGAAAGATGTTTCCACAAAAAATACTTACCCATTTATCAAACATAAATAATTTTGAGGAAAAGTTTCATTTAGAAATGTACATTTGAAACTCTCGGAAATCCATAGTAAGAAAGTTGAGCAGATATAGCATTCCAACACCGAGGGTAAAAACCTTATCCAATTTCTGCATGCAGTTCCTTGGGCTTATCCTTGACGGAATATGTTAGGTGCAGCACGTTCATTTGAAGTTCTGGTGAAACACTTCAATGTATGATAATGGTCAGAATTATTTGCAATCAACATTCATCGACATCACAAGGAAGAACTTCAATGTGTTTGCAGGCAAGTGTTAGAATCTCAAGCCCTGGATATTTTCTCTAAAATTCTGCCATACGGCTACGTAAATCTGCCAATAATGTGTGCTTCAGACCTATGTGTGAGCACACCAAATGCCATAGCTGTATCAAATCTTGGCATTCCACGCTTCATAGCTCATCAATATTGAATCCATTGTTCTTCTCTAAGAAAAGCCTTTGTCATTATGGAGAAAAGTACTTGTCGAGTCTCTTTTCAACAATATGGCAAGCAGTCGTCGACGTTAATGGCTTCCCAGGATAAGGACAAATTCCATGTGAAACTTTCCATTGCAAGACTCTTGCAGGTCAAACACATCCTTCATCCATAATTGCGTCACTCACTGCTATGCTTGGAACTCCTCAAACAAACAAGATGTATGAATAAAAGTTTCCATTTGCGAATGGCTTTTTGGAGTTAATTTGGGAGAAATGCACATTGTTGGCAGTTTCATTTCTGCAAAGTGGATCAAGACGGAGAGCGGTTTTTCAGCATGAACCAAAGTTGCAGTCAATGGGAAAAAGGTGCATCTTGAGACATCTTGGCAGCCAACATAAACATGCCGACATTCTAATTCTGGGCTTGGATATAACATACATTCACATTTTCCACAAATGTATGTACACTACAGCAGCACAGACTTTCAGGCTTCTAATATCACACAAATAGATGACGGCTTTTTTTTAAGGGACACAGGTGACCGAATGCCGAGCAATGAAGGATTCTGTCATCATGTATAAATATCCCACCAAGCTTGAGATTGGAGTCACAGGAGTCAAACGAACAAGCGCAAGTATCAATTGCTCTGAAGGTAAAATACAGTGCTGAACTGCTCATTGTAGATCTGGTTGCTACGGTGCATAAACGATTCCTGTTGACCACTCCACAGCACTGGCATTGTTCGCTCAAATTTTACAGGAGATCAGATAAAATCAAGTAATTTGCATGCAATATAAATACAAAATGATACTATTGTAGATGCATGTTTTGACATGCAAAGGTGTTGACACTTAAAAGTTGATTCTTCTCGTACACTTATAACCACTCTCTGCGCAAACTGTTCGGGGAGAATCGTTTTATAGCTTCACGTAACAGACCCTAAAACAGATACAATGTTCATGTAAATGAAAACATGATACATGCAAATCAAATGAGGTTTTTGCCCTTCACCGACGTATAAACACTGTGTACTCAGTGTGTTAAATTCCGAGTGAAAGTTGGAAAAAAATTACTTGAGTGGGACTCGAACCCACAACCTCCTGCTTTCTAGTGCAGACGTCTTACCACTCGACCACTGAGCTAACGGGATCGGTTGGCCGGTTCGAATCTGATGTACACAGCAGCGGGTACTGCATTAACTATTCATAAGATGGAATTTGGCATCGGGGTGATGTAAATCAAATTAGGTTTTTGCCCTTCACCGACGTATAAACACTGTATACTCAGTGTGTTACCTCCCGAGTGAAAGTTGGAAAAAAATGATACATGTACTAGTACGAAATCAACAACACCATGATAACGTATTACTAAGACCGCATTGATGTTTTTTTTTTAACCCATCAGGAGCTGGAACTAGTAGCAGGCAAAGAGTGGATGAATACAAAAACGTAAACAAGAATTTTTGGCAAGTAAACAATACACCTTTTTAAACTGCAAAAGAGAAAAAAAGCCAGAGAAAGTCTCAATTTACACGACACAAACCAATAATGGAGCAAGTTATAGTCTTCCCTTTGATAAACTTACAAAAATGTATTAAGAAATATTTTTTTAAGGACCCAATATAAGTTAATGTAAAAATATTACCATCTTACACTACAGAAAAAGCAAGGGCAGAATGAAACAGTGGAGTGTTTCTTATACCAAACCCAATGCATTTAAATGGGGATTTTGTACATTGAAGGTACAAAATCCACAAGTAATCATCTTAAGAACCAATGACACCATTACGGTAATGCATGTAGTTATTGATGTTATATACAATTTGTCGTTTAGGATCCCTTCTTTTTAACAAAACTATTTTTCAAATGAAACCAATAAAATGACACTTAGAAATTTCAATTGCATGTACACAACTACAACCTTGTTTACCAACATATTTGACACATTTAACCTTGAGCTTTAAAATGCACCAATTGTTCAAGATACCAAAGTACAAAAATTAAGTATTAAACCAGCAACCATAATAGCGAGCATAATAATCTATACTTGTATGTTATTTCAATGATAATTAAACTCGGAGCAGTTTAATATCTGTGAAGAGAGTAGGTAAAGGTTGTCAGTTGAACACACAACACAATAGCATTTTAAAATGGCAATGAATATTCTAATTTACAGGCATGCAACTGGAAATCACAAAAACAGAGGAAATTCAATTTTTTTCCGAGACTTTGTACAGTGTTTCTCTATTTTCAATGGCACACATGTAATGGGAAGTAAAAAAAGAGGAAATCAGCTGATCCGAGGAAAAGTTGCATGCCTGAATTTACCATTTTCATTTAACAAACATGCCCATTGATTTTGTCCCCGTGTTTAAAATAAACCTTATAGTGACAGGGCAAAAGCTATCACCTATTCACCTGGCACTTAGTGGCACAAATGTTTACGCACAACCCTGGCCAATATCATTCATGCAGTGTAGGCCAGGATTCATGATAATGAGGTTGTGGGTTCGAGCCCAGCCGTGGCCATGCGTGTTGTGCCCTTGAGTAAGGCGCTTTACCTCAATTACTCCTCTCAACCCAGGTGTTAAAAATGGGTTCCGGCATTATTCAATGCTGGGAAGTTAACAGACTCAATGTGGTGTGGCGATCCCCCCACAGCAGCATAAGAGTCTGGCCCAATCGTTAAAGAAAGAGAGATGGGTACTCCATTCCTGTTAACACAGGTTCGTCCAGTTTACTTTATGTAGAATTTGTACTTAAGACAGCATGTGCATTTGTACCGCACTTACCGAGAACCCAACTACCTAAAGTGCATAAACAAGAACAACAAGCATGCGCAACAGCGCTCGCATCAGCAACTCAAGCACACCTATAAATTCCCAAACAGGTTTTTGCATTTTCTCAGAATCAAGACTTACATCACAATTAACCTTGCATCAAAATCCACTGGGGTCAATTTTTACACTTAGGACAAGAGCAAATATAAGAGTCGTCTTTCAAAACAAGGAGTACATTGAATTGAAACTTACCCATATCCACCACCACCACCACTGCCTCCGCGGCTACCGCGATATGCACCACCAGAGTCACCACCGTAGCTACCTCCTCCACCACTCGGAGGACCACCTGTTGAGAAAACATTGAACTATGTTGAGGAGAAACGGACACAGGAGTTTGTGGCAAAAGTATCACCTCACAACACTTGCTGTCGCGATACTGAATACAATGCCAAGCACAGGACAACGGATCCACATTTCTAGCTTTTAACGTTAGATTGAGCAAGCTCCATAACTGCTTTTGGATATTGCTGGATTCAGCAGGCAGCTTTGGAATTATGGGTGGAGATTTGGAGCTAGGACAGCAAACCTTTTGTTTGTGTTCTCTCTTATGTGTTAAGCATTCCTTAGGAAAACATTTGCCAATAACACTTAAGCAAACTGCATTTCCAAGATCTGTACATTGTGGTAAGGAGACATCGTACTGGTCTCCATAATAAAAGAAAGATTAACCGGTGGGGATGATTAAGAGCTGCTCATGTCTCTTAGATGTTAAAACCCAAATCACAAATGCAGAGCCAGCTAACTTACCTTGGCTTCCTCCACCATAGCCACCTGATGAACCACCTGCTTGCTGGCCATATCCACCACCTACAACACACAAACAATAAAGTTACAGTCAGCTGGCTTATTAGCCAAGACAGAATGACTAAGGGGTACCGAAGCAATGTTTAGTACCCAACTATTTGAGATCACCTGTGATGTTTTACCTACCACTCTGTTCTGGCCGATGTAGATATTTTATATCAGAGGGGTCCTGTTCTATCCCATGTAGAACACGTATTGATTTTAAAAACACATGAATGCCATGCGCCAATGCGCAAGTGCATTGCTCTCTTGCAGAAATCCTAGATTTGTGGGCATTCAAATTGGTCATTTGGACTCCTTGCCAATTGACCTATTGCGGTAGAATCGCGTCAACGCAGCTTTGAAATATTGTCCAATTACATGATATACAAATGGACGCGGAACGCGCAAAATCTGAGACAAACAAAAATTTGTGTACAAAAACTCCAAAGGGTTGTCTAAGGGGCGTGGCTACCTCTCAAACGGCGATAGGTCAATTGCACATAGGAACCAGCGCATGCGTGCAACATGTCCATCAATGGCTCTCCTATTATGTAGTTAACACATAAAGTGCCATACAATTCCTAGAGAGTCTTCAGTAGACTCTGTAGTATTAACAAACCTGAGGGCAAACTATCTGGGGGCAAACAGTTTAAACATGCACCTCATTCTCATGTATATATCCTCCTGAAATCGTGTCTTACTTGGCTTGGGAGGTTCCGGTGCGCTGTAGGACCCCTGGCTGCCCGGGTGTCCTCCATACCCACTGCTCTGTGAGGGAGGGGCGCTCTGCTGGTAAGACTGGCTGCTGCCACCGCCGCTGCCACCACCACCACCACCACTACTGCTGGAGTTACCGGAGTAACTGGATCCCGTGCTGGGCTGACTGTAGCCCTGTGGGGTGGACTGGGCGTAACCACCCTGGGCTGAAGTCTGACTGTAGCCCGTCACAGGAGGGGTGGTGCCTGCTGTGCTCTGGCTGGGGTAACCTGTCTGGCCTATCAAAAATAAAGAGTTTATAACAAAAGGTCAGAGCAAGTCAGATTTTAAAACATGCTTGTGAGAGATAAAACATGGAAAAAAACTCATTTAACAGGTTTTGTTTTTAAAGACAGCATAAAAAATATAACTAAGAGGACAATGACATACAATTGATGTTCGTAATAATGTGTAGACTCGACAGTTTATTAATTTTGGTAGTGCCACATGAACATTTCAACTAATGTCTGTATTTGTAACACAGGCGATGCCTATTGGGTTGGGTGTTTCACGACACTCGAAAATTATCATTTGCTTAAATTAAGCAAGGCTGCATGCTGTACAGTACAAAGGGAATCAGTTTAACTCCCTCTACCCTGACCCTCCCAAAACCTTTGCCTGAAATCTGCAATTTTGAATTTCATCCACCCTTTAACTGAAAACAAATGAATATAACATATTGGTAGCTTTCTAATATTTCCAGGTACAGTGGCTATATATATACAAGTTGTTGACTCAAACAGAAGTTATTCACGCCAAGGACATAGTGACCTAAAACAGCATCGTGAACCTACCAGACTGGCCGTAGCTGGGTTGTGCCTGTCCGTATGTGGATACCGGTGCGGTGTAGGATCCAGCACTCTGTTGGTAGCCTGTCGCTGTGGCTCCGGCTGCGGGCTGGGCATACCCGGTTTGCTGTGACTGCTGACTGTAGTCGTAGCCGGTAGCTGCTGGCTGAGCACCATAGGCCGCCTGCGTCTGTGAGTATGAAACAGCGTTTGATCAATATCTCCTGTGAGACACACTTTTCATAATGAAGCTACATGGCAAAGTTTAACTCTAACCCTGCTACATGCAACAGAAAACAACAAGTGGTAAAAAGTTGCTGCATGCTGTCATATTTAGCAGTCAATCAAGTCCCATTTCGTTGCTTCTTGTTGCATTTATGATTTAGTAGGATAACTGCTCACAGTGCTTATTCTGATACAACAGTTTAAACTCTTGCAATTTGTTGCATTCAGCATAGTGTCAAGGCTGGTAAGTGCTGGGCCACTACACACTACAGAAGAATCAATTTTTACACTTGGTTGCATTCAGCGGGGTATTCATTTCAAACTGTGTTGAACTCTGTTGCACTTAGTGGGGTATTTGATGGGGGTTTAGGATTAACAAGATCTATTAGGGTATCCCAAAAAATTAGAAATTATTTGCAAACATGCTTTAGAAATAGATCACTGCATATTCTGTCCATACTAAAGAGACTGTGTTTGGTTCTACACTTATAAATACTTAGGCAAGGATCTTAACCATTCATAGAGATATGATTTTAGAAAAAGAAAACCAAACCAACTTACATTTAGCACATCGGTTTGGACAGGACTTTATCTGGCTCAGCACAGATTAATTTTTTCCCAGCTAAGCCAATTCTTAGTTACATGCAAGTTCCACTATCTGGGCCCTTTTTTGTGGACCTGCTTAACAGAAAATTCTACTAAGAAAATTTGTTGGCTTTGCAATAATCAGATGGGGATCACTCATAGGCAATACACACAGCAAAACACTTGGCCAGTAACTTTGCAATCAAAAGTTGTCTTTTTGCAGCGAAATGAATTAACCCTAACCCCTTGGGTACATTTACTAGAAAGTATCCTGAATCCGCCAAAATCCATCAATTTTGCCATGCAAAAACATTTTGGTGGCCAGTGAGTCCATCAGAATCCACCAATTAGCCGGTAGTAAATCTGTTGAGATCCTGAATCCATCAAAGTCCCCCAACTGCTCAATATGGAGGTATCCTGAATCCATCAAAATCCTGCAGTACTGCTAGGCTTCATGCCCTGAATCCATCAAAATCCCCCAACGTTTTCAATATGGAGGTATCCTGAATCCACCAAAATCCCCCGAAACAGGGGTGTGGATTTTGATGGATTCAGGTACGTTAGGGTTAAAGACCCGACTATTACCTGGCCATATGCTGCCGGCTGAGTCTGACCGTAGCTTGCCGTGGCCTGTTGGGCTGGCGGCGCTGCACCAGCCGCTGGCTGCTGGTAACCTTGACTACTGCCATAGCTGTACCTTAGAAAGAAATATATGTGGGGCAATTGGGTTATTCAAGGGACATGTTCATCATGATTTCTGTCAAAGAAATTCTTGGGTACTTGCAAGAGAAGGGCTTGACCCTATGTACAGTTTATGTCTGAAATGGTCAGATGGGAGGTAATATTCTGACATGCAACTATGGGTTACTCGGATGTCAGACAACTGGATTGTCGACCAACTCAACTAGATTCAACTCGGCTGTTGAGAAAACTGAGCACTCTGAAAACCTGACAATTTTGACAACTCGACTGTTTGCCAAGTCGAGCTTGTATTTGTAGAAGTTGACTTAAGGCCAAAAAAAAATAGTCGGTCTCTGGTAAGACCGAACTTCCGAAATTGATGCGGAGACGCTTTTTTTTTTGTGTGTGTGTTTTTTTTTTTTCAAGCTTGTATTGTACAGACAAGGTGGGTACTATTTTGTTTTTTGTGTCCTCATTATACATTGGTGTCCTCCATAATGCCTTGGTGCCCTTTATCATTTGCCTTGGTGCAATTTCCCCATTCCTTGGTGCTCCTTGGTACAAACATTTGAGGAGGCGCGGCAATAGAGGGCGTTGTTGTAGCTCCCGTGTTAATTTGAAAAAAAAAAAGGTTGACGCGCATGATTAAAATCGACGCGCGCGCTGACCAGAGATCGAGTATTTTTTTGTTTTTGGCCTAATACAGATGGACACATGACTAGCCTGTCTTTTACAGATCACCAAGTGTATGTTGCTGACTGGCCTTGGATTTCTCTCTTACAAATTGAATGCATCGTCAGTTGAGTTGATACAGGCTTCTGTATCTTCTCGTGGGGAGCAAAGGGGGGGGGGGTGTATAGCAAATAAAATATCAACAGGAAACAACGATGTGCAGCAAGATTCAAGTTTTTTTTGCATGAAAACGAAGTTGTCCAATTGCTTTTGGAATTCAGGTATTTTCAAAATGTTGTCAATGCTGTTTGAAATTTGTACGATTTTGGGTCATTTTCAAGTTGTGCTTGTCGTTTGAATCTTGCTGACATGGCTGATGATCATCGAAGTGAAGAGCTCACCCTTGGGTCTGCTGTGCGCCGTAAGCACCATATTCTGTGAAATAAAAAAACTACATGTTATCAATCTAGGCCTATGAACAACAACAATCATGAGAATGTAATTTGGGAAAGAATTCCATACCTGGACATCACTTTGACACCCTGTGCACAAACCACATGAAAGTGGTCTGAAAAATTCTAAGTGTTTTCTCAGTAAATGCTTCAATATTTTCCCTGCTAAATTTGACTTTTAAGGAAATGTTATCGCTTTCTGATGGTTGATAGGTCATTGCAAGGAAAAATTTGTGATGGCAATATATGGAATTCTTTTTGTTTTTTGTAAAAAGATAACTGCCCAAAAATAAAAATATTCTCCCACACAAACGACAAAGTCTGGAACTGAAGGTTGTCATGGTCGTAACTTGATTCTGCAACAAGGTCGTATCTCGCCCGAATACGCTCCGTGCAACGATGTCGTTTCATGCATATTGCAATGTATCACGTACATGACGTCACACGCAATTTTAGGAGTTTCGACTTTTTTTCACAGTCAAGCATGACAATGATATTGATAATTCAATTCAAAGACAAGTTTCAATTTTCTAGAACTAGATGTATAATATTTTTCATGTTTTTCTTTATAAGCGGTACACACAAAATCACCATCAGTACGGGCGCACGCACCAACTCGAGGATTGTCTCAGTCTGTAGAGAATGTCCCCCAAAACAGGGACAGTCGACCCCCGAATTTATTTTGGAGCAGCGCTGTCTCCCGATTTGGATACTGTCCCCCGATCGGGGGACAAACGTTTTGAGCCTGGTGTCCTGACTTAATTGACCTGTATGTCATAGTAGGTTTAGTTAGGCTGGAGAATAGCCTTGGGCACGGCAGATTCGTGTTTTGTTTTGCACAATGTGAATGTTCCGTTCTTAAAATTGTTTTCTTCATATTTAGCACCTTTTGTGAAATCTTTTGAGTGATGACAGGGTTTTGGGCTAGTCTTTACAGATGACCTTGTTGATTGTGTTTGAATTTGATGTTGGGTGAGTACAGGATTGGTTTCAATTTCAGAACTTTTTAAGTTTTAAAATAATTTTGCATGCTCATGATGACCGAGAATGCTACCCAACTCACCCCCAATTATACGATACATGTAATTTATAAACCAATATTATTCAGGCTAGATTGTTGAAAATGAGCTGTATAATTTTTTACTGCTTTTTTCATTGTTATAAATAAATGTGACTAAACAAATTAGGGACAGGCAATAGTTGAAAAGATCAGCTGCTTTTTAGAAATGAACTCCTTTTGCTTAACCATTAAATTAAAAAAAAAATGTTTGATAAGATCAAAGTTGGCAAAATTTTAATCATTCGTTCATTGATAAAGTGGTTCATTGTAACAATTAATCAGTTGTCATTTGTTCCAACTTACCTTTATGTGTTTTTTTTTCATTCTAGGATTACCAACCTTCCAACGGTGCTTCTGTGATGGCAGTGCTAAATTCAATGCATCAAAGAGTGAACAAGCTGCTAGATATTGTTTTGGCTTTTGTTCAGAAGAATGCTAATTCAATATTACTTTGAAATTATTGAAGAAATATGAAACCTGCTTTAATCATGTTCAGGCATGTCAGGAGAATTTTTGGCACAGAAAAGGTCCCTAAAATGCTTCAAAATGCTTTATTTGTAAGGACTCATTCAACCAAGTAATTTCTGTAGGTGAAAGAATATTATACCACAGGACAATATTGTTGACATCGTTGTCGGACAAATTCATGATCGTGATATGAATCTTATTGCTTTAAAAGGAGGAGTTAATATGTGTTACAAGTTTCAACTCTACTGGTTAGAATGAAACCTACAAAAAACTGAAATAAGATGTACTGAATGGAATTAAATACAAACAACAAAGCAATGTTGTAGGCAGAAAAACTATACAAAAGCAGCATCGGAGAAAACAAAACACATTACATATTCCATAACCAATATATATAGTTGGTAGATTGACAAATACATTGAATGTAATTAGATGTAATCCCTTGTGATTAATTTTTGAGTGCCAAAAAAGAAGGAATATTTAGTCATTTCTCTTGTATTATTTTAACTGTTAGTTTGATTTTTGAATTGAAAGAATAAATACAAATGGAGCCAACAGGGAAATACTTTTAAAATTTGTGAATACTGGTCTTTAATTTTAAATACAATGTAGTTTTATTTACCATCAGATAAGACAGGAATAAGTATCTTCACTTGGCATCTTCACATGTTGATTTATGTTTATTCAACTTTCATGCATTAAAATGTAGAGATTGCGCATCATAATGAATTAGATTCGGATATAATAAAAAAAAAAGTCATAAAAAGGCAAGCAGTCGTCAGGCATCTGAAGTATTCAGGTAAGTTCATTAAGAGCCATCTACACTAAAGTGGTTAAATAAAATAACTTTTCACGCCAATTTGAATTTTGTTTAATCACAGACATGACAGAGAACTGCCAAATTACAAAATGCCCATCCATTAAACAGCGGTATTTAATAATTTCCCACTTGGTGATTTTGTCCATCAACTTCCCTCTGCAATCACCACTGACTGTGCTTGCTTTTCCTCATTGGTCATCCTCACCTGACAATATGGATATAAACAGTTAATTTAGTAATATAGAATTATGTGACTAGCCCAAATTAAAGTTGGGGAAAAATATTGTTTAGTTCGTCATGACAATTCATTTTATGTACAGGTAGGTTGGTCGAATGTCGCACGTGCAAAACAAAACAAACTTTACCGTTTTCGATACCAAAAATCGATTCTTTGCATTGTAATATTCGACTTCAACAATGCTGTACCAATGGTACTGCCAGTATCGATACTATTGATATATTCGGTATCGATACTGGAACCATGCGGTTTGCAGCGCTGGAGGCCGAAATATTCTCCGGCCTGTAATTCGAGATTTATACATTGGATTACGTAAGTGAAACACTGGAAAGGGGTGTCTTTCGACAAGGAATCCGATTTTAGCATCCTTGACATGCGCCAGACATCCCCTGAGGGCGCAAGATCTTATCTTCGAAAACTGTCCCTATAAACACAGACATTCCGTGTTTACAGGGACACATTTTGTCCCCCGATCGGGGGATTTCCGCGTTATTGAGGACAATCCGCGAGTTAGTGCGTGCGCCCGTACTGACCATGATCACATTCACACTCTTTATTTATGTTATATTAGAAATATACGCTAAATCTAGACTCTAATAAACTTAGCAAAGAAGTCAATTAATTTATAATTTACAAATTGACTGGAGCCGCACGCACACGAAACAAAGCACGCCACCTTTTTGGCTGGTCCCGCTCACGGATTCTGCGCAATAAATCTTGCTAGCCTATGTCTGCAGGTTACCAGTGACGACTTCGAAAAAATGTTCAGGACGCTGAAACGATCATTCTTTTTACGCCTCAAAAACTGACAAATAGTCTTAATTTTACAAATAACTTTACATTTTAAATGCTTTATAACTAACAGATGACTTTGAGCTTCTTTAAATGCACCAATATAAATCTTAAAACGATAAATTTAGGCGGTCAATAATACTCACGTGAATCTACGTTGGACGACATCTTGTCGAAAATGCCAAGCTTAAGTTTAGACTGGTTTGCGTAGCTACTCTCGTGTACTAGGGGAGCGCTTGTCAGTTCGCTTTTTGGAGACTGAAACCAGACTAAATAAAGCTGAATGCGCACGCGCGAGGCGGGTTTCCCGTAATAAAAGTAATGAGTGCAAGAGGCGGGAAGGCCGGGGGGGGGGGGGGGGGGGAAGCATTGTATAAGTTAGGAGGTTGTACGTACTATTGTAAAATTTCGATTTTCTTCTCCGACCGAAATTTAAAGGAACATAATGTCCTGCAACAAATCTATTTGCTTGTTTATTTTTGCAGGCCTTTTAAAGAGTGGTTTTAAACGGCGCTCTCCAGTTCAGTTCAGAACGACGGAAGCCTCCCGCTCTTAATTCAAAAGTTAAAATTTATTAATTGATTACTTGTCGTGGGCCGATTTTTTTCGTGCGATGTCTCATTGGAAAGCTCATAACTAATATAATTCCAGAAAATTATCAATTCAATGTGAACATCCATTGTTCAAGGCCACACCCAAAAAGCACGTAGGCCTATCGGCTATACACCGACTTTATTCATAGTACGATACAAGTTATTCACTGACTTAGTGAATGCAATATCGAACTATAAAATCCACGACGTGTAGACTAGTTATTGAATTATTTCTTTACAAACTAAAATTCGAACTAATCATCCGCAAGTTGCGGTCACTATTCTGCCCGCGCCGGGCCGCTGGGCGGGTACGTACTACGGGTACATGATGACTGTGTGCGCAGAATGAGACTCTTTCAGATGGTTGCAGACGCCCCAAATCGGGTGAAAAGAAGAATTTTTTTCTTTTAAAATAACATACAAAATTGAAATTCGTTTATGATAAAAATATCTTCCCCAGCCCCCCTAAGTGCATTGTGTCATTGTTTATACATTAATGGGCGTGTAGCCCTGTCATGACGGGTGAGTATCCCGATCTGGCAAACCTGATGTGTAGGGAAAGGTTGGCTGGGTGGGTCTCTCAGGCCGAATCCGGTCGGAGTTGGAATGGGTATACGGGAACTACTACCGCTACGACTACGGACAATCTATTTTTGAAGATGGCCCCGGCCCATATAGAGCGTTAAGTTCGGACTCCAACGTCATACAATGAGAGCGACTTGGCTTCTATTCGATGATTAAGCGGAACAAAAACTTCATCCTCCACGTCCACTCACAGGCGTCACCACAATTTGATGTGGGTGGGACGTGGGGCCGGGGTGTAGTCTGAGCATCATCCATTGTTCAACGGAGCCGCGGCGCGTGCTATGCACTTTGCGATGCGCGAACAGCGACCTCACCACGCGGTTATGCATAGCCTTGGTCAATAGGCCCAAAAAAATTACTTAATTTTGGACCATAATAACTTACTAAGTGATCCTCCCACTGTTATAAAAATGGAAACTATATTTAAAATGTATTATTTTATATCCAAAATATTTGTTGGTCGTATGAGGCCAAAAAAAGGGCTTAGGTTTCTGGTATGGAGCTTGCCCCAAAAGTGGTGCAGCGACGCGGCTTCTTCTTCTTCTTTTTTAACTTTGTTTTTCTTCAAAAGTCGGCTGATGACTGCATAATGGTGCCCGACTAAATTTAGTGCAAAATAATGGGAGCCAAGAGAGTTTGGAGGTTTTGAAACATCATCCTAACATTGAAAAAACAAATTTTTAATTTTTCCGATGTGCCTGGCTATACGGCGACGCGTGTGCATACCAGAAACCGGAGACCGGGGGCCTAAGTGACAGAAATTGGGCGCCCCTACTGAACATGCACCCCCACTAGCCCCCTGTGGTGCGAACCCTGGCTACGCAACTGCCCAATTGCCCCATCCCCTTGCAGGTTCCTATATAGCTCAGTGCATCATCAATGTGAACGATATTTAAACAAGAAACAGAGCCAAAAAGTATATTGCTTCAGTCTCTGTTGTTTTATTTCAATATTTTAACAAGGAGCATTCAAAAGGGTTAAAAATCGTTTACAGTGCTGATGAACCACTCCGTGCATGCTTTAAACAAAAAGGAAAGAAAAGGTGCAACATTTTAGCTAAAACCCCAAAATATTGAAAAATAATTTTCTTGCAATAGTTGGAAAGTGGATGATGACCTCGTGAAAATGGCAAAACAATAAAAGACGGATTGAAAACCTCTACGACTACCATAATTATATGAAATAATATTACCCAAGTCAGTGCCAAAAGGTGAATACGGCGCAGAAGACAGAGAAAAGGGAAAAGAACATGCATAATTTAATTATAGCCCCGCCCGATTTGAAACAAAAATACACAGAAAGATCAAAGGAGTTGCGATTTCACGTCCCCACACTGCAAAAACTGTGTTTAGCAATTAAACACTTTTCTAAACACTTTCTTGCTATCAGTTTGTAAACATGTTTAAATACTAAACATGTTTAGAGTAAGGATGGACAGTGTTTAGCAATTGAACATTAATGTTTAGGAATTGAACACATAATGTTTAGCTCCTAAACATGTTTACAAAGTGATAGCAAAATTGTGTTTAATTGCTAAACACAGTTTTTAGAGAGCAGTTCTATAGACCCATAACTAATCTACAAGCACACTATAAATAAGATAATAATGTCTACACTATTGCCCTATGGACTCCTTGCAGTAGATGACGCGTCTGGTCTGTCTGGAATTAATTATGCACAACTAATTGGAATGTATGCACTACACAATAACCTTTCCAGTTTGCTGACCATACATAAACTGCCTTAATAGACCCAAGCATGCCCACTTCCGAAATTCAGGAAAAATACTCACAACTCCGGGTGTTTGAGACACATCAAATTAATGTTTTTTCTCGTCATCTTTCATTTTCTGTTCAATTTTTTTTTGGGGGGGGGGGGGGTTCACCAATGACTTTTGGGAGAAAATTCCATCCATAACTGATTGTCCCTAAAAGTAGTCGAGTCCTGAAACCCATCGCCATTTTGACAAAGGACGCCTGCGCTCCATTGCACAATACGGCAAGGCTAGGGCCCAATTTCATCCGAATTTCACAGAAATACAAGCTATCAGTCCTGTGCATGGTTTTCCTTCTTTTTTTTTTTTACAAACCCTCAAGTTCAAGGCCCACAAACTACTCTAATAGCAAAAGAAATAGAGGGCATTCAAATCTAGGTATGAAATTTAGGGCCTGGCTTTACTGGCGTAAAACCTTACGTGGCCGCTGGTTGCCGTGACGCGGCGAATATCGTTGAATGTCGGTCACCTGCATGTCTTCGGAATAGTCCTTTGATATCTCTATTAGCCGTGCACGGAGTCTCTAAAGCCCATCTTCACCCATCCCTACACATTTCTGTTACCATGGTGATCATCTGTCATCACCTCAATCACCATGTTTAGTACCAATACCAAAACCAACACCAATATTTTGCTTTATCATGAAAATTACAAAGTCTTCACCGTAAACTAAGGACCCTTCAAGTTTTTTCCACGTCCTTGTAGTCAATCTTCCCTTTGGTTTCATCTGTACGTTTCCTCCTCAGCATTCACTGATCCTAAAACGTCCACTCTGTCATCGTCAATGTTGTCGATGCGCGTGCATCGACGTCTTTGTTATTGTGGCGCAAAATGTTTTTCAAAATGGTATATCTTAAATTTCATTATAGAAAAAAAACCGAATATTTTGAAGAGCATTGGGTAGCCCAGCTTTTAAACAACCTTAAATCATCGTCGTTATGTCGTCGTCATAGTACCCTCTCCTTCTGATAATAACTCCGCCATTAATTATTCAAGGCGTATTCCAACCCGGCCACGATCCCCTCGTAAGATTCCTCCCCGGTAGGTATGATCTGCTCGGCGGGCAAGACGAAGCCGTAGTTCCCGGTGTCTCTCAGCTCCACCACGTACGAGTATTTGGCTCCCAGTGTGCCGTAGGCCCAGTCGCAGCTCGCGCCGGCGGCTTCATCTGCATGTCGAAATTGAATCGTTGTGGATTAAATCAAGTCAATCACAACCTAGTCAAGTCTTGGAAGACGGGGTTCAATGTTCAACAGGTGCGTGTTAGACGTTAAGTGAACGTTAATGAATGAATTGAGACAAATTTATACTCATACTTGAGGCACAGGCGAATCTCTCAAGGCGAAATTCGGCGTGGAATTCAACTTTTGCTTATTCACAGTGAGTGGCGAATGATCAAATCATCATCCTGCACTACAAATAATTATGATGAACTGGCCTCAATGAGTCTTATTTACGTGAACTAATTTTATTGGTCGAAACTGAAGCAGAGGTAGACCATTATTTCAAGGATGAAATTGGGAAATATCATTTAAGGACATCTGTGTCGGCTTGGTTGTATGTTTCTTCTTATGTCTCCGTTTAATCATAGTTAAGCTTCCCTGATGATGAATGCCGCGTAGTTGGGATTGAAGGGAAAATTAACTTGCACCTCCTAGTCAGTACTTACAGAGGAGACGCGCCGATGCTCCTTTGCGATATTTGGTTCCATGCTTACTCTCTAAGGCAGTAATGGCAGCACCAGCAAGGTTGTCCTGCAAAGAAGTTTAGAGACTTGTTTGATGACATTGTTCTGAAGCCAACATTTTTATAAAGTCGTAGATATAAACCGAAGCAGTTGTGTAGATGTTTGTCAAAGATTTGGAGGTATATCGTGTCTCACGCTATTTTCTGTAACACCTTTAGAACCGTATTTCATTATTGTGCCCCCGATCGGCAGACAAATTTATTTTCCCCTGAACCTCCTCGAATCTCCTAGAGGTTATTATTACGCGTCCACTGAACATGTTGAGGTGACGATTTGAACAGCAAATAACATTCACTCAAGGGTGGAACATGTAGAAAGTTAAAATATCTTACTTAAGGACACAAGCGACCTCCGTCCACCCGGGCAGAGTTCGAGACAAGTTTTATTTTCCACGGAGTCGCCAGAATGGAACAAAAGGAAGGCTGTGTGCTTGTCTATGCTTGCCCATGCTACTGATTTGGATAGCGCACGCGCTATACATGATGGGGATGGAAATTGAAGCTGCTGCTATAGCTGACACTACACGTAGGCCTACGTGAAACTCAAGTCAGAGCAGGGCGTATTCCGTGAAGCTGCTTTAGCCTACACTGTAAACAATTTGCCCGTAATTTTACGGTAAAAGAACTGTCAAACGGGTTGCCAACAAAAGACCGTAAAATTACGGTCAGTTACGGGTTTCCAAAAATGACGGTGACCGTAATTTTAACGCGAATTTCCCGTAAATTTGACGGCAATTTGCCGTAAGGTAATGGAATACAAAGTGGGTGGCGTCAGAGCTGAGTGTAGGGGTATAGGGAGGGGGGTAGGTTCCAGATACTGCAGCTGGGAGTGGGGTATGCATACGTTTTACAGCTTGTCTTTTACAGGCATAGTGGTTTTCAAATCACTTAATGTGAAATTATCTGTAAGTTGTAACATAACTTGCATCTGTAAGTTGTAATTTTCATTTACAACTTTTTACCGATCCCACAGAATGGGGTCAACTTATTGCTGGTCAACACCGCAGGATTAGCTGCTTGGCTCTGCCAATTTCGCAATATTAAAGCATTACGGCTTTAACGCTCCAATGATCAGCACGTAGCGAACGTTGCATGAGTGCACACGAATCACAGCTTTAAAAACTAGGCGGTTGTGAGGGTTTGAAAGGGTAGGCGTTTTGAAAAGTTACGAATACAAAGCATTGTGAATCCCAGCCTGCGTCAGGGCACCAAGTTTTACGGGAAATGCACGTAGCACGTTCTTTCTTGTGACGGTTCGAGCAATAACGGTAATACACCGTAAAAAATACGGGAAATGGACAGTGTTTTTACGGGTGTTGTTTACAGTGTAGGCCTAAGCAAAAAAATGCTGTCTAGCAAATTTACGTTAAGATTCAGTTAATAATATTTTTCTGTGTCACTCAAACTTCTGTGCTTACAGCAGATCGATGACAAGGATCAATATTTGCTGCGTAGATTTGTATATGATTTGGCCCCCAAGATGGCGCCATTGTGACTTCAACTTCTGATCACGAAGCGCTATCTAGTTAGTATAGTCTGGGGCCCGTACCTGATCAAAGTAGTCTGGCGGGTAAGGTTCGGTCGAGGAAAACGACCAGGGAGCAAGCCATAGCTGCGAGTAGCTGTGCCAATCGATGAACATTTTGATTTGACGCCCAGAATTCTTCAGTCCAGTCAGGTAATCCACAACGCCTTTGATCTCAACCTCAGACAGTGGGTTAGGACCACGGAACGTATTGGTACAGGGCCACGGGCTCGCACCACTCCCTGGACAGATGAAAACAAGGCCACAGTTTCAAAATCTTGTAATCTCCCACATTGTTAATGAGATATTAATGGGAAAAGAAACTTCAAGCATAACACTGACACTGTCGTGCAAAAATCGGGTTCTCAAATGGGTTTCCCGTCTGATGACCGAGAAAAAATTGTGAGCCAACAGATTTCGAAAAAAAGATGAACGTTCTTTGGACTCTAAAATACGTTGTGCTAAGAACGTTCTTTTGCCATGGACTAATTTCACGGGAGCAAAATAGAAAATACTCTTTGGCAAATTAGCTCGTTCATCAACTATATATATACACTAACACATTTGCTAGTAAATTGCTATTGCTGTAAATTCGACGAAGAATCGACAGCTCTTCCATTTGAAACGAGTAACTCACCTCCCCACTCGTAGGGCCAGTTTCTGTTAGGGTCTGCACCAATGCACCCAAAGTTTGGCATTAGATCACTCCGCGTCTTTCTCCACAAACGATCCTTTGATAATGGTAATGATAATGGTTGCTTTATTTCATTCCACCAATTTAATCGTTTTGTTTGTTTGTTTATGTGGTGTATAATGTGCGGTAATATGATTTGGGCTCAGTGCTTGACAGCCATATGAATTTCCACCATGTTTCGATACATCTTGCGATAGATCCAGACCAGACCAGAACCTATAGACCATGTTCATGTTGCGGCCATCTCGATTTTTTCCCCGTTCAAATCAACGTAAACCAAAGCTAGACTGGAAGGAAAAATAGTCTGGTTCCTTTTTGCACAAAAAGTATCAGTGAGAACTGTTATTGGACACAGGGAACATTGGCTGAAATAGTGGCAGCATGATAAAGTCTATTTCGGGTTCACCAGGATATTCAATTTTCATCGAACAAAACATTGTTGGCTTTCAGGCTTGGTATAGAGCAATTTAACTCAACGACTGTTTTGTGCTTGGGAATCATCGTCTGCAGATCATCGTCTCCCAGTAGGCAAAGAGACATTCAATCATAGCAATTCGTTGGGTGGTTACTCACGTCCGTATGAGTGTACACAAACCCGTCGACGTTGAGGGAAGGTACAATGTGAATATCAAACCCGTTTAGAATGTCGACTACGGGTTGGACGCCGCTCTTGTAGTCCTCCACAAGCTGAGAAGAGAAAGCAAAGGTGTTAAGGATAGAACCAAATTAATGTTTTTCTTCGGGATGCAGTTTGCGATGTTGGTCATCAAGCACCCTCGTAAGGTTTGACCACGAAAATGCATAGTAGAAGAGTTGCCCGTACAGGAAAATATACATGTACGCCTACTGACTTAATATTGCCAACATGTTCTTGCTTCCTTCCCGGAAGGAAGCAAGAACATGTTGGCAATATTAAGTATTGCCACTACTCGGATATTCCACCATTACTGTTATGTGTGGTGCTTTGCTTTTAATACCAATTTTGAAGTGTTCGCGTTTGCAGAGAGAGACTCAGGAAGACAACAGCACCTGTCATGGCGGACACTTCAAAGTAAAGTATTTGAATAGGGAGACAAATGGGAGACATTTGAGTGTCTCCTTTATGCTTTAACCATCCCTGAAGGAATTTCACCGTCGAAAGTTGCTTAAAACTATTCCTTAGGTCAAGAATAGTGTAACCGATAGAAGTTTGGGAGGGGAAATGGGTTTATGGGCGGGATTATGTTGTATTTTACGTGTGCACAAGTCTACATAAACGGACGTGACATGTCGGCCACACGGAATTGTGGGGTGATGGAATATTCCCTTTATCCCTTTTTCTAAAGATTCTCTCCCGGGGTGATGTTTTTCTGTTGTTAAAATAGTGGGGTGATGTGTCCTGAAAGGAACGTCACCCCACAAGTGGGGTATATGGTCAGAACGGTCTCCCTGAGGTGTATACCATTCCGGAGATCAAAAAGATTTAACTGTAATAGAATGTTTAGACAGGACGACTGAGCTGACGACTGAGTTCCAGAATGGATTTATGTATAATAATATTCTAACTTCTATGGGCATGTTCAGGACTGCCTTACCGATTTGGAAATGAACATGACCGTAGCGGGCGATATCCACTCCCGTGCGTGAATGCCACCTTCGAACCACACGATAGGCTTTTTTGGGTCAGCTCCGGTAGAAAGCTGCAAAGAAGGGTGAAAGCGAAGGTTTCACTCGAGTTTTCACTGGAGTGACTCTTTTTCAAAGTATTTGTATCAGAAATTGGAGTTAATTCAACTCTTAGTTATCTGGTTTCACTCTTTAGAAATCAGAGAGTCCATATGTGTTATGTAGGATGGCTTCATTATATCGTACCTATATGGGTTTAAACATTCCAAGAGTTTACATTTTCATTTAAGAATTTGTATCCCTCATTCAGTGTCAAAGCCCAGTAACAGGATGGGGGAAGGGGCATCCTCCAACCAAAAAAAGGTAAAGAAAAAAGAAAAGTGTACAATTCCAAAGGATGCCGTTCCTCCCTTGCCACACATCGGTACCCGATTGGGACATGCAACGTGACTTCTGTAGGCCTACTTTACCCTGCGCCCTCAATCAAAGGTACTGGTTGTTGTACATGTATTTTGTAGTTAAAGGTACAGTCCATCATTCGTAATTTGTGCATTATGTTCGTTTGAAACAACAAAAGTGCTCAAAATCTAAAGAAGAGTGCTGAATAACTAACCTGATGAAGTTTCAGCTCAGTGAATGCTGTATATTCTAGGATCTCGATTACAAATCAAAAGTTGCTGAGTCATGCTTTGAATTGGGCATAAATGACAGCTTGCCAGAAAGAAAATTTCACAGGGACTTCAGTCCCATTATTATCTTTAAACCGAGTATGCTTTTCAACAATAATTATGTCAGTTACTTTTCGGGATAGCTGCAAATGATGGACTGTACCTTTAATATTCAATTTCATATTGAGTTTTTTTGTCAATTCAATTTAATGACAACTATACCGGTACGAACGAAGAGCAATGATATGGTATGGCTATTACACAAGCATACGCACACAAACGTGTGTTCATCATCGATCGTGGACGTCTTTTACTCTTAACTTTTTTAGGAAGGCTCCCATTGGTTTTGTACACGACCCCAATCGCGGACGTATGCTGGGAATCGTGGACAATATTGTTCTCTTTTGTTCTCTGGTATTTTTCGTCCACGGTTTGAAAAGATGAACACGTACACACTCCGACAGCTAATGTCGTTGCATTTGCAGCTAAACTTCAACTGGCCAACTGACTGTGGCCCACTGGGTGAACGTTTGACTTTAATATAGGGTCGTGCACTCAGGGTTATAGGTAGCTCATGCTTTACGCCACTGCTTCCCTGGAGTACATGTATATGAATAAGAAACACGTGTCTTACGATGATACCGTTGATCTCGCGGCTCTCGTAGGAAGTTGTCAAAGGAAACTTGGTCACGACAGTGCTGTGCTCGGCCGCCATGTCATCTATCCACTGCTTTATCTGAAATCATTTAAAAGATGGACGGGGTGATTTTTTGGCAGTATATAATAAAAGGGGCAAGAGGAAGGAAAGTGAAAAGAGGAAACTGTATAGGAGAAACATTGATGCAGTTGCATACTACTATAGCGTATGCGAAATTGTGTTGAATTATTTTCAACATTCCAACTGCGTTTGTTTATAGTTTCATATGTTTTTTTTTTCACACACGGGAAAGAGTGAGGGTTCATCTCACATTAAAATGCTCTCAGTGTACATTACACAGCTATCTTACGGAGCAACACAGCGGACCTAAAATGTACAGCCTAAGGAGAGGGTGTGGTTTTTGTTGAAGGGGTGAGTTTGCTCTAGTTTTTATTTGACGAACCAAAACATCCCCAAATCAGGGGACAGGCCTGCATCGTACCTCGTCATAAGTATGGTATACATCGTACTGGAAATCCCCCAGAGCGGCAATCTGTCCGCCCGAGGGTGGCTTGGCCAGCGTCTGTCCGTCCAGCTTGGCCTGCACATCGTCGATCATGACGGTGTAGTCCATCCCTCTCCCCGCTAGGAAACCAGTGACTAGGCCCTCGGTCTCCGGCGACACCATGATGTCCACGGGGTGGTTGAACCTGCGCAGGGAGTTCCAGATCTCTACCTGAGAATGATGATGGAAATGAAGGTCAATCCAGAGTTGCGACTCAATGGGGTGAGGTGCATACCCCTCCTAAGGTGCCATTCCTCGCTTGATAACTATTGATTGGGTGAGCCTAGCGTTACTATATACGAGGAAAAGTTGGGGTCTTCATTTTCTTGAGGGACAATACTGACGATACTGAAATCACTTTTCTTCTCCATGTTCTGAGAGTGGACTTAACCCTAAAGGGGCCGGGGGCGGAATCCGCCCCCTCAACTTTTTCCGCGATAGCTTTAAAAAAAAAAATCGCGACCCGAGCTGTTCTGACTTTTTAGCCTCGAGCCTTGCGCATCTTTCGATACCAAAAACATAAAAATCGGACCATGGGTTGCCGTGCAGCGATTTGTTTTTCGTGAAAACTGGATTAATATACGAGTGTACACACAAAAGGCATTCATGCATATGAATAATTAATTAGTTATAATTCCAAAACCCTTCGACCTATACATGTAGTCATAAAATTCCTTCATGGATAAGTTGTTCTATGTATGTACCGAGTTTCAAAATTTTTCGTCACTCGATTGCCGAGATCTTGGGGGGGGGGGGGTGCGGCATCCCCCCTGAGAGATGGTCAAAATAGCCCGACCCTTTTAGGGCTACATGTCTCTACCTGTGGGAATGTACAGTACCTCTCCTTTGGATTGAGACCTATATCGAATTCCTTTTTTTTCTCAGATGATCGAGTTGAGGATTTGTACAATTTGCCTCATTGAAAATTTTAGTCCCCTCAAGAAATAAAGGAAAGATTAAAAATACTTCTGGTGATGTTTCAAAAATATTTTGGTCTGATGCTTCGATACCGTGTTTTTGTCCATCCAGATTTGTCACAGCTGATAAAGATGTGCGAAAGTGTATATTTTCTGAATTTTGGTTCCCAAGTTAGGCCTATTAATTGTTTTCTTACCCGCGATTGAAACTCCAGATTTTTTAGCCATGCCAGATCCGACTCATCGTTCGGAGTGACCCTCAGAACCTTGTACCTGGTAGGAAAGAGATAAATAAAACGCTATTGATGACGATACCATTTGTTTTACAGGTTGAACAACTAACATGTCGTAAAATTAATTCACGAAAATGCATGTCCCTTTAGAACCACCTTACAGCAGTTTCCGCCTTTCCGTGCGACTTATCGCGGTTGTAGGGCAAACATGCATTTTCTCGATAAGCGCACAGTTTATCAACAAAGCGATAGTGCAGAAACTTAATTCGCTGAATCGTATAGACCTATGTAATCTTTACAAATATAGGCCTATACACTGTGTGAACGTCATACATAACAACAGGTGCAGAGTTAACTTTCAATTACTAGGAATAAGGATGGATGAAGCACGGTTATTCGCAATGGTATAATGTGAATTATAGGCCTTAGATGATGCAGTAATATAAAATGTAGTATTCTAGACAAAAATAACCTGCTAATCATAGATTATTGAACAAGACGTATGCCTATTGACCAAAACTTTGGCGTATTTTTGTTTTCAATGGATGTCTCATTCAAAAGGGAATAACTCATGCATTGCTAGAAAATATCTATAAAACTATAATTTGTCTTACTAAAAACTTGCGATTCATTAACTCTTTTGAGCTAAAAAAAAGATTCAAAGTTGGTAAGTACCTATGGGCACAGCTTATGCATATTCAAATGTGATTATTATTAATGTTAGTAGTTCTCAAACAATGTCTTTCTAGATGGAAGAACTCATTAAGGGCAAGTTAAGTGCCTTCCTCGCGGGCTAAAATAAAAAATATACTGGGCTTGGTATAGTTAGCCTTTGCCTATTATGCACAGATACAAGAAGTCCGATTCAGAACAACTCCTTCCCTCATAATGTGTCTACTAAAAAAAGTATCGTGACTAGGCACACCATTTCACCCAACTTAAAACATCCATTGAATTTCTTAGATTTTTAAAACAATAACAGGGAACGGGAAACCTGCACTCTGTCGCATATACCATTTACCAATGAACATGCACGAACATCGTCAAGTGTTTCAAAAATAATTATAGGCCCAAAGTCAACACAGCTTTTGATGTTTCCAGTTGATGGAATTTCAATAGCATTTGAGACCCAACATTTTAGCTACCCTGTCGTTAAAGCGACTAGTTAGAATGGTGCTTGGTTATTTTGATGCAGTGTCGTAGTAAAAATGTTCTTCCGAGCACATTTTTTGGGGTATACTCATGAAAATGTATACTCGTACAAAATACCCGTATAGTTGTACTCATTATAAGTAGCCTATACTCGTACTCTTGCAAATGTTCTCACGCAAGAATTCTTTTTTTTAAAGAGCAGAAAAAGAACCAGTTTCTACTGTTTGGGATGCCTCTGTATTTGTTTAATGCCTACTTTGTTAACAAAAAGCCCTTGAAAGCTTGTACTTGTATTCCTTCATATGAAAAGCAAGTTAAACTCGTCGTACTCACGTGACAAGGTACTCGTACTCATGCATGCTCGTTTTCTTGGCAAAGTACTCGTATACTCATACTCGCACTCATGACAAAGTATTCGTACCCATACTCGTACTCATTGAAATGTACTCGACTACAACACTGTTCTGATTGCAACTTATGGGCAAGGAATTGGGTACTTGGAATCTACATGGGGGGTCGGTAATTTCCTTAGTAAGAAAGGTTGTGTTGTGAAATTATGCCCAATATTGTCGCTACTGTTAGCGACTACACCTAGGTCTATCGGTTTTTTTTGTCAATAATCCTAAATGGAAAGGATTCCATAGCATCAAGCTGAACCTTACATTTGTAGTCAATGTTGACTGCTTTAGTCAGATCGCAAAAGTACATGTTAAAATGTGTAAGCTGTCGCATTTGTCTAATGATATTATAAAGTAGAACCTACAACATCGAAATCTTGTCCAATTCGAGAAAAGGTCGAGTTGACTTTCAGCATTATATTCACGGTTATTTTCCGGACTTGTATTTGCAAAATTGGTTCGTCAATATGTCAATAATAAAACACTGATCCTACCCATCGTATCGCTTCACTGCCGACACAACGGCGATGACAATCGCTAGAAGAAGAATGACCCTCATCGTACCTCGGCGAGTAGCGGAATTCCCCGACTAGTCCTCAAGGTTTCGCTTACCAACTGAAAACAATTTTCTGGGGTTGCTTCTTTTACAGTTGTTATTGGGCATTGGTATCTTGAACCAGTTTAGCTTGGTTCGGGTGGTTTTCGCCACTGATCACGCACATCATGACGTCACTGTAGAAATCCTCGTCCTGTGATTGGATCAAACTATAACAAGTCCCGCGCTCAGTATATAGGCCTGATTAAGTGATAACAATTAACGCTGAAATTAAACACCCAAAGATTCAAGTGATATTGAACATCTGGACCTTCTTTGATAATTTATTAAAATTAATTGCTTGTCCGAGTGAGAATATGCATTTGCAGTTAAACTCTACTATAATATACCGGGCAAGGCTTAATTGTGCAAAACTCCAGCGAAACTAGACTCATGAAGCAAAAGATGTTGTGAAGAAAGCGTTTACTTTCTACGTATCATTGAAAATGTATAGATATGGTTCTCATTTATATACCTGTCACGGAAATTTTGAACTCATCACACTTGTTTAACCATTATGTGCCTCTGAAACTCCGTAAGGGACACCTTGTGCGCCGTCTTTCTAAATCAGTAATTTCGAACCAATCATTAGTAACATAGCTATATATAGCAGCTGCCGATATTCTGATGACAACTTTTCGTTCCTCTGGACGCATGAGTAGACGAAGTGTACTTTGTTAATGAATTGAAATGACTAAACCTGCCGGCAGTGTGGGCATACCGTGGAATTGACGTCTAAACTCCCACTAAAGAGTCTTGATGCCTTTAACATGAACCACTGTACGCACTTTCAATAATGGGTTTTGCCCTTCACCGACGTATTTTTGTAAACACTGTATAAACTCATTGTTGTCAAGAGTGACTGTGATTGTTTATTTCTTTAAAGTTTTACATAGTTATAATTTATTAACATTCTTTTTAGTGTTTCCTATTCAATCAGTTGGAGAGCCCCTCGACAGAAACTATGTTTCTTTCGGGTGATCCAGCGGGAGCTGGTTAAATATTGTATTGTGTATGTTTTGACTAAAATGTTCGTGTGTGTGGTAACAAGAATGAAATAAATGAAATGAAATGAAATTCACAAACTACATTTGCTCACAATCACTTGGGACAACTTGAGTATACACCAGTGAAGGGCAAAAACCCAATATATATCACCCCGACGCAAATTCCATCTTATGAATACACATTTAATGACTTCCAAATGAGAATTAAGGCTTGAGGTATTGAAGAAAACAAATTGTGTCTATTACTGAGTTGCAATCGAAAACCGCATTTTATCTCGGCTTATATCTAGCCAGCATTAATTTGTGGGAATTCAGCAGATGCCTACTCTATCTGCATTTAGATAGTCCTATCGTTAATACAGCCAATCTTTAAAGAAAAACAAGTGTCACCTCGGTTCAAACTGCGTACGGGTCCAGCCCGAAGTCATGGAAGATATGACTGGCAACCAGTGTTGTAGTCGAGACCTGATAGTCCGAGACCGAGACCAAGACCGAGACCTGAAGTTTCGAGACTGGGACCTAGACCAGCCCCTTCAAGGCGGACCGAGACCGATATGGTCTGAGACCGAGACCGAGACCAGCAAAAAGTGGTCTCGAGACCGAGACCGAGACCGAGACCGGTCTCGAGACCTACAGCACTGCTGGCACCATCTGGCAACTTCAGGGAAAATGCAAGAGCCTGCAGCTTCACCACTTTTTTTTAAGATGCCCGTAACAAAATGTTTATGATCACTGAATGGCATTCAAAATGTGAGACTCTCAGCTTTCCTCTTTGTTGGGTAAATGGGGAATTGATCTTGATGCAGGGTGACCGTAAGGTCATGGCTAAATTCTGCTAAATGCACTTCAAAAATCTGTCAGATTTATCAAAAATCTGCCAAATTCCCCAGAATTACTCATAATACACTGTAAACACACGCAGATGTTGTAGTGTTGCATTAATTAAGGTTCAAATTACATTGTGATTAATCTATAGTCACATAAAGATGTAATGAAATTGCTTGAATTTCAGGCAAAATGCGATTAATTTGCGTCACGACGTAGTCCGGTTCCCAGTGAGCCAACTTGTCTCATGGGTTTGTTTGAAAAGATTGAAGCTTTTTAAAACAAACGTTTTTCTGTCAAATAACCATTTTTGCAGAATTCTGCCAGAAATCTGCTTAAAAAAAAATCCATTCTGTCAAATTTTCTGTCAAACTCGTTTGTTTTTAACAGAAAATCTGTCAAAGGTAGCCGAAACTCGGCTAAAACGGTCACTACGCCTTGATGGAGTGCTATCAGAAGGGGCGCCCTCACTTTTGCACAGTGCACGTTCACACCGTCCGAAGAGCGAAGGTGACCTCGCATTTATTCAAGTTGAGCTCACTTTGTGTATATATTTTGCTTAATCAATTTACCCGAGTTCAACATTTCCTCGCATGGATGATACGTGCGCACTTGCTATTACAGCTGTACTTACTCCTCAAAGTTTGTGGAAGGTATTTAGCTGTTACCGGCGCGCTCTGATTGGGTGGAGGGTTCGAGCGAATGACTGCTAGCGTGCATGGAAGAACATTTTATCACTGCGAAAGACGGTCTTCGAAACAGTCTCGCGAGTGAACATTGAGCCGTCTGGATGGTAAGTTTTATTTGAAAATGTGTCGAGATAAAACTAGGCGCAGAGCTAGAGGCGAGATACTACAGGTTGCAAATGCAGAGGGTTATATAGCGCCCCCGTGCGTGCAACCAAAGCGCCCTCTTTCATCCCGTTGCGATTGCTCTTTCACCTCCACGGTTCGTACACTCGTTTGATTTGGATAATTGGCCCGCTTGGATGATAATAGGAAAGCGAAATCAAGTTGAATCTCCTCCGACTTAGGTGCATGTGTCCTTTATTTGTCCCGCTCCTATTGCATATCTGCGTCCTCGCGGCAGCACCCATCTCCCCATCAGCATTCATCATTTTATTGGTGCGAGCCTTGCTCATCAAAGGAATTTTAAAAAGTGAAACTCATGTCAGTTTATTATTTTTTGTATAGCCGAGCAAAATCGCATACTTAACGGGAACGCGACAACATCAGGGTATATCAAAAGATTACCCCGGTCATAACGTTTTGTATCAAGGTATGACAATATAGGACTATATAATGGCTAATTACTCAAATTTAATTGTTCAATAATATAGGTTTCCCCGGCTATTTTAGTTAAAGATTTTTAATTCAAATTCACCAACTCTAACATACAATTTCGTCCACGAAAATTTTACAAGCTTTTACCAAAACCAATTTAGTCATTTACCATTCAATTTTAAAGTTTGGTCGCCCTCTTTAGTCACCGGGTCGAAAATATTCGTCAGTACAGATCAGATTCGTCTAGGCTGTTGCCGAATGGCAGCATTCAGAGATCAAATTCGTCTTACAGAAATCAATAAGACGAATTTGATTTCTGAATAACAAGGTCTAGCTACACAAGAAGAAATTAAATACTCTGGGACGAAAACGTGTGCTCATTGTTTGAATTTGCTTGAACTGAATTGGAAATTGTCTGACAAAAGACGAAATTGAACATTGGAAGTGCACAAAATCGATCTTCATGGACGAATTTGAATATTATTCATGGATATTGAAACGGTGAATTCGAATGATAAACGTTTTCAAATAGCCGGGAAAACCTATATAAGTATCAAATTAACACATTTCGTCACCGACACCAGCTCTTGTTGTATGAGCGCGCGCGCGCTGACCTGAAGTTGAACTTTCCTCGTGTTTTATACATTAAAAAGCGTTACTTCGTGAAAACGAATATTTACAGTTTCGCAACTTTTTCGGTTTTACGAACTAACACTCACCCTTTTCTCTTATTTCTTGTTGATTTAATACACAAACAGGTGAAAACAGCAGATTTAATGAATTCAATTCATCAAGTGTCCACAACGAGAAACCCAACTGAAAATACTCCGCCGTTTTGACGCAAAGTGTCGTTTTAGAAGGCGTTCAACTTTAGGCCAAAAAAAAAAGTCTCCGGTTTCTGGTATGCGCGCGCGTCGCCGTAGCCATGCGCGTCGGCAAAATGAAAAAGGTTTTTTTTCAATAAAAAATGATGTCTCAAAACCGCCAAACTTACTGGTTTGACTGGAATTCTGCTGCTGCACAATTTTAACGTGTTTTTAGATGGGGTTATGATCAAGAATAAGCTTTATGTGGCCTCTCTGGACTCCCATATATTTGCACTAAGTTTAAACGGGCACTATTTGCAGTCATCAGCCGACATTTGAAGCGAAAAAAAAAAAAAAACAGGTAAAAGAAAAAAAAAAGCCGCGTCGCCGCACCACTTTTGGGGCAAGCTCCATACCAGAAACCGGAGACTTTTTTTTTTTGGCCTTAGATGCCGTTTTTTCCCGATCGCTAGTTTTTACTGGTATGTACATAGGTGTTACTTCGTGGTGTCGGTGACGATTTGATTATACTGTAAGTATGACATCAATTATAAAACCTGCAGGGGGCTCTTGGCGGAAGGTTCATATTCTCGGGGGAGAACTCCGTATAGGTTTGGTCGTATAGTTTCATTATAATACCAATGAATCTGGGTTTTTTCCTTCTCAAAATATTGAGCTGAGGCAACATCTGTGCAAACAACTGTTTGTACAGGCATCGATTTGTGGAGCCCTTCAAAGAGGTGCTCCACTTAAGCGTTACGCCTTCTTCCGCCGGTGAGCTTTTATGTCCCATGCAGTCAAAACCTGCTGTTTTCAGGGTAGACCTAACACCTGTTGTGAACAAAATATTGACCCAGACGATTTAAATCGATCATAATTAATGACAATGTCAGCGATTGTGATGGTGGCCTCTGTGAAACGGACATTGCGTTAATGACATTTAATTGATTCCATGGAGAGTTGCATATTCTACTCACTGTAGCATAAAATGTTCAGGGTAGACAACAACAAAAACCCCGGAACCTCATACTTCCACTTCCCTGATACTCATACCATTATACCAATGCATGGAGAATCTTTTTAGAAGAAAAATGAAACCAAAATCGCCCGATTCGGTCCAGCATTTTTTTTTTGTGAAGCTAGCCTCACGATAGGGTCATTTTTGTCCCGATGAATTACTAAACCGCGCCCAGGAATTTGACTTACATTGTAATTGACAGAGGGATTGTTATCTCATTATAAATGCCCACATGAAATAAGTATCCTTCACAAAAATAGGCTCTGCAGCAAAAAGTACTGGACTGAATCGGGATATTTTGGTATTCCGGGTTTTATTGGGTCCACCCTGTATCACCATGTAACAGCCTTGCACATAACATAGTTAAAACTATGGGCACATTTCACGATCATTAGGACTTGCTAAGACGATCCTGCAAGGCACTGTACAAGGAGGAAGAAAGAGAGGCAGGCAGAGAAAGAGGTGGGAGGACAACATCTCGGAGTGGACAGGCCTGACGCTGAGTGACTCCCTGAGAAAGTCTGAGGATCGAGAGGGATGGAGGAAGCTGGTTGACAGGTCTTCAAGGGATGCCCCCACGGTCAGAAGACTACGGGATAGGTAACAGGTAATAGGTAATTAACGGGACGGTGAATCATTATGTCCAATTCTCCTCGTCCCTTTTACGTTTGCTTAGTAATACGGTATTATCTAACTACAATTCCAGGAAGCTCTGTGTGTCTGTGTGTCAAGTCTGTCTGTATTTCGATTATATCCAGCACCGGGCACTGCATGATAATGAATTTGAAAATCGGTAGGTGTAGATGTATTGCTCGGGACCCCAGAATGTGCAGTGTAAAGTATTTGAAGTTTGTTTGATGAACGGTTCTCAAAAAAGCTGCAAAAAAGCTGCAAACTTGTCTCATTTATTTTGTCTCATAAAAGATTTGGCCTGAGTGTGTGTGTCCCCAGTACTTACTTCATTTCCAACCTCGTTTCCAATAGTAAGCCCTGGATAGGAAACTTTCTTCCTGTATCCTGATTCGATATAGCAATTTGCTAATAATGGATTAATATCGTGTAGTTGGTGTTGTTATTTTCCAACGTGTATTACGCTTTTTTTCACGCGATTATTGTAATTATAACGTCCACGCCTTCTCAATAATACTCCTTTTCTTTCCGGTTTTCTCATATAAATACACATTGTGAAACTGCATATTGGCGGGCCAGATTGTAACATTTTAACTTCCAAAAAAAATATCGCGTTTTGATAACTCACGGCGCGATACCCCAGACACCGCATACAAAAACAAATGCTAATGTAACGCACATGCAGGCACCAGTCTATTCCTCATGTGCATACGTGTTTAAAAGTCTTGCACATGCAAATGATCTAATACCAGGGTGAGAGAGCAGGTAGTGGTGGGCGCGTACTGCTCGACACCCTGGGGACGAGGTTGGCATATAGCTAGCTGGCCTTCACTGGGGGCTCATTCCATTATCAACAATGGGTACTTCACTGGGGGGCTATTCCATTATCAACAATGGGTAAATAAACAATTGCACACTTTTCTTCCTCATGTTTTTTTTTTTACTACATATATATATAATTCGAGAAATCTCCGTGTGTCTGTCCACGTCCCACAAGTACAAATAAACGTGCGTTGAACCTGTGAGTGTGCGTTCAACCTGTGAAAACAACGCCATTGAATCGTGCGTTGTTTGCACGAGCAGTTCTCACAAACGGGGCAAGCAACCAATACCAGCGGCCAAGCAGTTTGCCCCTTCGAACATGCACATTTTCAGGGGACGCTGCACTATTAAATACGGTATTTTTGATGCGGGCGACTCGCTCGCGAATTTAGCCAAGCCTCGTTTGTAACTTATGGATTATAACTATATAATGTCTTTCTCTAACTACGCGGACTACTTCAAACACAAACGCAAATTTACCCTTACTTCAGACTAACACTATAGATCAAGAATGTTATTGCTTCAAAGGACAAAATCACGTGCAATTAGGCCTAAAAGTTCTGTAAGTCCAAATTTTCTTTCAACGTGACCAAAATACAAATCTGTCTTCCTCGGTAATTTCTCGCAGAACTCTTCGTTAGCCTATTGAGATATGGCGGAAACAAAAGGAGGGCGCGGTTAGGTTTTGGGTAAATACAAAAGAGTTTACCCAAATCACAAACAGCGCCCTTTAGTGTCTGCCATACCTCAAATAGGCTAATTACGAGACACTCGGAGCATTGCAAATGAAATTTAGAAACATCTTGATTTCCTCTTTGATGACTTCTTGCACAGGATGGATGTGATACCCAGTCCGATGGCTCAAAGTCATATCCCAGACATCGATGATGGTGACGTCAGGAACACCCTTAAACACCGCCCTCAACGTCTGGTCCAGATCGTAAGCGTACAGATCGCTGAGGTCCATCGTGTAGTAGCCCCTGGTGTTCGCTGACTTGAAGAACACGGGACTGGTGCCCGTCCCCCGCTTGTGCAGCCGCGCAATGGCGTCTCTGACGCGTTCCAGCCGGGACTGGTAATACGTCAGATTGTTGGTGGTGAAGTGCGCCCACATGGTCAGGGCCACCACCGTGTCGGCACCGCCCGGTAACCCGTCAATTTCATTCACCGTGAACTTGATGTCTCGCACGTTGGCCCAAATGTTCCGAATCGGATACTCGTGGTGGCGGAACAACAGTGTGATGTTATGTGTGGGATCCCGGGCGCGCCTCGGGCCCATTTTGGCAAGCGCCGTTGTGTTTATTTGATCCTCCTTCATAGTTTCACCGAGGTTTGAGATAAGATACAGAAACCACTGCCGCAGCGTGGAATCGCCGTAGAAGTAAAGGCGTTTATTTCTCAGACATTTCAGAGTGTCGCTCAGGTTGAGTTCCCTCTCACGGCAGAGTTTAGATTTCCAGGAATCTTCAAAGTAGTATCCAGCGGCCCGGTTTGGTTGCTTGGGTGGAAGGCCAGATTTACAAGGCGGTAGATCAAAACATGCAGCATCACTCACTGAAAAAAAAATCAAAGAAGTTCTCTGTTGCAAATTTAAAGGTTTTCCGACTTACGTTTAAGCCTACAATCTCCCACGTTGAGACCATCCAAACAATTTGTAACATTTTGAACCATCCAAACAACTTGTAACATTTTGAACCATACAAAGAAATATTTGTAACATCTTTTGAATTGGTATTTAGTACAATGAGCATTGGATACGTTATTAAAAATTATTCTCGGTATGACTCTATTCCGAATTATATAGAGGGTTTGGGTCTGAAACAGACGTGACGGTTTAATGCATACTTTAATGTATGCAAAATAATGCAGGCCTAATAATGATCATACTTGGGCTTACCATTAGAAATCACTGTGATTTTCTTCAGTTTTCCAATATTCTTTAATTCCTTGGGACTGTAAAAAAAAAAGGAGAAAAATACAACATAAAAGAACTTGAAGGCATGTTTATTGAGAAATATATGTATTTTGTGTTCTTGGAAAACAAATGAGAAACGATGATAAAATCATTTTTATACCAATGGTAATCGTATAGCGTAACTGATATGTTGAAAAATAAATAATATCGCATTACTTTTGTCTTTCAATTCTTTTCTGAAGGGAAACATTGCAGTGTCTCGAATATTTAAAGGCAAATCTTCACTACAGTCGCCTTTACCAACCTACTCGAAAACTTCGACTGTCGAGCGAGCTAATTCGATCGTGGAGCTTTTTTTAATAGCTCGGAAACAGCTTTTAATGTCGTTGAAATATAATTAGAGCTCGATGTGTCTGATTTGGCTGAAGCATCTTGGCTGAAATGTTTTAAGCATTTACGAGAATATTGCTTACCGTTTCACTAAACTGCTTTCATCTGGTCGTATCACTGATTTTCTATACTCTCCGCCTCTCCTCGTGTTACCACGATGTTGAGTAAAATCGGAGCAAGAGAGAGTCTTCGGTTTGAGACAATACCAAGACGTGCCTGCCTTCCCATTGGAGAAGTCACAAACTTCATATTTCGACGCCAGCGACAACCCTTCGGCTCCGTTGTCCACGAATATGTCTCTGTCGACGTGACACGGAGTTATTTCCACGGTACCATTGTGGTCCGTGAACTTGCCGTCGTACGCGTGCCTGTGAGGGAATCGCTCCCTGAAGCTCCGCAGGAAATCAGCGTGCTCGGCGCTGTAGATGAATGGTACCAGCGGCTCGATTTCCCCGGTCCAGTGTAGCGTGAAGTGGGCGGTGTACGTACCGTTACTGTGGTCGATCAACTCGTCTGCTGGGGCACTGGCGTTCAGTGACGCTGTCCAAAGGACCGGCCACATGTGATCGCCTCCCCTGATCTTCCTCTTGCCCTGACCGTCCCTGGCTTCTATGTACAACTCAAGCTGGTCGCATATATTGTAAATTGTCTTTGGGTTTTGGATGTAGAAGAAGGAGTTATCAGCGATGGTTGGATTTACTTGAGGTGTTACTGTATTTAGAAGTACTTTCGAGGTAGCACTTATACCTTGTTGAGTAGGACGTGAGGGTACAACGCGTGAAGCTGAATCACTGTAGTATCTTCTTAGTGCTGGTTTTGGCTGATTCCACTGGGAATTAACAGAAGTAAGTATACTTAATGACCGTCATAATAATTAGTACCGACAGTCCATTGGCAACTTTCCTCGCTATTTTGATTTACAGCTGTGAGGATATCTCAAGGTACATCATGTCCATCCTCACAGCTATAAATCAGAAAAGGCCTAGATTATTATGATTTGTTTAATTCGTAAATTCCTTAAATTGTATTCCAGTGTAAAGGGGCAGACGCCTAAGACTATGGTACAAACTAACCTTGGCCTTATGGAGATACTCACTTCTGAAATCACCGATTAATCTATTCGTTGCTGATGAGCTTGTAGGCACGAACCTACAGCAGAATGACATTCAAGGACCTGTACTCACCTGCACGTTGTTGCTGCCAAAATACAAAAGCAGATACAAAACCAGTCCATCTACCAGCATCGCTAAAACCAGCCAAGATCTTCGATTCGAGTTGCCCACACACGGCCCCGTACTGCCTCCAAAGCTTTTGCTTCCGTTGATGTTTTTGACGCGCTTTACCATTTTCTCATAAGCCACACCCTTCGGGTCGAAATGGTAAATGCGCTTCTTTTAGCTCGAAACAGGTATAATAAACAGGTGATCAAACTTTTGTTACCCACTATAATTGTGCAAATAATTATGACAGTCATTGCCCGCCGCGCGGCATGCCTTTCTTCAAGAGGATGTAATTTTAACTTAGGCATCAAATGATGATTATGAAGGCGCTAGAACTTGCATTTTATTCACACCCTACGTCACGGTGTATGACATACGGACTCATTGGTAGTATTGCGCATGCCTAAGGTAATTAGGAGCGTGACCAGTCACGAGAGAGGTTTAAATTAAATTTCGCCCGAGAAAAATGTCACACGATTTTAACAAAACCAATTATAACGGAAGAAGAAATTCTTAGCTTCATGTCAGTGAAAAAAATCGCCGGACCGTCATCGATGCCGAAACGTCAATACTGGTTACTGGTATAGCTGACCTTCAAGTCTGGACGAAATCGTTCGAAAACCTCCCCAAATCTCTGTATTTATATCAATTTCTAGGAATTTCTCAAAATTGTTATTTCACGAGTAGTTGAACACTTTATACCATCGATTTACAGCTGGATGGCGGAACAAAAATGGTGGAAAACGAAACTGTGACCGCAAAATTTCATTTTCATTGCACAGTTTTTCCATGTTAGTTTACGATTATGTCATCATTTTTATCACCATTGTACAACAATATTGGCAATTATGTAAGATGTCCTAAACTGTAGGGCCTACACAATCACTATTATTTGTGTAAATAAAGAGAAACAACAAGAGTTGAATAATTGTACGACCGCCATTTTTTGACGGTCGTTGACATGACAATAGTTTGACTATAGAGTCGTTCGCACTGACTTCAACTTTAGTGCGCATGCCAACCATGCACTATAGTTAAAGGGGCACTAGGTCCTGAAATCCCTGAAAATTTTATGTTTTGGATTATTTATACATAGGTCATAGGCCACTTCCTTCACAAGATTCTGTGAAGCTCATCAGAGTATCCCATACCCAGCGTCCTGTTTGCAGGGCGGGGGGTACGAGCGAAGCAATAGATTCGCTCGTACCCCCCGCCCTGCGAACAGGACGCTGGGATACTCTGATCAGCTTCACAGAATCTTGTGAAGGAAATGGCCTATGACCTATATGTATAAAGCATCTGACTGCAGCTGTTCAAGACCGCATTTAGACAATGCGCTCAAATGCTATCCGAAACTTCCCATAGAATTACGCACATTCCATACCAGATGTGATTTCTGTTTCATTGCGGACCATGTGGACAAAATTTTGAGCGTCGCATAATGCATTCCAACCGTTCGTGACTCGAAACGGAGCCTGAGCGAGTGACCGGAATTTTAAATTTACAACACAGATAAGTTTTACAGAATTTCCTACATTATTACGCTTTTTCAACAAGAAAAAAACATCTCTAAACTGGAATAAAAGAGTAATGAATCAGTCTTAACGGCCGTTCCAAACATTGATCTCCATATACACAGACTGGATAGGACATCGCGCCGTGTTTGTGCACGAATGCGCGGCCGAACAATGGTGGCGCGTTTACTGTCAGACGGGTAAACGCGCATTATGCTTTCACTCTGTTTACTTTGGAAAATGGATTGTTGAGTGAAATTTTTCTTACAGGAGGGAGTTCAAAAGCTCCTCCAAAACAATCTTTAAAAAAAAATAACTGAACGATGAAGAGTTACCCTCAATCCCTCCAAACAGCTTTTCCACACTTTCTTGATATACACTTTCTTATTATGCATTTTCGAAATTCAAGAACCCCCCATTTCCTTTTCCCTTTTTTTTTTTTAAATCCCTCCTCCTCCCAAAAATGATTGTAAGTAAATTGCCATTTTATTTTTGGCACATTGGTCATTAGAGCACACTGAGTTACTCCATCAATGAAATGAATAATTGTATTAATAATAGGCTGAAATGACATTATATTTTTTTAAACTGAACACTCACACGATAAATTGTATGGAGATTCATTCAAATGATTGATATATTTATTGAAAACCTGAACATAAACCAATTACAATCTAAAAGGTAAAAAACCTTAATTTTACAAAGTAATCAGTAAATCTTCTTCCCGTCCCTAGATTGATCAGGGAATGACATCGTTCACCTCTTGTGATATTGTGTGAAAGGAGATGAATCACAAACCAAAATAGTACTATACTAATTTTGTCAAAGAATAATTCAAGCTACGCACGGTCTTGTTTACAATTAAATGTTTAGCTATACTTCTGAAAATAAATATAATTACTTGTAAGTGTAATGGGAATCGTTTTTGCGAGCGAATATGACGGTGTTTATGGCTATAGCTAGTAATCTTATATAACGGCGTACACAACATAATTTCAAACCGTTAAAGTGCTCATTGCTTTCTTCACCATACAAACTGTCAATAATGTGACAGTCATCTTGGGAGCTTATAAAAATACTTGCGTTGAACTCCACAACTTCTTTCCAAAACCAAAATCAATCAATGTTAACAGTTCCACATCGTAAAAATTGATTAAGGTAAACGCTCAGATGCCTATCACATCGCATGTTCCATTCAGTGGATGATACAGTCGATTCCATCCCTCCGTGAAGTTCTCCATTTTCGTCCGGCTCGGTCCTGCAGCTGGTGGTTTTTGCTATATGGCTTTGCTGAAGTTCTTTGTTTGATATGAAGGTCAATCGGCCAGTTGTGCAGTAAGTTAGCATAAACCATCTCCTCGGTTTCTCTTTATAAAGAAAAGAATAGAAACATTTCGGTAGGCGTTAAGCCAAGGCAGACATAATTCAATCAGATTTTGCATATAAAAGTTATTCGAATAAACTATCTTAAACAAGTCAACTTTTGTTCATTGCCATTGCCGGGTCAATCATGCACGTTTAGGCCTAGGTATGTCTTTTAAAGAAAAATGATGCCGACCACTGAGTATGACAGGCCTAGATCGCATGGAATTTGAACAGAATATCTCGCTAGCTACCACACAGGCCCGTCCCCTCAAACTCAGAGCGACATAATTTGCTTTGTCATTCCCATTTTCATATTTCTCCATGCCATGATGTAAAGGCCTCGTTAAAAAACAACTTACTTGCGAATAATTGTCCTATTCTTCAACGCTCCTTACTTCCCGACTCCAACAATCTAATGCTGCGCACACCTTGACTATACTCCTCGTCGATTTTGATCAATTTAGATCTCTGTTTCTTTTATTCTTTCAAAAATGACAAAGAAAGCGAAGAAAACCCAACTTCATTTCTTAATCCTCCATTCGAAAGTGTACACAATTCGAAATGCGAATTTGTGTTCTTTACCCTTTTCAAAATACGCGCGCGCGGACGCACGTTCGTACGCGATGTCCTATCCAGTCTGTGTATATGGAGATCAATGGTTCCAAACCATGCAGAATCATGACCTTGATGACGCGCAGGTCACTGGTCACGCAAAATCCAACCAATCAGAGCGTGAATTCATCAGAGTATCCCAGCGTCCTGTTTGCAGGGCGGGGGGTACGAGCGAAGCAATAGATAGCGATCGATCGTACCACTGGAGGGCGCACTTTGCAACATTTTGCGGCACGTGTACGCGTGTGCATATCCATCATCGCGGAAGTCGCCGTGCAGTTGAAAACTACTCTACGAAATCACAGCTATTTTACGGTAGTAATAAATTAAAGTTATAACAAGTGTACTACTACTATTAATGGTTTTCAGAGTTCAGTGTGGACGACATGAAATAAGCTTTAAGGATGAATTTGTTGAGCTAATTTCAACACGCGTGGCGCGTGTGCATGCCGAACGTACATTGTACATGTACATATACATGACGTGTACCATGTTCGGTAATCCTTACTTTTAGGACACCTCTATTTTTACGAGTTCTGTTCAAAACTGTCTTTTGCAGATGTCTGTCCAGTACCAAAGTGACTTTTGCAGGCTAAAGCAGTCTTTAGAAGTCAAGAAGGTGTCATTGCCAATTGTTCAGATGTGCCACGAAGTATCAGAATGTCAATTTTGAGTGTCATTTAGTCAACTGTTTTGGCGAGTCTTTCCCTTCCTATATAGGAACGGGGTCCTAAAAGTAAGGATTACCCCATGTTCTTTATTCCTCCATGGTAGGGGGCCGTACATGTACGTGCACATGTCACGCACTAGCCCCATAAATGTGGCCAATTTACTGGGCTACCTACCTCCGTAAATAAAGGACACACTTCCACCATGTACAAAAACATGTCGAACTTTGTCAAATTTTGATTTTCACATTTAGGCTTAGTTTGTAGGTTTTTTCAAACTAAGCCTAAAATGTGAAAATCAAATGTTTGCTTTTTAGAAGCATACTCACCCTCTTTGTAGGCTAATCAGAAAGTGCTGCCTTTTTCAGATGTCTAATTTTCGTGAAATTTCATGTTGAAATTTTGATACGCAAATGTGTGCAAACGAATCTAGCTGGAGTTACCCAGCCCTGAGTTTTATCATTGGGTTGTCATCTAGGGCTGGAGCGAGTTTTTCTCGTAACTTGTAGTATAGGCAAAACATTTTGGAAAATGTTCAATTTTGTCCCCGTTACACACTAATTGCAACTGCAACTCACCCCAAACTTGCCTGGAATAACCATTACACAGGTCCTTGAAGTAAAATACGATCCACGATGAAGATTCAGCCTACAATTGCAGTGAAAACAGGAGGAATAACCGCTAACCTGACAACCTTTCAGGCATGGCCAGGACTGCAATTGGTTTGTGCACAAACAAAATTGTGTACAATGAATGGCGGTCGAATAACAGGCACAGAGAGCGATCGCTGTCAACTACTCGTTTTTGCCGGCTGCGCTGGCTGTTGGCGCATGACGTCACGCGGAAGCGTAACACTCGATGACTGTTTCATGCACTATTGGTTGCGGTTCCAGTACCAAAGCTGTGATGCGAGTGGTAAACCTTATATTAGTGCATGAAACAGTCATCGGGTGTTACGCTTCCGCGTGACGTCATGCGCCAACAGCCAGCGCAGCCGGCAAAAACGAGTAGTTGACAGCGATCGCTCTCTGTGCCTGTTATTCGACCGCCATTCATTGTACACAATTTTGTTTGTGCACAAACCAATTGCAGTCCTGGCCATGCCTGAAAGGTTGTCAGGTTAGCGGTTATTCCTCCTGTTTTCACTGCAATTGTAGGCTGAATCTTCATCGTGGATCGTTTTTTACTTCAAGGACCTGTGTAATGGTTATTCCAGGCAAGTTTGGGGTGAGTTGCAGTTGCAATTAGTGTGTAACGGGGACAAAATTGAACATTTTCCAAAATTGTTTGCCTATACTACAAGTTACGAGAAAAACTCGCTCCAGCCCTAGATGACAACCCAATGATAAAACTCAGGGCTGGGTAACTCCAGCTAAAACGAATCAGGATATTTCACGAAAAATAGACATCTGAAAAAGGCAGCCCTTTCTGATTAGCCTATAAAGAGGGTGAGTATATGCTTCTAAAGCGAAAAACCCTACAAACTAAGCCTAAATGTGAAAATCAACATTTGACAAAGTTTGACATGTTTTTGTTGTACATGATGGAAGTGTGGCCTATATTTACATATTTGGAAATGCTTCTCTTCCATCTCTTCTCAGTCCCACGGTCCCATTCATGTCTTTTCATCATTTTTGAAATGACGATTTTTAATACTAGCTAGAGAGTGGCGTCGGGATGCAACTTTCATTTTTTTCTTTTTTTTTATGCTTCAAACTTGTGTGCAAACAACAGTTGCCATCTTCCTTAGATGAAAAATTGTAGAATCATTATGATTCATAAGAATGCGGATGTAATAAACCACGTTCCCCTCCCATAGATTTGTGTGCATTCATCTGAATTTGTGAAAAGGTAGGGCCTACAAACATGTAGCCGTGATCGGGTCCCGAATGTTAACATTAATATTACGTGTAGGCCCTATGCTATACAAAGTAGTCCTACACCATGTGAGTAGAAAGCGTGCCCGCCTTGCAAGTATGCCACGTGAGTTCGTGTCCCAGCCTTGACGTTGTTTTTGAAACTTTATTTTTTTGTGTCCCTAAGAGTAAGAATTGCATTCTGTTACTGTTTTAAATCGAATCCTCCATCCTACATGGAATTTGGCCCTCTGGGCCACGATTTGAGACAAGTAAAAGAAATTGCTACGGCTAAAAAAATAGAGGGGCCCCTAGCTAACACAAAATGGAAACACATAGCAGTGTTTTGTTATAATTCTCTTGTCTTGGTTTTCATCTGCAGAAGAGAAGAAGCTAGAGCCAGCCAAGACTCTGATGGACAAGCACAATGGATTCCAGTCCGAGGAGGAGCACGATGACAGAATACCACAAGAGTGTTTGGACAAACTTGGTAAGTCAACATTTTTTTGGTTTAAAAATTAAACATGGGAGTGCATGTAGAATATTTGGCCACAAGAAACAATTCCAATTTGAAATCTGTAGAGACTACTGGTGAACGTTGACGTAGGCTGTGCTGGGAATTTCAAGCAGTGGACTTATGAATACATTGGTTGCGGTACCAGCTGCTATATCAGATTTGAACCAGCCAGCCGACTCTGGCAAGCTCGGTGGCAGAGTGGTAGGACATCTGCACTAGTAAGCAGGAGGTCATGGGTTCGAGTCCACCCGAGTAGTTTGTGATTTTTCTCACAAGCCCTCGGACAACACTCAGTATACAGTGTGAACAAAAAATATTTGTTGACATAAAAAAGTTAAAAACAATCTTCCAGGAGCAACAATCTTCCCTACCAAAATAAAGGACCTCATTGAGTTTGTTTAATTTCTGACTTCTTTTTCCTCACAGCCGAGTCCAGTGATCTTAAAACCTTACTCCATAACAAGCATCTTCAGCGGTTGCTCTTAGAGGTGGACCGTGTGAAGGACAAGGCTGCGATGGTAGAGAGGTTTATGCAGGAACCACTGTTTGTGGAGTTTGCTGATGCATGCTTAGCTGCCGTGGCTCCAGAAGAGAAACATACGTGAAGGACTTCGCTCAAACTCGGGGGAAAAAAGGTAAATTTAAGACCACCGTAACACACGCTTGTTTATGCAGAGGGTTGTCAAGGGCGTTGTGGTAAAGATCCCACAAATTCTCAGAGTTAAAGCCCAAATGAATTGCAAGTCGTACAGTTTCAAGTCATTGGACAAGCGATTCAAATGAAATGTCACGAAGATTTTCATTTGGCATCCTTCATCCCCTGTTACTTGTAAGCTGACTTATGATGGACTTGTGGTTAGTGGTGTGCATTTACGGGTACTACAGGAACCAAGTACTCTATTGAAGGAAAACATGGGTATTCGGGGAAGGGGGTATTTACCCCCCCCCCCCCTAATGTTTTCTAAAGACTGCCCTTTTCCATTGAAATGCCCTATTTCCCCGGCACTGCCCCCCCAAATATTTTTGGTAGGAGTGCCCTTTTTTTATTAAGAAGTTCCGTTTTTTCAGAACAAGTGCCCTTTTTTAAAAAAGAATTGCTGCCCTTTTTGTGCCAGCGGCCGTTTGGGCGTTTTTGTTTTAATTTGACGCATGTATCGCCCTGAATAGCCCCATATATTGTGTGAGTAGCTCGGTTTTGAACAGCGCCCCCACCATCAGATGGTACCAGCTGACTTATGTACTTGTGATGGACCCGACTACAACACCGTTATGGCCCTTAGTAAGGTTAATTTGAAGACGAAAAAGACAGGTCAGTTTTTGGTATTCAGGAAAATGTTTTTCTTCATTTTCTTCAGTGCTAACCAGGATGCAAGCTATGCCATCTGACTGCCTGGAATAAATGGAATGTCTGACTCCCACATTGTAAGGTTCTGTGTTTGGCCATCCATCGGTGTCACCCTGACCAGCACACTGCATTACCTGCAACAGGCAACAGGCTTGAAGGAATGTAAAGAGCAAACCATCATAGATATGTATCCGGTCAGGATGGTTTCACAGTATTTTTGTTTGTTTTTCCCATGTCAACACACAGCCTTTAAAGTGGCTGTCCATGTGTTATTTTATTTTTTGAATTGCAAAATATTCATCTTTTCCAAAATGATTCACTTTCAAATAAGACACTTACCAAAAAAAAAAAATAATCAGTCCACATTTAGTTATAGAATGATGTATTTTTTCAAATTTCGAATTACATGCTGCCCAGCAATAATTTAGGCGGATCTTTTCAGGATTTACAGGTCCAAAACTACCCCAAAATCAGAGGGTTTCAGTTGCCAGAATTAGAATAGTTTTTCCCACCAAAATAAGTATACAAATTGAAGAAGAAAACAGGAAGTTGTAGAGAACAGGAAAAGCAACTTTGGCAAAAAGTGCTTTAGTTCAAAGAAGTGTATTGTAAAATTAGACTGACATCATCCTGATTTGAACAACTGTTCAACAGAGATAAGACTTCAGGGTTTGCATGGTGGACATGATCAATAAATGGGAGGTTTACAGTAAACACCCATGTGCATGATATCTCTAAGTGAGTTGTGTGGTTCTGAAAAGTACCAGTTGGTTTAGCTCGTCGTTTCAAACAGTATGCTCTGCTCGTCATCAGGAGACTGTTTCCTGTTGACGAGCAGAGCATACTGTGCGAAACGTGGAGTTAAACCAACTGGTTCTTCTCAGAACCACACAACTCACTCAGAGATATCATTCACATGGGTGTTACTGCAAACTTCCCATTTATTGTTCAACAGAGGGCGCTGTGTCACCTAGCTAGTTGAAGCACTAGACTCTACAACTTGGGCCAAGTTCGGGCAAGGACCATTAGTCGACTAGTGGTTGATTTGTGACGTGCCTTACGCCTGCGCACTGATAGCAACGTGCGAACGTCTCTAGTCAAACGCTGGTCAAAATGTCATCGCAAAACTTCTGGATCCTGACTCTCTGCTAGCGTTATGAATGCGCGTGGCTATTGGTTACCAGCGAAGCAACCAACCCCAGTAGGCTGGTTCCAAATAGTCGACTAGCGTAGTCAACCATAGTTGACTAGACAGAGTTCGGGCAAACGTTAGTTAACCATTGGTGAACTATAGTCCTTGGCAAACTTGGCCTTGGGTGGGGTAGGATGCAAAAAATGTTTTTCCAAAATGCAGAAAGAGAAGGGGATATCATTGTGCAATGTGAATGGAACAGCCGTGTTCTATACAGATGAGGCTGGATATTGTCTACAGCGCCTCTGTTATAGCGATTCTAGTACCTGTTTGGTACATTATTGATACTACATGTAGGTTTTAATGTGTGAAATGTTCTTTCCTTGTTTTAATTTTAAAATGAAATGTTATTCCTGTTTGACCATCTTAATATTCTCAAACAACATGTAAGGTTTTATTTTGTCATTGTTATTCATGCACCACGGATTCTCAAAATTTGTTTTAAAAAAAAAAAGGTTTCTTATAATACAAACAGCATCCATCAGCTTGTGTGTTTGTGAAAGAAAGAGACATACGTACGTGCACATCAAGGTTTACTTTTCTTGAAAATAAGGATCACACAAAAAAGTTAATAATTTCTGTTAATTTCAAGAATGGAATTTTTTTATTAAAACAATGTATCGTGGTATTAACTCTGTGGTGTGCCACAGTCCATTTTTAAATAATGTTTGATTAGGCCAAAAAAAAAGTCTTCGGTTTCTGGTATGGAGCTTGCCCAAAAAGTGGTGCGGCGACGCGGCTTTTTTTTTTTTTTTACCTGATTTTTTTGCTTCAAATGTGTGCTGATGACTGCAAATGGTGCCCGACTAAACTTAGTGCAAATATATGGGAGTCCAGAGAGGCCACATTAAGCTTATTCTCGACCATAACCCAATCTAAAAACACGTTAAAATTGTGCAGCAGCAGAATTCCAGTCAAACCAGTGAGTTTGGTGGTTTTGAGACATCATCTTTCATTGAAAAAAAACCTTTTTTATTTTGCAGACGCGCATGGCTACGGCGACGCGCGCGCATACCAGAAACCGGAGACTTTTTTTTTTTGGCCTTAGTCCAGGTTTTTTGTCAAAAATGTCATATTCCACAAGTTCCCTATTGAGACATAGCTAAACAAAGCATCGTGGGTGCCCCTTTAACCGTGGTTGAACGTTTGACCCAGAACTTCTGAGGCAAAGATCAGACCCAGGCCAACTCCCATAGGATTTGTACTGTCATGTACAGTATTGTAATTGTATTGTTTTGTAGCTGCTGTTGACCACAAGACCATCAATCATCCTGTCACTAGGCCCAGACTTGAAGCCTAAAAACCAGGTGTTCCTTGAGCAAAGAGTTGAAATAATGCCTGCACATGTACATTGCAATACAGTCAAGCTTTTACACTTTTGCGACTTCAGTTTTTCTTTGAAATGGTGCACCGTGCAGTAATATATTGATAGAGGGTTGATGAAAATCGTGACCATCATCAGGGGTAGCAAGTTCTGTGAGTGTTTTCCATCCACATCAAGTTGTATATAAAATGTATTCTATTCTACATACATTACTCTGCATTTTAAGTATGAAGTGATTATTCATTGAGAAATAAAAACATTGTGAACTAAAATAATTTCTGACCCACCACCTCAAAATTTAAATTCTGTTAAGTGCTTTGAAGGATTTTTCAACCCAACATTCATTTTTCCTTGATCCCCGTGGCTAGACAGCTGACCTCCCACAGTCGTTTAGCCAATTCCTCGTCTTGAGCCATGGCAGAGGGTTCGCTGACCTCACAGTTGGTGAAATACCGGCCCGATAGATGACTGACTGACTCGTCCAAGGCGCAGTGGAGCGTGGTCTGGGTTCCAGCCTCCTCGTCTATAAGAAGCAACCTGAGGAAGAAATTGGAGAAAAAAAATACCAGGCTTGAGCTACTAAGCAGAAAATATAGCCGTATCCAAATTACTTGGCTACGGCTTGAAATTACACACGACTCTACTGTAGTGGCTGCAGCCACTTCCCATAGACTTGTGTGTAATTTCAAGCCGTAGCCAAGCAACCTCGTCCCCAGTGCTTACTTTATTTCCAACCTCGTTTCCAATAGTAAGCCCTGGATAGGAAACCTTCTTCCTGTATCCTGATTCGATACCGCAATTGGCTTTATATCGTGTACTTGGTGTTGTTATTCACAACGTGCAGTACGTGTTTTCGCGATCATTCGTCCACGCCTTCATTAAAATATTCATTTCAGTTTCCAATATGTTCCTATTAATATTAAATGTGATACTGCATGTTGTCTCGTTAAGACAACATTATTACCCCAGACACCGCATACAAAAACAAATGCGAATGTAACACACAGGCAGGCCCCAGAGTGGTGGGCGAGTACTGCTCGACACCCTGGGGACGAGGTTGGTAGCCAAGTAATTCGGACATGGCCTATTGCTGAGCAAGTTTTTCGCACTAAGCAGACATCGGTTGAGCACCAGTCATATGCTATTTCAATAGCACTTCATTTTGGATGGTGGCCTGTTTTCGCTAAGCACATTATTTTTAGCGCTTGGCTGATTTGAAATGAGGTCCTGGGCAATGAATGTCGTGGAGCTGCTAATCACTGAGGTTTCTGGAGCACATGAATTATTTGCTGAGCAAAAACAGGTCACCTGCTAAAATTTCATGCAATTGCTTTTGACCAGTGGCATAGCAAGGTCATTTTTATTGGGGGAGGGGCGGGGGCAGGGGTAAAAAGCTCGTGCAACATCCGTGCTGAAATGTAGAGGTTTTTTTTCTCCGGTCCTTGGCCTTCATAGTATTAAAAAGTTGGGGGGGGGGGGCGGTTGTCCTATCTTCCTGTTCAAATCAGACGATCATGGACACAATTGTGGTGGCGCTTTACAAATATTGCGGGGGTAAAAGTTGGCCAGGGCACTTGCTTACAACAGGGTGCTTTACAAAATATATTGGGGGGGGGGGTTAATTACCCCGCTTAACCCCCCCCCCCCCCACCACCACCACCCCAACGGCTACACCACTGCATATGACTGGTTTCAGCTGATAAGCGAGGTTTTCTGCTCGACAGCTCTCTGGAATTGAGCTTAGATTTTTGGGAGTGCATGGAGAAAATGAAGATAAAATCACTTGAGATTTAATGGAAGAGAAAAGGTAATATAATCCCCTTCGGAATTTCAGATTCGATTCCTCAGGCAAACTAAAAGTGCTGTGTAGTCCAGTCTAGCACAAGTTCATGACAAGTCCACTCACAAGTACATTGTAAATCACAAGTCCTTTCACAAGTCCGGTCCCAAGCAAACCACAAGTCCGGTCATGAGCACCAGGGGATGGACAGTTACATTTACAAAGGACTGTTTTGTCACACTTCATTTGAATAGACCTTTATCATGCTGCCACCATTTCAGTCATGTTCCCTGTATCAAATAACAGTACTAAATGATAAAGATTTTTGTGCAAAACGGAACCAGACTATTTTCCCTTCCAGCCTCGCTTTGGTTACATTCATTTGAATGGGAAAAAATCAAATGGCTGCAACATGATAATAGTCTATAGCTAGTGCCTTGAATCGGACTGAATTAAACTGTTGAGGGCTTGCGATGAACTCCACAACAACACTGCAAACATACATACCACATCAGCGGGCCTAAGATGTAGTACAGCGGTGTCAAGATCCAGATACGGCTCCACACGTTCTTCCAGATCGGGGTGAAGATGACCCCGGGGTGGAGAGAGACGGAGGTAACGTCTGTAGAGGCCAGACGCCTGGCAAGCTCCCCAGCAAACAGGATGTTGGCTAGCTTGCTGTGGTGGTACGTCTTCAGGCGTGGATACAGCCCCCGGCGAATGTTCCCGTTATCGTCGCTTTCGACCCGAGTCAAGTCCATCGGACTCAATATGCATCGGTGAATGTTCGAGGAGATGGTGATCACCCGGCTCGGGCCGCTCTTCTTCAGTAGGTCTAGGAGGAGATTGGTGAGCAGGAAGTGGCCGAAGTGGTTGACGCCGAACAACGATGGAAACCCGTCCTCAGTAAGAGCTTCGCCAGAGACAACGGCGATACCTAAAGATCAAGGGCAAGACAACAGGGATGTAGTCCAGTCCATCATAAGTCCAATCACAAGTAAATCACAAGTCCAGTCACAAGTCCACTCACAAGTAACAGTGGATGAACAATGACAAAGGAATTCCTAAATCAAAGCTCATTTGAATAGCTTATGAATTGAATAATGGGGATGAGATGACTTGTGGTGGACTTCCAAGGACTTGCAGGGACTTGCAATGGACTCGACTTCACCTTTTTAGTAAAAAAAAATGGCATCATCTAGATAACAGCTTACAAGTTCATTGTTTAAAATATTCGGCAACTGAATCACAGTTTATGTCAATGATGACTAGCAATGTTCACACATTTCCCTTGTTAAATTTTTCAAAACCCCTTGGTCATGTTGACAAGAGGACATCATAATGTAAGATGTCGTGTCAAGTTGTTTTTCTTTCGGCAAAAAAAGTCTTAGTACAGATCCTTTCGTGCAGTCACCCATCAAGTCTGGGGAATTTGCCGCCAATGTTTCCCTGGATATACACCTGTTTAATTATCCCTTCTATTATTTTGTTTGAGCCAATATCGGAGCAAACATGAACGCTTTAATGGGTGGCCAAATATGACCCTTTAATGTTTACAGTAAAGCAAAAATCAATAATGAGTACAGGCACCGCTCAAACGACTAAATCTATATTGCATCATGAGTTCAAGGGCGGATCCAGAACACAATTTTGGTGGGGGCCAAAAAAAAATTTGGGCCCCCCCAAAAAGTGGGTCAAAAAAATTACGGCGTGGGGTTCGGGGCCCGCTTAAGGGCCCCGAAAATTTTTTGGATTCTAGATGCTCTGTGGTGCGATCTGAGGCAATTTCTGACCACTTTAACCAATGTTTTTTTGTTTGAGGAAAAGATGGTGGTGTACTCATTGCCTGCCGTTATTGCGATGTCACATAAAAAAAAAAAATTGATTTCGTTTTTTTTGGGGGGGGGGGGGGCCATGGCCCCCTTTGGCCCCCCCCCCCCCCTGGATCCGCCCTTGCATGAGTTTTAGCCAGATGGATCTGTATCTGTATCATATAGTCGGCAAAGCATCCCGGGGAAACATCACACCAACTTGATTTATACACATCCTTCCTGCCAGAAACACCGGGGCGAACCCCTTCTCGTAGCGAAGCGTTACTGGGTTCTTTTACGTGCGTTAGGCCTATACAACACACGTCCCAAGGACGAAGCAAGCCTTGCTTAGGGTCACAAGTGTCCGCGCCCGGGCTCGAACCCACGTCTCTGTTGCCTCTGAAACACCAGAATATGAGTCCGGTGCTCTTAACCGCTAGGCCATGACACTCCATGACCTCGATAGCTCTGTCAAACTGGGTCACAGGGACTTTGTGAAATCATCTGTTCCTTGCTCTATCATGGTGAAATGTACAAAGACAGGAGGTGGACGTTTTTTGTCAAATCAGGCACGGTCCATTGCAAAACCCATTACAAGATTGATGAATGACGTAGGTGAGCCTGGTGTCGAGGGAAGGTGCCAAATTACAAGGATTGAAACTTTACAAGGCGCTTTGACCGTGGAGCTATAAAATACATAGCATTTTTCATCGATCGCATTGGCGCACACGAACACGTACGTACCACTAAAACTCATCGCATACCAAAAAGTACTCCACATTGTCTGGAATGTTTTGTGTCGAACCAGATGCCGTGAAGTCAAAAGTGCAAAATAAAGTTGGATATTGGTATTTCGTTTACAACTGTCTTCCATTTTGATTGGCTGTTGCATCAATTAAAAAAAAAGAAAAAAAGTAAGGTCTCAATATTATGATATACATAGTGTGGCGGGGTGGTTTAGTGGTTGTTACAGGCTAGAGTTTGAATGGACGTAAATTTAATGATGTCAAGGTCAACACTTTGTGTTTTTATTACTTCCCTGACAAATTCACTTCGCTCTCAAAATCCGTTTGAAGTATGCCTTCAAAGCGGAAACGTAGTTTGGCACGGTAATCGGCACAACACACTCGCATAAACCCACCTGCATTGTTTATTAGAATATCCAGTCTGTCCTCGCTTTCGATGATCTTGTTAGCGAACTCCCTGACGGACTGCAGGCTGGCTAGATCCAGGTGGTGCACCACAACCTCCGAGTTGCCCGTACGCGTCTTGATCTCTTTGGCGGCGTCTTCAGCCTTCTGCAGATTGCGACAGGCGAGGATGACACGGGCTCCTCGCCGGGCCAAGTCCAGGGCCGTCCTTTTGCCGATGCCTGAATTGCCCCCTGGGATATAGATGTGTTAAAAAATACATGACTAATGCCTTTGACAGGAAGTAAGCAAAGTTTGAGGAACAATGATGGCTTTAAGAATGACTAAAAGGCAGACAGAGAGGTCGACGTGAGACATAGGCCCTAATGACGTTGCACCGACTTTTACAAGCCTCCCTTTTATGTTTATAGACACATGGTTAAGACTGTAGTCAAGATATAAATGTTGCACATCATCTACAAAGTTGTGCGATGCAAGCATGCCAATTTCCTTGCTCCGACTTGCGTTTATTGTCGCACAAAATACAAGGGATTACAGTTTTACAATTTTCAAACATAGTCATATGCACTTAGTAATACTTATTGTCTCGGATAGAAACGGACGGCTTCACTCCATCCCCTATGCATACCATCCCTGATTCCCAGTGTGTCATGTAAATAATTTATGGGACTATAATCACTTTTTTGTGCGGAATTGGAACATGGTGGGATTGCAAGGTATAAAGTTGTCAAGTTGCACGTGAATATGTTTTTCGAGGTTAAGCTGAAGGCTGTCGGATAAGCCTCTCATTCAACCAACTTAGGACAACCAAATTAAGGCAAGTAAAACGAAAACTTGGCAAGTAAATTTGCACATGGGCTTGCAAACACTATATCAAAGTAATATGGTAGGAGTAATCTGGGGTGGGGTATGCCAACCCCCTTTTTGCCCCTGGGCCGCAAAAGAAAAAAATAGGAAATGCATAATATAGCAAGCCTGCTAAACACAGCTATATACCCCCCTTGAGCTAAAGCTGGTCGCCAAGTAATCTTGGACGGAGGGAGGGGGAGGGGGAGGGGGAGGGGACCCGCCAAATGACATCAGAGGAGGCTGGTCTCAGAGACCATCAACTATTGGCTGCGTCTAAGAAAATGGCAACTCTGTAAAAACGTTGGGCAAAATGGGTTGATAATTATGTAGGCTAGACCAACGTTGGTCAACATATCAACAGGTTAAACTCTTGTGCAAATTATTCCCAATGCTTGGACATGTTTTACCCAAATGAGTAATTTCATACCAATGTTAGGTAAACACATATTGCCAAACAGTGTTTTACCCAACATTTTTTTTGCAGTGTTATGTATACAGCCGACAATGTGCTGATGCCGGGAAGCGCCTGGACCCACTTATCATAATTATATGAGACGTGTGTGTTACTGCTAGCCCAGGTCAACTAATATTCGGGGCACGACCTTTAATTAACTCAATAAGTAATATTCCAGGCTCGTAGGCAGAAGGGTAGTCTATATGTTATAGACCCTGGCCCTGGCGAAGCCGTTAGACAGAAGACTGGGCTCCGTGGATAACGGGTGATACTCGGTGGCAGAAGGGGTGGGGGCAAATCGGCTAGGTCTACTTTTTCCTCACAAACGATTGACTCAAATATATCCATGCGTATATCAGTTCAACAGTTTATTAGACATGAAATGGTCTACTTTGGCACTATTTGGTAAAAACGATCCTCCCCTTCCACAAGACCGTGTATTTTCCATACGTAAATCAACAGTTTGATACACACGAAAAGACGATCCGCCAACTTTATGGTAAAAACGAGGCCCCCCCCCCCTTTCCACCAGGTTGGCTGCGGCTCTGTATTCAGCATGGGCCAACCAGAGAGTTAACTTAAACTTTTGGTAAAATATAACTTTGGTCTCTTGCTTTAGGAGGGCTATAGCAAGTCAGTGAGAATTAAAGTCGAGGAGGAAAAAAATAATCACAAGAAAGTAAGAACTAATTGTTGTTACCTGTGATGATGACCGTTTTTCCTGTGAGCTTGGCATTACTCTTGCATCCACGGCGACAGGCTATATTTTTCCCGTAGTGCAAGGCGTACAGTATCAATATGACGATACATACGGCAGCTGAATAGGACATCAGAAACTCCATATTGAACTAAAAAATGCACAGGTCTGATCGAAATCAATGAAGTGTTAAGAAGCGCAAAATGAAGCGTTGACTGTAAAACGATGGCGGCGTGTGGCTGAACAATTCGCTCATTCAAGTTCACGGTGCTGTGTGATCGTGCAACGAGTTTTAGATTCGTGTACTTGAAGTTGTAGGTATGTGACAAAACCGTTTGCCTGTTTATTGCTTGTTACATGACCGCTACGTTTACAAGTCACTGATCCAAACTCCGGGAATCCGATCCAATGGGGACCCAAAGCCAGGCGCTTTGTCGGGAAATGGTACGGATAGTGCCACCCGGGTGGTAAAGTAATCAGAATTTCTGTGAATTTATCCAGCACGATCATCAATCTGAAGGGACTGTGGCAAAAAAATATTATTTTATGCTCCTTCTCTCTGCTCCAGTGCTCCCTTTCTGTGTTTAACTGCTATCATAACATATCTCATCAATCACTTTCTTGTGATGACTTCCTTTCATATTATATTCGGTGTACCAGAAGGAGAGAGCACATGTGGTTGTAATTATTGTGGAACATTTCGGAGAAAATTGAAAGGAATTCGAGCGGAACTTCCACAGCATTTGAGTGTGTTAATCTGCCGGGACAGTGCTCGGGGGTAAAGCAGAAAGTGACCCGACAACGGAAAGAGAGCAAGTCTCATGGGGACATGAACGTCTCTATTATAATGTCTAGTTTCCGTTAATATTCCGAGAAAGACTTTGTTTAGCTTGACTGAAGTCTTTCTCCGCGCAGTCAAAACAGATAATACGCGGGCTAGGCCGTATATTCAGCCTGGGAGCCAAGCAGAGGTACGTACTGTGCTATATTATGATCATCATGCATGCCGAGGGAATTTGCTGTACGAAAAGACAACGGTACATGCGATTTCTTATACAGTTCCGTCAGTTCAATTTAGTTCATTTTATTTCCACTAACTCACTTCATAGGAAATAACAATACATGTACATGTAATGATGAAACTTTGATTGAACAATAAGTGGAGGAGGTCTCCAAAAAGCAGAGCTTGTAAACCGGAGATCCCCTTAAACTGGTACTGACCGTTACATTTAAAATTACGAATGAATTGTAATGACGAATTAGCGTAAACAATATTTAAGTTCATATTAACCCTGTCATTAAAATATAGCACTATGGTCAATTTGGACCGGAATTGATTTGTGAAAGCGTGAATTTTAAAGCGCTGGTATTAGGCCCAAAAAAAATAAGTCGGTCTCTGGTCAGCGCGCGCGTCGATTTTAATCATGCGCGTCAATCTTTTTTTCCAAAATGTTCCGCGGTAGCTCCAACAGCGCCCTCTATTGCCGCACCTGCTCAATTTTTTTTTACCAAAGAGCACCAAGGAATGGGAAATTGCACCAAGGCAAATGATCGAGAGCACCAAGGCAAATTATGGAGGACACCAATGTACATGAGGACACCAAAAAAACAAAAATAGTACCCCACCTTGTCTGTACAATCCAAGCTTGAAGAAAAAAAAAAAGCAAAAAAAAAAAAAAAAAAAGCCGCGTCCCCGCGTCAATTCCGGAACTTTGGTCTGACCAGAGACCGAATATATATATTTTTGGCCTTATATACTATAACTATATTCATGTGTAATAATCATCATAAGCACAGCCAGCGGGACGGCGGGGGGGGGGGGGGACTCCCCCCCCCTCAATATTTTGTAAAGACTGCCCATTTCCATTCAAATGCCAATTTTCACAAGCGCTTACCAAGTACCCCCAAATATTTTGTAAAGAGTGCCCTTTTTTAAAGGGAAAATACAACATTTGCAAACATCAAAAAATAAAACTACCAAATCATTTTGAAATACCTTGCTGGACTGTTAGTGAATGACAGTGTAAAGCATCCTTCAAAATCATGGCACCTGGTATACTGTCATTTTCAAGAAAAGTGCTATTTTTGTATCAATTTCCAACGCTGATCGGCCGATCAGCGTTGGAAAAAAACTGGCTTTTTTTCAAATACTGGCCCCAATTGACCATCGCACTTGTTTGCAATCGATTACACACCTATGAACGGGTACAAGCCAGCTAGACTGGTTCCCTGACCTTACAATTCCCCAATGTATGTAAACTGCTCTGTTTCTTCTTATATGGAGTCAGGGAACCAGACTACAGGAAAAGGATTGTTTTCTTGGTTTTTATAGCATTTTCGAACCCAAAACCTCAAAAAAGTCAGTGTAACTATATTTGCTATATATTTCCAACCCCCCAATTCCATCCATTTCTGAAAATTACAGCAAAAGCAAATGATGTATATTCCCTTTAACAAGTGCCTTTTTTTCTGAACAAGTGCCCTTTTTAAAAATAAGTCGTGCCCTTTTTCTGCCACATCAGCCTTTTCGGGTTCCTTTTTTAATTTCACGCATGCATCGCCCTGAAAAGCATCCATATTGTCTGTTAGTGTGCATGATCGTCGGTTTTGAACAACCGTGACCCACGTCGACAGATTGTACCAGCCCCCCCCCCCTTTGATTTTACGGAGGCCAAGTGTCCCGAGAAAAAAAGCGTGTCTACATTTCAGCACGGACGTGCAAGTGCCCTTTTGTATATCCCCCCTCAATAAAAATGACATTGCCACGCAAAAGATAATGCAAACTAAACAGACAAAGCGGGGCAAGGGGCCGACATGAGCCAAGTCTACTACATGCCAATGGGGGAATATTACATTTCGCGAACTGAAAGACTTGGCAATAACATACGGAAGGTGCAACCCGGACGTAGACGTAGATGTATATATCAACGACAGCTTATTGTCGGCACCTTGAGGTACCATGTAGCTGATATATCCTTTCGAGTAAATTTACATTCAACATAGATTTTTCAGTACTGGGAAATCTACGTTTACTTAATCTTAACTGGGATTATATAGGGGTTTTGCCCCCCCCCCTAAACAAAACCACCCTATAATACAGTTAAGATTACTGGTGGGGGAGGGGGTGTTTTGGCTGAAATTAGGGCCAGCCAAGAATCACATTTGACTTTTTTCAATTCAAATCCGATAAACTTTTGTTCTCCCTGAAATTCACTAAGGTCATGCTGAGTTGAAATCACGAAATCGGCATTTTCTGACACGTTTTATACAGAACAAACTCCCTTCATCATTAAATTTTAACTATTTTTTTGGTCACAATACAAGATCTTAATTATTTCATTGTTTCCGATTACATCTTTCAATAACTCTCATTTTGACTGTGGCCGAAGGAACCTGAGAGGACATGCAGTCACGTGACTGCCTATTTCATTTTGAAATGATTTGGACCGCAAAACAAATTAGGCACACTGGCACGCAGTATACATTGGGTCTCAAACACTGCGCACAAAATGTAGTGACGTCAGCTGCATGTACGTACCCATGTCACGACCCTAGCAATACATTTGTGAAGTTACAAGATACATTACAATGTAAAACAAAGAACCCAGCATTGAAAAGTACCGGGCACTTATTAAAGACAGATTATAAATTGATCAAGCCATGAGTGCAGGATTTGTGTGACTATTGTGTACTGTAGGCCTTTACAACCAAAAAGCTATTATAATTGGCATTCAAGGATTAGATCTCTATAGCCATCTAACATCTGTGTTCTTCTACAATAATAAATCGTTCGTATAATCAGTGTTATAATGCGACACGTCCGGCTAAAAACAGACACTTCTGGGAAGCTGGTCAAAAACAAGTTTTTTTCTCATGTCGTTAAAAGATCTCGTCACAATCACTCAGTCGCATCCTACGGATGCCAGAATGAAGAGCCTATATGAAAAGATTATGTTCTATATGTTCCATCGCAAGACAAAAAAGAGCAGGGGGAACAACAACAATATTCAATGACTCCAAGGGAATGAAGACAACCTGCTCCAACCAAGGCAACTTGTCCACCTTGCCAGTGACCGTAGTCGTTGGAAGAAATTGTGGTTGTCTGCAGTGCAGTCGAACGATGATGATGATGTTGTTGTTATAATGTTGATCTACCCTTAATTAAAACATTTTCCTCCCTATAATTATACACAATGACAGGTATTTTTTTTTGGGGGGGGGAAGGGAAGTTCCCTCCGCAAGATTTAAAGCTCGCTACATTGCCACAAAGGTGAGAATCAAAATGTTATGCCTCCATACATCATCCAAAATTACGGTCTGAGAAATTTACAGTATATTTCAGATTCATATGAGACCACAAACTTTCCAAAATAAATATGAATATATAAAAACAAATCAGCCCGGTCATCGACCTCTACCAAGAAGTGCCTGGTTTGAACAGAAGTCAAAGAACACGTACGTTGTTACAACTTCGATGACCTTTTCGTAAAAAAAACCCAAAGAATCACATTTTATCCCATTCATTTCGACTTTTATTCAATCCCCGTGGCCTGACAGCTGACATCCCACAGTCTTCGCGCCATCTCATCATCCCGGGCCAGCTCAGACGGTTGCACGGCGGCACAGTTGGCAAAGAATCGCCCAGGAAGCTGGGACACCGACTCATCCAATGCGCAATGGAGTGTGGTCTGGGCCCCGCCTCCCCGTCTAAAAACGTCAACCTGCGCGTCAGTCAACAAAACACAAAACCCAGGAGAATTAGGCCATGGTTTCGAGATCAACTCTCAGAGCCATATACTAGGGCTACGTCTTCTGTCGGTATTTCCCAACAAAGTTATAATAATCAAAGATATAGACAGAATATCTATAATATGCCTACAAGAGGTTCGAATAGGGCTTTGACTTGATTTGATTTGCCTTTCGGACCCTCGGCTTCTTTTTCTCAAATTAGCTAGGAGAATTCAGTCCACCAAAACTTTGAGGACTATAAGCTCCGCTCCGCCCCAAAGTGGGTCAATGTACTGCATGCTTCAGGAACATGAAATCTTACTATATGTGGCGAAAGAATATAATCCCAAAGGAGGGGGGGGGGGGCGGGCGAAGGGACATGTCCCCGGCTACCCCCACTTGCGTTGCAGGGGGGGGGGGGGGACAGGGGGGATTTATCCTAATACATAATTTTAACTCAAATGACCTAAATCTGCACAGTCCTTTTCAACATCACGGAGTAAAAGTTCTAACATTACCAGTGGCAGCTTGCAATGGGGGGGGGGGGGGGGGGGGGTGCAACCCCAGCAGCCCGTTCGGCCGCAGTGACTAATGTTATACTATATAAAATGGGGCCAGAAATAATATATGGAATGCTTAAGTTCCTAAATTTATTTTCGGATTGCCTAAGAACGCATTAGGAGAAAGCATGGTACATTTTCCAGGTTTTTTTTGTCCTCGGACCCCCCTCCTCAGCAGAGCGGCTTTGGCACGCCTGCACTAAACACGCCCCACCCCCTTCATACTCCCCCCTCCATACACCAAAAGGTTTATTTCTGGTTTTACTCGTAATACCCACCACATAATTGGCCAGATCATGTAATAGACCAAGGTCATGAACCAGTTGATCTTTATTCTTTGCATGACCGGTGTGAAGACAACACCAGGATGAAGGGAGACGGAGGTGACACCCGTGGACTCCAGACGCCTCGCCAGCTCGCGAGCGAACAGAATGTTGGCCAGTTTGCTCTGAGGGTAGTTCTT